GGATCCACTTTATCCAAATATGCAAGACCTTAGTGAAAACTTTCCTAAGGCATTCACCATCGAGGTCCTAAAGGAAATTTAACAATCACAGCTCAGATGCTTTATTGCTCTAATGCGACACCATCCTTTGAACCAAAACATGCAAATGGCCTCAAGCAAAGGATATCCTGCATTACTCGTTGTTTCAAACTCCACCAGTCATTTTACTATGCGATCGAATATAAACCGATGGAGAACACAAGTTCCAAGCTCTTCACTACGGGGTCCATGCAAGAACGTCAGTGCGTCGCGACGTCTACGTGACGCTGGCAGGGCGCATTCCAAATGTCGATTCAGTCTTTGATTTATTTACCCTCTAGTCCATTTTGTCCATTGAAAAAATTGTCCGAATAGAGTTATTTCGGATGGCCAAAAGCCACGTTCCATTAGTAGAGCGGCCACATTCCATTAATTTTATCAATTTTTTAACTAAATAGTGCAAAAATTAGCAACATCTTAAAGTATTTGGATCACTTGAGAGAGATGAGTGAAGAAATCGTATTTTGCCTAAATTTAATCCACGAAACGTTGCAAATCTGTTCACCCATCAAAACTGATATTCCGGTCCACCGAAGCATCAAAAATGCTTCACAAATTATTATAATTAGGTCGAGAAAGTGGATTTAAAACGACCTATAATTTCCTAAAAATAGTCCCTATGACCTCCATGTCACTTGAGAGGTAAGTCAACACGCCCACACTATCTTCATGCTATCGCTCAAAAAGCCCTTCAAACATATGCTTGGGATCGGCTTGTAAATCCCACTGGCTTGCTGATACACCGTTTCCAGTGCAGATGGGAAAGGTATTTGAACAATTCCCTTCACTACCCTCTGGTATATTTGTTTGTTTGGGCACTACCGACTACTGACTTAAATATGATCCCCTGTCTTCTTTCATTCCAGATATGGGATGCATCAAATTTCCCGTATAAAATTCCCCGGAGGTTTATTTCCTGCCTCTTGCCAGAGGGAACTTAATTGATGCAAGAATAAATCTGAAACCCTACTAAGCGCACTCAAATAACAGCATATTTGTCTGCAAACTCCAGTGACTTTAAAAATTTTAACACAATCTGTTTACAGTTCGAGTCATTTTAAGCCACATCTTGATTTGTTTAAGGTAAACAAATTTTAACACGTTGCCTACAAGAGTCACAGAGGATCCTCAACCATCACAGCCACCTCGGTGTTCTCTTGCTCTTTATTTCCTTCAGGTGTCTGAATCAGTTTACCTCTTTTGAACTGAAATTGCCACACAATCGTGACCTGAGAAGCTAGTTAGCAAAACCCGACGTCACATGTGTGTGACGCTGGTGACCTAGTATCCATACACTAGAGGCAATTAACTTTTCTGCCTATTTTGCTCCTCTTTATGCTCAGATTTGAAGCGATTTCTAATTTGTTTTGATTCCAAATAAATTTTATACGTTACGGCATCCGTCCACACTTTCTGTTTCTGTAGTTATTTGGAGGATCCCAATAGGAGGTGAGATACGACTTATCTTATGTGTTAATTATAAATAAACTCAATTACGAGATAGTAAAAACACTTGTTTATTGTTTGAACTTGGGATTAAAAACAGGGGCTACTATTGCTGTAGAGCCCCGGTTGTCCCGGTGCAGGTACGATGGCGGCGACCCTATGTGACCCGTTGCCAAAACCGAGAGTTAAAAAAAATTAATGCATTACAAAGGAACCTGATAAATACTTAAATATTAAACAAAATCGTATTGTTTGGCAATCATTTCTACTCAGGTCTAGTAAATTTAATTGCATTTAGGTTCGTAGCATCAGTTGCACAACATGCTAAATTGTCCTTCAGTGCCTTCATCTATACATATCGTTCCCAAATACATAAGTAGTAAAATAGAAACTAGTTTGCTAGAAATTCGATTAGGGTTAGGCTAGTGTGAATGACCCTGTTGCAGAATTCCACATCAATTGCCTCCCTTCGTTTGTCAAAAGTGCAGCATGCATTGGGTCTAGCCTAGTTTGCACATTATCCTCAATTACCGTTTATCTGACCCATCATTTGGTAGCAATGGTCTCAGAAGAGCAAACAAGTCGCCCTTTTTCCCTTTTAGATACTCTGCCATCACCTAGTTATTACAACAAAAGACAAGTACGGCCGCACACAGCAGTCATATGACCGGATGGAATGCCTCAGAGGAGTGCGGCCCAAGCATTAGTAGACAATAGAAAGGGCAGGCACATTCATCAATCGGGATTAAGGTTTAAATGTAACTGCTCCTCAGGTTTTTAAATGAATAGGTCCTTTCTTCTTTGACAAATATGTGCCAACCTAATCAGATCGATGGAAGGCCAACAAATTGGTATTTCAGTGTCCATTTTGGGGCAGGTACTTTTACTTAATATTCAGGTGACTGTGTCGAGTAAAATAAATCATTCCAGAAGGATTCAATGAATGGGCGAATAAGATAATAAATAATTCCATAATGCTAGTGCTGTGTAATTAGCCTATCTTCAGAGTCTTAGCAAGAAGTGCACCGCTCGAAGCAAAAACAATGTGAATCACCCATTTTCTGCTCAATAAATAATTTACGAGTTATTTTCTAGGTCTCAAAGCTATGAGTTACACTCCGTGCGGGTTATTTTGCACTAGGCTGCACTTGATGTTGCTGCCTGAAAGAGGTCACCATCTAATCGCTTTGTATCAAAGATCACATACTTTTTTCATGTTATCCGGTGATTGTGAAAGCCTATGCAATCCGTATTTCTAAGAGGCCATTGCGCCTTGTGGCAGCAGTCTTCGCCCTGAGGCTTTTCCTACTGGACTTACTAATTTCACTCTAATAGCTCCTGTCAAATAGCCACAATGGAATGCAGACGTGGCAGTTTCGTGGCACGGTCTCCGATCCACGCAAATGTCGCATTAGGCTGTTATAATTCTGCAGTAATGCGAAGCATTTGTAAAGAGGATCATTTGTTATTCCAACTTTCTATTTTTTTTTCTAAGCGGAACAGAAGCATTTCTATGTGTGAGGCGATTTTCCCCTCTTAATTGAAACACCACTTGAGGCGCCGCTTTTGAAATCATCTTTAGGAGGCAAAATTGCCAAGAAATTGTTGTTATTGAGGCACCTCAATGACGTTTCGTTATCGCAAAGTCAACATAAAAGGAATTGCATTGCAGTGGCATCCAATCACGCATCTTAGGCATATTTCGGAGTGCTTTCATATCCTAGTTAAAGACAAATAGCGCTTTTATTTCGCTTGTGGTAACAGCCTGTGCACAAATGCTCAGTCAACTGGAAATGGAGTTATCTCTTTTCAAAATAAGCAAAAACCAAAAAGAAGATCTACAGGTTTCAAAAGGGTTCTATGAAAGTTTAGTTGGATTTGCAACCGACTTAGTAATTTGGAAATTCGTAAAAAAGAAAGCAAAGAAGAGTTTCTTATTTGGGAGGGATTCTCAGGGCAATAAACGCAAGTGAATTAATTTTGGCTCATGCATGATGCCTCGAATTTGCTGATGTTGAGTTGGGGTGCTGGCCAAAAGAAATACAGGTTCCGGTTTTGGTGATTTATAAACAGGTTTCTTTTTTGAAAAGACCACCCGCCTTTTTTCTTGACTTCAATGTCACTCAACATTTAAGAGATAATTAACTAATTTGAATTCACAGTAGCTAGGTTTGACGCAATGGTTAAGTGGAGGCCTTACACCGTCCAAAAGCAAATACCAACATTCGCGACTTAAAAGTACATCTTTGAATTGTCGTCGCATTCAAGGCTGGAAAATTGTTTGATGTATTTTTGAGTAGCTCTAAAGGAATGCTATGGCCAGTGTTACCCTTATCATAATTTTAGAAGGCACTCTAAGTAGTGAATAAAAGTAAGCTGTTTGCATCGGCCTTTTCAATGGACATAAATTCAACGGGAACTTCAATTTACTTTGCTTTTGAGTAAAACGCAGCAGTACTTTCAACAGTAGTTTATAATTAAGTGTAATAATCGTCTAAAAAGTATAAAAGCTTGAGTTGATACATTTGGATTGAAATTAGTGTTTTGCGACCCAGCAATGGAAATAATATACCGGAAGAAGGACGGTCTTTCAAGTGAGCAACAAGGACTTACTTTCTTGCGATTTCACTACCTCATCCAATTTTGCTTGATAAAGTAGTCTTTTTAGTCCCTGATGGGGGAAATAATCAAACTAAATAAACCAGTCCTCCCGTAGACACGAAGCATCCTCAGAAGTGGAGGAAATCCACTTATTTAAAACTTGAAGTCGACTCTTCCTACTTCTAACGTCCACGCCTAGGTAGCTTCTGGCGGCCTATGTTATAAATACGAGATCAGAAAAATTAGCTTTGAGTAACTGCACCCATTTTGCCATCTAGACTATTGAAAACAAAATTCGTCACCTTTAGAATTATACTGTCCATTCATACTTCAACCATCGCAGAACACAGGCAAATCCCAATTCCTTCTCAAGATTTCATCATAAGGTACGTCTAAGTCAGGTGATGTCAAGCCTAACAAACGTCTAAATCGAATCAGCGCACTGCACCGACCCCATAGTCGGTTAGGCAAAACGATTTCTCCCTCTTGCACTGATTAGAGTAGATTTAAATGCCTGTAATTTTGTACTCTGTAACCTGAAACTCTTGCATCACACAACCCGATAGATAACATTATTTATAAACAGACTGCAAACAGCTGTTTTGGTAAAGGAATGTCTATGCTGTTGACACCTCGGCTTCACACAAGTGTAGGAACATCACCGCACAAAAATGGTTTACCTCCTCCATCACATTCCCGCAGTAATGCACACGCGGCTATAACGACTAAAATGTCCGCAGCCAATCAGAGGAAGGCAACTTTCAAGGTCGCCGTCTGAATGGTGGGTGTGGTGAAGACAATCCTTCTGGTCATATAAACCAGAGTGGAGTCAGGCGACTACGTAGGTACTACAAAGGGCGGAGAGGTGCAAAATCATGGCTGCTACCATTCCTGGGATGAGCAGAACTGTTTCCTTGGGTCCCATGTCTGAGAATTCCCTTCCATCACAAAATCAAAGGAGTCAATCTGTTGTAAGCATTGAGTTGCTGAATGAAAAAGGTGAATATGACATGGTTGAGATTGACGAAGCTGATGATGATGTCTTGCAAGATTCTGTAGATTCCCGACTTGGCTTGCGCGATGGTGAGTCCTATTCTAGTATTCAACGTCTATACCTTCGACATGACTGAAACGCTAAAGCCTTTCCATCTACTTTGTATCATGCCACAGGCAATTATTCTAATGAAGTTTAATTATCTTACTTGTGCTCCACTTCTAGCCTCCAGTGATCAGGAAATGCGGGTACGCCGGCAATCAATAGCCGACCGCGTTAACCGACGTCGCAACACCGAATTCGCTTTCGAGTTTACACGTGTTGAAGCCGCTGGTCGGGAAAAAGAATTTTTCCGTCTTCTCGAAGAGCATTCACGACTTGTACACTCCGTTCAATTCTGGTCGACAGCCGGTAAGTGATTCGCCTTCTCCAATCATGCCTTGAAATCCCATGCATTGAAATGTAGCACAGCTAAAGCAGGAGCTGGTTCTGTACAATTTACGTTTAATAGCATTGATGCCCCGAAACGCTACATAGGATGTCTAGACACTTTAATATTGCTGTTAAGTAACCCTGCCCATAAGTAAGAAGCCCAATTTGTGCGGGCCTTTGGATTGGCGGAATACGTACTGGCGCCTCAAAGTAACCGTTCTCGTGTCCTACCTTCAGCCGCCATGCAAGATGATGCGCAGAAATTCGCTATGAAGTTACAGCTGGACGCTCAACAGCCGGCTCATCCAGAGTAGCAGCAGTGACCTCTGTGGCAGCACACTGCAGCAGCCAACCAACAAATACGTCCTTCTAGATCTGCGCTTTGTATGACGGGCAAAATTCCACATGTTTCTTGTACATCGAACGCACTCTCCGTCACTCCTAACTTTTTACTACTTTTGTGTCTGTTGCAACCATTTGTGTATGGACAGGCGTTTTTTATCCATGTCATTAGCAAAAATAATGACTCCATATTGCAGAATATGGTTTGTTTTTTGGTCTGGTAAAAATCGGGTAAGATTTTGAGGAATCGGAATTTTCGCTTCTTTGAATCGTTGAAGAAGGGGAAACGTGTATGTCACAGCACCAAAAAGAGGGTGCTCTAATCCCGGGACGTCTGTGGAATTTGCCGTATTCTGGACGGGTAAGGACAGAGGAAAATAATATTGCATAAAAGGCATGACCTATTTCATCGATTGAGAGCATTAGAGACATTGGGGGTGGGACAACTAGCAAATGTAGGGTGACCTCCCATTCTTTCTTCCTTCTAATTGAACATATGTTGGACGATGAGTACTAGAACAGCTTACTTGCATAGCCTTCACTGGCGTTTTAAGTGCCAAACATGCTTCATTTCCGTCGTTTCTTTTCCTTCTGTACATGTGATCACCATAATTATATATGAGTTCTGCTGTTATCCCCTTATCATCAACAATCTAGATTAACTTTTAAGAATAAATTTTGCCGCTAAAATGCAAAATCGTGGTATTTTTGACGCGCTTTGATGCTGTTAACATAAAACTGTATCCTTGGGATTCTGTACTTCTTTGATGATAATTGTCAAGTAAGTTATAATGGAACAAATTATTTCGTATACGGGTCTTTGAAACAGTACCACCAATCACGCCGTATGGTAGAATAATGCATTTGGGATAGTAACTTTCTCACTTAATATATCAGTATTGGTTGGAAGAAACAAAGGGCGTTAATTGCCTCATATCTGAATGTCCAGTTTTCCCATGACATTATTCAGTCCCAAGAGCACTAATTTTTTTTTGGATGGATTCATCAGTTTTAAAAATAATAGTACTTCTAGGTTTTAACCAAGATTATTTTAAAGCTGTTTCAGACATCGGAAATCAAATATTCGCTCAAACGGGGTCTGAAGTTGCTACTCAATCTTCCCTACAGATCACGATGAGGACAACACTGCAAAGCATCCGTAACAATATATTTATCTCAAAAAATGAGTAAATCAACTGCGAATTCCTTCAAGAGCAGTTCATTAGGAAACAGATTTAAAAGTAATTTGAATGCATGAATTTATCAGCATTGCGCTACTTCAAAGGTCGCTTCCATTTAGTGTCAGATCCGCATATGACATAGCATACAAACCACAGTAAGGTTGACGGCGCTTAAGCAATTATACTTAGCACTTTGCAAACAATTAACACACCTCCTGTCAGCCCACCCAGATTAAGAGTTAAGGGTTGTATAGTGCCCTTGCTCTATCCCGCTTTATTACCGTCGCAAAGCTCCTCTTAAGGCGAAGTTTTAATAACAAACAGTCAAACAAATGGTGAAAAGCATTATGATGGCTTCAGCAAAGCCTATCCCCCTAATTTTTTTTGCACAAAAATCCGGCATTCTTTCAAATAACACTACCTGAGATATGTAAGGCGTTTGTTACTGTCGTACTTTGTGGTTGTGAATGTGTATAAACGCAAGTCCTTGAAAGTGGAGAGGGATATTGATAGAATTACTGCCTCAGGACTATATATGTATGTGCGAAGGAGGTATCTAATGCGTATCTGTTTGGGGTTTTGAAATAAGGTACTATTTCAAGATTGCATGTGTCCCATAAGTCTGCGACCTAACACACCCCCTCTCCGTTTTTACAACAAGTTTAGTCTGAGTCTTATTTTATTAGATAGATGGCTTTGTATTGACAATGTATCAAGTCGTGCATGATAAAGAAAAGGAACCCTTTTAGCCATCTAGCATCGCCTTTCGTTGAGGGCACAGCTGCCTTTTTTATTTACCCAAAGGAAGATTAAGACAGAAGTATGGGTGTATTCCATCATGGAGGAATATAAAATCCCGCAATCTTATAGCCTTTATGATAAGCTATAAATGGGTGTTTAGGCTGAAATTTGCACCCTCACGCTAATGCCCACAGAGGTAATCCCACTTACGCGTAGCGTTTACTCACGTTGATAGAATAATAAGAACGTGTCAAACAACATTATCTCTCTCTGAATCTGCATAACATGAAAGATGTTTGCATTTGACCTGACTACTCGATTTTATTTATTAGGTGTGTCTACTGCTCAGAGATTCTTTTCTGCTGATGCCTACACGGGGAAAGGTGCTCAAAAGACATCCTACTTTGCTACATCTACGCAGCAGTCATTATGGCCTCATTCCATTTCAAACCATCAAGAACCCGAATCTTTCAACTCATGTGTCCGGAGACAAGACCCAAGTTTATCATTTATAGATATAAAAGGCTGCAGTCTCACAGTCCCATTAAACCCTCCATCAGTAAGCACTGAAAGGCAACACGACGATTAATGTAGCTGAATGGAGGGAAAGAAAGAGGTGAGAGTATGATGTATGCTTCCCACCAGTTGTTATGATGCCGGTAGGCGTCTCCTGAACACCAAACCAAAAAAACCACACGCATCGAATTATGGCACAACAATTCATTGTGTCTTGATTATTGTTACACCAGGGAAGGTAGTCCACAATTTCCTTTGTCATGCCACTAATTTTAAGCACTTTCAGTCGTCCAAGCCTCATTGGACAAATATTGCGTCACCAAATCGAGGGAATTGTTTTGCAGCGCCACCTTTTTCTGCGTGTACTTAATCTATTTGTGATAAACATTATGCACATAACAAAGTTGCAAAATTTGTTTTACTGTTTAAAATAGGTGAATTGGCGTTATGATTACAATGTTGTGCATTCAGATCGCGACAAGAATTCAACAAAGTGGTAAGGAGCCAAGAAATTGTCTTCGGTATAAACGTTGACTAATGCTTAGTGGCAATTACCATTTAGCTGGCAATAATGTATCTTCATAATTTCTATTCCACCTTTTACTCTAGTTAAAATCAAAACAAAGTAAAATTATAAAATGGATCTTTTTTGGATTTTTGGTAAGTTAACAGGCAGAAGAAAAGCGCCCATTTGATAAAAAGTTGTGGAGATGGGTAAAAGGCTTAGCACTTAGCATATGGCCTCAGTTGAAGCACTTCTTTAGAAGCTCAGTAGGTTTTAATGGCATTACGCAGGCAGCTGCAGAAGCTAAAGCACCAACAGAGAGGCACAACATTAGTAAGACCGCTGTGCATTGACGTAATAGCGCACAACTAGACTTTGATGCATGGTCTGGGCAGTGGAATGTGGCATGCTAAATGGAATTTGGGCACAAATTATCTGGCGCAAAATATCCTGATGGCAGGCAACTCTAGAGTCGTGACAAATCCGCCCTAAGGAGGGAGACTAATTCCCATATGCGCTCGACGAAGAAATATTTGTGGAACTGAGGTGGATTGTACTCAAAGAATGGACGCTTTTTCCTATAGCCACTAGACAGTCACCAAATCTGTAATTAAGTTCTGTGTAATTACACATATTGCCATGCGAAGGCGACAGTCGGCCGATCATAATTTTAAGAGGACCTGCGGGTAAAAATAAACACGATACATTTGTATTTTAGCCCTTGGTTGATTGAATTCTTGTGTAATTGTGTGGAAAATTCATGGGGTGGAATGTTATTTCAAGAAGAAGTTAATGAATTGAATGAAAGTTCTGAAATGTCTCCCCCAAGCTGGGATTATAACCAAAGGGTCAAATCAGTTAATAAGATTATAGGGCTGGCCTTAGGATTTGGTATTTTCCTATCGAGAAATTAAAAGTCACCCTTTAAATAGTAACTCGGAAATGGATGTTCCATTTTAATTTCACGAGGAAATTAAATGTGCCAGTCTTTATTAGGCCAAGGAGTTTGTACACTCCCATACATACTACTTCATTGTGTACCAATCCATCAGTAGTATATCGCGCTATCTCAGTCACGGCGCTTGATTTGACAATACAAAATGCCTTAGCCATTTTGTTATGGTTTTCTATGCAGCAGACATGAAAGAAAATAATGTGAAATGCAAATGAAATTCCATTACTGCCTTGTTATTCAATGGCGGAATGCCTATCTTCCACCGTTCCCAATACGTATGGACCTCATTGTGAGAACCCTTCTAAACTCCTCTCACTGGAAATAACTCCTTAAGTGCTCCCTGTAAAATTTATCATACTCATTTATTCCAGTTTTAGGCACGGTAATATCCAGCGTTTTTCATGTTCTCCATTAAGGCAATTATCGCTCCAATTGCACGCACGAAGTTCGACTCGGCGATTGTACCACTTTAGGTATAGCAATGGCGAAAGTTCCTTTTTGGTTGTATCTGTGTTTTGGTAAACAGTTCCTTTGTAGGGCGAGACAAGGGAAAGGCGTGTGGTTCAAAGGTATTGAATTAAGGATGATGATATCATAGCTTCCGCCCAACTGCATTTTGGAGGTACTCCACTAATTTTCACCACCTCCTCTTCGCTCAATTGCACAGGCAGGATGTTACTGGAAAAAAATGCTTTAATTAAAAGTTCATTTTGCTTGAGCGGATGAATAGGGGGTGTGCAATCTGACGCCACTCTGTGTGACCTTGTGTGGCGGTCCCCACTCTTTCTGCTCCTCTACTCAAGACATGGATTGTAGTGACAGTATGAGATAAAAAGAACGTTCGAATGCATTACATCTTATGCAGCTCTAAGCTTTGTATAAAGTGGAAGAAAGTCAAGGGAATCGACCGACGGATAGCATCCTCTTCGATCTCTGCTATGTGCGCGTTTTATCGTCAGGTGAACTTCATGACTCGCTGGAGGCGACATTAGAGTTTTGATTCGCCGCAGACACGACAGTCTACGCACTGGTAATGCGAAAGAATTGAATTTCACTCTTTGTACGCAACCTTTAAGACTTCTCTTCGTATCACATAACAGATTAGCCGAACATAGAGGCTTGGAGTTTTTGTACATGCTGAGAGTCTCTATTATTTGTGGGCGTTCATCATGGGGAAGGAAGGCGGTGTGCTGATATAGCGTGCCCTTCGCAGTCTTGGCCAGCGGAACATTGCAGAAGGGATACTGCTAGCATTGCTACAGTAAGCAGCATCACGGTTGGACAAGTTATTGGGCAAGTTGCGTTAGTTCGGGCTACCAATTGGACCGCCTACTAAATGTATTTAAAGAGAAATTACTCTAGGAAAGAGACTTAACCGTTTTATGTGGACTACATATTCGACGTTTACCGTACCACGGCACTTTTGTAAGGAAGCAAATTTTGTGCCCGATCTAGCGTAGTTTGTCAGTGTAAACAGAGCAGCCTAAGTGGTGGCATTACTGTGCAACACATGCACGGTGTTGTCGGGAAAAAGTGGCCACTAAATCTAGCCAGATTTTTTATTGCTCCAATAGTATCGTTACATTTTCGGCAGAGCTAACTGCTGGTCATTAAGTAAAAAGTGCTGGTTCCCTCATGCCAAGAACATTCTACATGTGTTTTATTGCTGTAAAACCAAACGATTCGCTTAAAATGTGATATGGTGCCAGCGATCATTATAAACCTCTCAGGAACACATGTCACATATTTGTGACGTTGGGCCCAGCCGAAAAAGTTGGAACATCATATACACATAGTGGTGGTAACGGAGGTGCTTATTTTTGTTTGTTTGCTGCCACTACAGTAGTGACACGAGTTTGCCATTGGATTTAATGAAATCACCTCACCGTTTCGAGGTGGAGTTAGCGAGTGGTTGAAGTTTTATAAATGATTTCCCGTTTCACTTTAAAGAATATCTAACTAGCGTGATGGGGGAGATTAATTCTGACTTCATCGTTTCAAGATTTATTGTTATCTTGGAGGTTTGTAATGTGCCTTGTACGATAGAAAAGCTTGTCCTGGAACCTAAATTTACATCCTTCGTCCCGATCCCAACGAATAAAATAAGGTCATGATGGAGGTTTTACTTTTTAAATTTCATCCCCTTCCCCCCCCCCCCACCCCAAAAAAAGAACATTTCACCAGTGAAACAAAAAAACTTAAATCCTTATGCTTTAAAAAGTAATGTAAGTGATTCAGCATATCTGCAGTCTCTAACTGCGCATCTGTCATGACCAACTTCTTTTATGAAGCATTCTGCTAAATTCACTTTTTTTAGTAATCAGCCCCGTGGCGATTCACTTGGAAATTCTTCACTTATCTCAAATGACTATTAACTTGAGTCTGCAAAGATTATCTCAGGGTGTGGGGAGATGGGTGGAAGGAGGCGTATACCTTTTGGTGATAGGCATGCGTGGCATATAATGGATTTTTTTCCCTTTGCAGCCTTCATATTTTTCTTTCTGGCTCAGCCTTGATGACTAGGTGTGTTAAAATCTACGGGTGTCTACCACCAAGCGGTCAAACCTTAGAAGCTTCATCAACTCCGGTCGTTTTGTAGATGCTCTCGTGTTCTCCTTTTAATGGTGACTCATAAAGCCATGGCCATTTTTGTACTAGAGGGAGAACGATGTGTGAATGATGTGCTTCTTTCAGTGTCAAGACGAATGCATTAAGATGCTCCCACATTCAACCATTTGATGAAATAACTGAAATCTGCAGAATGGTTTCGGGGGCAGCGGTAGATGTTAATCCTAGATCCCTAGAGGGCAAGACGTGTGATTTAACGTCATATTATTCTCTGATCGCAATGGATTCTTCTTCAGAAAATAAGCGTTATGTCTGTACGTCAACTAGATAAGTTGTTTTTATTTTGTAGCTCATTAGTGGGAAATTCAGGGAGCACTCCTCCACCTAGTGTGGCATTCAGCGACCTTAGATAGGTAAATACCAAGATGGCCCAAGCAGAGAGCATTAAGGTCAAGACAAAACCCCTAGTAAATTGGTTGCATTTGAAAATGCGTAAGAAAGAAGAGTCCCTACAATCAACGTGGAATCCGACCAAAAGCCTTTGTTATCACAAATGAATGCTTGTGAAAAGTCTTCACGATTTGTCCGTGGTGGGAAGATACTTGCTTAAGTTCGGTCGGGCCGTTCTAGCCACATCCGCAGCTTCCAGCCCTTCTGGGTCACTAATATCACTATCTTCCATTTAGATTTTCCGCATTACGTCTCCGGAAATGGCTTAAGCACTACACTAGGGATAGTAATAACCGACCCATATCATAATAACAGCAACTTCGAATTCACTCACTAGTTCCAGCTTTTCAACGTCACAGTGGGATGAAATTTGGTGTGGGTGACTGAACCTGCAAAGCTTCGCAACAGATGGACTGTCAAAACCGCAATGATCTGGTAACTTTCCCAAATCTCGAGGTCTGCACAATAACAAGTAACACAACAAAAAGAGATCTAAGCAAATCGAAGTGATTACTTAGGGAAATGCCTAATATTACCCATGAAAATCCTTTCTCCTGTTGCTTTTAGACAGTCCACCTAATGGAGGATGCGATGTTTGTCAATTGGAGCTAATTGCATTGCATTCGCCATCACTAATAATACGATTGAAAACCATCGCATTATCTTCGTTCACGCCTCGCAATTGAACACAAACTGTGGAAGAGTAAAACCAACGCCGTGGTGTCGAATACGACTCTCCCAATTCTTCTTTCACAATGGCTCACCCTAATGTGCCTTTTGAAAAGACAAGGGTTCTGTAACCCTATTCCACACATTGTACTGTTTTAGTGAATCCAGATTATCCACCCCTATGCGTCGGGACTCCTTCCTACATTAAAACTATGGTGACCTCCCTGCTTCATTTGGACTACTGAAGTGGACGCACATGGTCGGACCCAATTGTTTACACTAGCTGAATAATCAAGCACCATGCGACCTAAGCTTTCCACTTTTCAATGAACCCTTTGCACATTTAACAGCTTACCACTTTTATTCCCCGACCATCACATGGGTCTCATCTCGCCCTATCGCCTTTCATATGTTTGACTGAAGTCCAAAATTTGTGATCGTAGTAAAGGACATGAGGTGTTGAAACCGAGTAAACTATCAAGTCAAATCATGTTACTTCACAGAAAAATTATTAACCCACAGTAGCATCGTTAATCGGGAGAAAAGGGTATCTCTACCATCAGCAAAGCCATGAAGGAGTTGGTTTTCGAAAACAGTGACTTTCGGTTATTTTGCACTCCTAACCTATGGTCTGCAAATCAACATTATTTCATACGCATCACTTAAAATAAGTTTCATCGGAACAAAGCTGCCGCGTTGCAATTGTAATCGTAGTCAGCTTTTAAAATACCCGCAAAGTTTGGGGTTCATGGGATCGCTAAGATACATCTTATCTATTTTTATTACAAAGTCGTTTCCTACTGAGTATCTATAGGACTTGGGTTAGAACGGCGATAGCATTTTCTGAATCGAGGTTCTGTATAAAATGATCTTTCAATTTCAATGGGTGATCCAATATTTTTCCCTGACATCTGTGCTAAGTAGCCGGGGGAGGACAAAAGTGTAGTAGGAACATAATTGTTATACGCTACAAATATGATTTCAATAGAATAGGACGCAAACATCCATCGTAAACCAAAAAAAGACTAAGAGCCGGCTCCAAGAGTTTGGATTTAATAATGGAAGCCATTTATGATACTTTTAAAATAATAGAAAGTACTATCGAAAGTTACCTGCAAACGTAACAATTACACCAACGCAGAGCTAAAATTGTGCTGCCAACGCTGACATTCATTCGCAAATTATCAAATAACCGATTTAAGAAGTGCTGGACTTTTCTGTAAACCACCTTTTAAATTCACATTAACATTGCAACCAGGTTCTGAGTAGGGTGTCTCTTAATTAAATTTACAATAACCTTTCGGAAGACTTATTGCAGTGTGCCCAATATTTTGTGTAAGTGCGTTTAGTTGTGCGAGTACTCCAGCCCCCACAGGTCGTAATTCTGCCTATCAACTCTGTCTCGTGTTGGTGTGGTCTACGACGACTATGGAGAAGACTCGGAAAGCATCACTATTGTGCTGCTAATAGTTGCCAAGTTCTGGATTTGGAAAAATTGGATTAAGCGTAAAACCGAAATTGAGAACCACTGTTAGCGGACATCGGGCACAATTTACTTGTCGCTGAAAACTCGAGATTTATTTGGCCTACTGTTGCAAAACTATACCATTAGGTGCCAAAAATTTAACATTGAAGTAAAAATTAAGGTAGGCTTGAAAAGTTAAGAGCCATAGCATATTTTTGAAAGTCAGGAAAATTTCTTATTCTGGGCATATTACTGAGATTATTTTAGAAAGGCTAAGTCACAAGGTGTCTGTGCGGCACTTGCTTAAACAAATTATAAATAAAAATTAGTACCAATTGAGTTCCGTAAATTTGGTATTACGTTTTGTTACTTTTTAAAAAGCATATATGTGTGCAAAAACCTTAGATCGAGCATTTAAAAATTGTAATCTACGATTTTTATAACTAAAATATATCAATCTCAAAATTTCAAATCTTTGTAATCACTTACTTTTTTCACAAATTTGTTTAAGTGTACTGAAAGTGTTCCGTCCCCCAGACGGATTGAAGGCATGCTCGTGCGTGGTGGGTGCTCCTTGGCGATGAATAGGAATCTCATTGAATCCGTTGTGATAGTGTCTCTTTATCTGAGTTAAAAGATCTCAATGCGTTTTATTCGTCTTTAGGTTCTTGGCTTCGATGATTAATTCAATCCCGTTCCGGTGGTGAAGGTAAGAAACTTCCTAGGTTTTTTCGTTGGCACACTTGCTCTTTGGTTCCATCGAAAGATGTGTGGCCACAGGGTGATTCTGGTTTTACGACATGATTCTAATCATGCAGCCGATGTGCCAGATATTGAAATGACGGTCTCCGGATCGGTCTTCGTTTTAACATTCCATAATCGTGAATAGTCGGATCGACAATGAACTCACGAAAAGCCGTTAAACCGATAACTCAATCAACTTTTGCGTTGTTTCTGATTATGCTTGCTTGCGTGTGTTGCTGTCAGTTCCTTCGTTGCGTTTTAGATACGCTCTAGGTCCTCCGGTGTGACGTACAGGCGCCGAATGGATGAAGACAACCTTCACGCGACGCTGGGCAAGAGATCTTGTCATCAAGAACTTATTTGTCCCGAATAGCCTGTGATTGCTAGCTGTTTGTATTAGTCTTTTATGGGGCTTTTGGGTGTGGGGATTTGAGGGTATGCATGTTGCTATCGGATGGTGCGCTCTTGTGCACGGTTTGCCTGGGGTGGCGCAGTGCGCATGGTGTGGGTGGCGGTTTGGCCCTGTGCCTTCGCGCAGCGTGATGGAGTCGGGCGTGCTAGGTGGGGTGTGCAAATGGGGTTTGGGTGCCGCTTTGCGCCGCGGAGGCCTACTTCGGGTCGGTCGTATATCGGTTTCGCGAGCTTCAGTTCGGCCGCTGTTGCGCTACGGTGGTTCGCAAGCATGAGGGATGCATCTAAGGGGCTCAACATGCGCCTCTAGGGGGTTCTGGCGGGAGCTGCTTACGGTGGCCCTTGGCGCTGGGTTTGGTCTGCTTGTGATTTGCCGAGGGGTACACAGGGAGACAGGATCGGCAGTCGGCACGAGGTGTCCCTGGCCCGGCTGAGCAGGTCTTTCGATACCGGAGCTCAGACTGGTTTCACAGTTTACAACTACCCTCAATCGATCGTGGGAAGGTCTTATAGTATCAACAGAGAAGGCGGTAACGTTTATAGAATAACAGCAAGGAGGGACAGAAGGTCACGGGTGGGAGTGGTGGGCACGGATGTGTTCAAAGTGGTTCAGTTATGAACGGAGGGTTGACATTTGCTATCACAAAATGTCGAGGGACGGGGCGTAAGCGCTAAGCTGAAATTAGTAGTGGGGGGATCGAGTTAACAGCCGCGTGAATTCCAACCTAGCCTTCCTGACCGAAATCCCTTGTGAAGTCGCGCTGCTTCTGAAGATCAGCTTCGTTAACGGTTGGCTTGGAGCGTTTCACTGCCTGAATCATATCGTCCTGGAAGACACACAGTGAACAAATGAAAATTGTGGCGCTAAAATAAGTAAATTGTGTCTTGCTCCGCCTACCATGCAAACAATGGGGTCGAAGAGCCTGTCCCCTTTAATCTGAGTCCAGTCCATTTCTTTGGCACCTGGATCGCCGGGAGAACAGGGAGTCCAAAGGTCATCCACTATTTGAGAGGGGTCCGCGGGAGAAGGACCACGTACCTAAGGCAAGTAATATGCAAGGGGCGTTGGTAACTTCACCTTAAGATATTTGGAACTTCAAACAACAGTAGAAACAAAATTTGCCAAAGATTCCGGCCCCTTTTAAGCACAACATTTTGGCTGCAGCCTTCGATACTTACCAATTGCTAAAGATTACTTAAATTCGAAAAAGGGGAATGTTTTGGCAGTCGTTAGCTTAACTAAAATGAAGAACGTCGAAAGGTGTGTAGTTTAAAAGGGCAGCTTGTACATTTTACGTTCCCCAAACCTCTAAAAAGGCAGAGCACTTTAGGAAAGCAGCACAAAGAAATGCACGAAACCCTGCTTATAAAACTTGTAGTTTCACTTCATATTGATCCGGCAAAAATTGCAAGTCATCGTGTGAGAACGCCTTAGATGACATGCGCAAAAACGTGTTTAACGATATGGTGACACCAATCGGTGCTATTTCTGTTCAATTTCTTCACCTGCGCCTATAACTTCGAGCGGGCGACTTTGCGGTGTTCAAATAATTCACATTATAAACGAGGTCAATTTCGCATATCCGAAATCAAATAACCATAGCCGGTCTAGGCTTTTCTCTGAAGAATGATTGTGAAACCTCACTTAACTGCCATCAAGGAAATAGGATATTCCACTCAGAGTATGAAGCCCGAGTTTGGCACTACTCCACTGATAAAGAACTACTTCAACGTCTAGCAGAAAAGACACCGTTCCCACAAACACGTGCATACACATTAGCCTCTGACAGATCTACAGTTCATATGCATTCATATAGTTTGGCTTCAGTTATGCTTAGGTAATTAGGCCACTGCATTACGAATTTAGCTGATATACACTTGTTGGAGTTATGCAATCAGACTCAATGTTTGAACTACCGCGGCACATTAATGTGGAAGCACCCTCCAATTTTCAGTTTGCTACGTGTAGGAGAAAACACTCAATTTTTTTAGATAATTTGATACAGAAGTGGGGAGACACACGATCTGAGCTTAACTATTTGGGCCTCCTACACAGATCTTGAGCGTGCTGTTTAAATAGGTAATAGTGTCAGAGATAGATGAAGAGAAACAGAGCATACCCATGTGATGGATAAATATAATTACTAAATGGACCGAGTGAACGAGGATGAAGAAAGCTATTTCCAGCCGTCATCAAAGACGCACTCACATCATTTGCATGTGTTATGCACCCACTCCCTCCCACGTGCACATGACTGATAATCAGCACCTTCTCCTTCTAACTTTTCAAGTGGTTTTACGTTGAATTCACAATCACGACAGATGAATTAAAGGTAATACGAACCTTTTTGAAGTGAGTGGCCGTTTGAACCTTCCGAATAGGCGCCATGAGGGCCTCACGAACGCAGATTGCAATATCAGCCCCCGAGTAGCCATCGGTCATATCGGCGAGCTTCTTGAAGTCAGCGTCCGTCAGTTCATGTGGCGTGGTGCCGAGATGCATGCGGAACATTTTGGCACGGGCCGGAGCCTCTGGCAGTGGGATATAGATGCGCTTCTCAAAGCGTCGGCGAATGGCAGAGTCCAAACACCAGGGGATATTAGTTGCGCCCAGAACAAGCACATCTTTATTATTTGTTCCCACACCCTAGAAAGGGCACAGTGACAATAAAAAGTCACCGCAGCGTCAGCACTAACCTGCATCTGTACGAGGAACTCCGTCTTAATTCGGCGGGCTGATTCGGATTCGTTTTCACTACGAGAGCCACAAAGAGAGTCAACCTCGTCGATAAACACAATGCTGGGTCGATGCTGGCGGGCCAGCTCGAAGAGGTTCTTCACAAGCTTTTCCGATTCACCCAACCACTTGCTCACCAAATCAGAACTAGAAATTGAGAAGAAAGTTGATTTGTTCGCTTCTGTTGCAACGGCCTTAGCGAGGTATGACTTCCCCGTTCCCGGCGGCTATAATAAATGAGAGTCAATTCATGAGACCTAAGAAAATTAGAGAACCTAGATATCACCAGAAGTAAAATACACGTACGCCATAGAGTAGAATACCCTGCCACGGTGTTCGTTTTCCAGTAAACAAATGCGGGAACTTAATGGGTAGAATAACGGCCTCTTTGAGGGCTTCCTTAGCCGCCTCGAGGCCAGCAACATCCTCCCACCTAACATTAGGCTTCTCCATGACGATGGCTTCACTAAGTTGGTTGTGGAATTTTGTCTTTTCGGCGTCTTCCTCCCTATCCGCTTTGATTGGCTTCCTCTCTGTAGTGGCTTCTGCAGCTGCCTACAACCAAACAACGCTCAAGTCGCTATAATGGCATCACTATATTTGCTGAAATGGTAGACGAGCTTATGTGGCTGTCACAGATCAAAGAGTAATACAACTAGTGAATTGTGTGAGGTATTTCAGATATGTCCGCATCTCCTCCATAAAAATCAAAATAAAGCACCAGTATTTAGAAAACAACGCTTTTGAGATTTCAACAAAAGACTGTAAGTGCTAAACTAGCATTGAGGAGAAAAATATGGAACAAAAAACAGGAAATGTATTTTCCAATAACAGTGGCGTTAGAAAGACCGAAAGCAGGTGACCATATCAATAATAATCCAAAAGGGTAGGACTTTAAAGTTAACAAATAACAGATTCTACCAAAGGTATAGACAGAAGTTTCCATGATAGATCCAAATGTCTGTGAAAAAAATGTGGTACAGTTATATTTCCCCCGGTCCAATTTAATGACAAAGAAACGAGTAGAGGTAGTTAAGTCTACGACTAAATAAATCCTGACTTAACACAAAAAGTAAGCATTAGGATTAAAAGATAGACCTTAAACGAAAGCAAAATAAAACAACATTTTCCCTTACTTCCTCGCCCGTATTCGACTCAAGGTACTTCTTAATCTTTTCCGCACGATCTAGATACTGGCACACTTTACTTTTGATACTGTCCCGAGACTTATCATTATGACATCCGTCTAGGTAGACACTAGAGACGCTAAAAAAACCCACATTTCAGGGCATGAAGCATGTAATCGCATCCTATCTGATAGAGACGTAGCGCCTCCTCATAGTTCTTCTTTCTGTCCTCCTCAGTAGCCTTCACAACGGTGTCGATACCTTTCTATAATTTAAATATCAATAATGAACAATAACTAACATTAAGTGCCGCACTAGCGTCATTAGCCATTCCTTCAGACGAGAAGCTGGTGCTCCAAAACCGCGCAAGACAACTGACTGGTTAAAACATTTATCTACGACACCTGATAATGATTGAAGACTGATAATTCTTTTTCCTTGATCCCCTGCCTCCGTTTGCTGTTTCACAGAATTAACTCAAATTAATTGTACCTTACCATTTACAACCTTTATTAGCCAAAGTACTTACAAATTTTTACAATTTATTCTGAAACTTCACTAGCTATTAAGAGGGCTTTTTAGGTCTTACGCTTTTTACTAGTACTTCTTTAGTCATTTCAGAGTAAAATTCACACCACTTTTGTTACTTAGTGGAGGTCATACTGTGATATCAATTCTCGGGTCAATTCCTTGGCTTGCCAAGCGAGGCAACTGCTAAACAAAAAAATTTAAACCATTGATCACAGTTTCGTGCCCTCACATACCCCTGTTAAGACGCGATTTCCCTAACATTCCCACCTCGTATTGTCAGTATTTGGCTAAGGTCACTCCATCCAGTTTTGCAAACTTTCCTAATAATTGTAGTGTACTAGACTCATTATATTAAGTTGTGGCATCCCAGTCTGCACGTACCTGACTTGCGTCCCCAACATGGCCGATCGTCTCTAATCCTCTTAATATCCGTCAGCATAGATCCCCTGAGAGGTTCCCTGCGTGGCATTACTATTCTAAACAAATCCTTACTTCGACACTTGCCAATCCGCCTTCATGATTGGAGTACCAACCAGGTGAAGGTTGCTGACGGACGGCAAAAGCCCAACCCAGTGATGGAATTGCAGTTATCTGCTGGTAAAAGCCTACGCAGGGGCTAACGCCGTCAGCAGCCTCCCGCAGTGTATTCGCTGATGATTCTAACCCGTGAATTAAACATACATCCCCGTAAGCACCAGTACGGTTTATCACGACCTCATTCAAGACAAAGGACGCAAAACCTGAGCCAGCAATTTGGGCCATCAGTGAATAAATATAAACCCATTTCTTTCTTGCAAACATTACTTACATTTGAGGATTACTGTCGTAAAAATTTTAGTGGTCGGTGGCAAAGAACAAAGAGTGTTCGAGTACAAGGTCTTGTGGAGTAAAGGTACACGAAGAGGAACGACGACTGGAAGAGACACCTCTGTGACTGTGCTATTCCCAAAATAAATGATCATGGCCTGTACAGTTTTTGATGAAGTGAAAGGAAGAGGGCGAAGAAAGTAAAAAACGGCGTGGTGATCATTAATGGTGGCCTCGCTGTGGCATTAAGAGAGTGCTACGAGGCTCACTTTTGTTACGCAGTGGTGGCAAGAAGCTGCTTGATTACACGAGGAGTCGTCTCATCCGTGAAGTGAAGAGTGGAGTACCTACGATAAGAAAAAGAGTAAGCCCACGTTAATACGTTCACTATCAGCCACACAAGTGGGGTGTCCCAATGTAGCGTTTCTTTGTTTGAGAATAATTCCACTTTTTGTTTTCGAGGAACAGTCAAAACTACGAGAAATCGGTAAAAATAGAAATCGGTGATACATTAAGGAAAGTAAAACATCTGCGCCATGGTAGCCAACTACCCGATAAGATGCGGTACACCCTCCCTTGGAAATGTAGGAGTAGGGAAACTCCGATGCCTCGAAATCACTGGGTTATAGGATTAGTAAACCCCCACTACAGTTATTATTACACTCACGAGCACGCCTATCGCTGCTGTCAAAACAATGTGTACTAAGATCACCTCTTTGTTCGTCCATAGAACGCTTGCCGTTACCGTTCGCTCGCCATCATAAGGAAGCCGTACTGCGTCCATTACCGATTCGCTCCAGCCATTATACGAGCGAATGAAGGCAATTAAAGGCGTATAAACCTTCGGGCATGAAGAAATACAAACAAAAATATCTTACTGTTGAAGCAAAACCAAGTTTTATGAACGCCTTTCTGATAGATTTTAACGGTCAGCGAATCAGCTGCGCCCCATTGCATGGCAAAACCACAACCTTGATTCATCAAATCGCGTTGAGAGTACATTTATAATTCAATTTGAAACAACCATGCACCCTATTCCAACGTGTTCTTTCGCTAGGCCTCTGCACCAACATCACGACATTTCGATCGGTACGATGCAAATCGACATCATACCCAAAAAGGAGTAAATTTTACAAAAAATGGCAATAAAGATGCACCAGCATCAGCACTTCTATTATTTAACAAAGGCATACATGTACGTAAGGAGTGCAGATAAGAGTGCATAGTCGACCAATATATCCATTCTGTAAAATTTCATCGCACTTCTTTTCGGAATTAATAGTGGGTTAAACACGCTCCCCTAGTTTCATTCGATTGGAATCAACTTTTTACCAGAACTATACATCAATACCACGATCCTTCGATCAATTTCATTTTCCAATCAAAGTCAAACCTACAACATCTACAACTGCGCTCATGGCGGAATAAGAACTGATCAAATTAAGATTTACGACATTGAAAAAGCGAAAGATTAGCCACTTACAAACACGAAGTCATACCATTCTTACATTGTTTAACAAATGTTACATTTACCTTTACAGTAGTTACACACTCTATTCCACGATCAGAAATGCTCCCTTCCCAGTCAGCTATATTACGGTGTGATGTACTCCCTACGAAAGATTTGAAGCAAAGCCGCAAACGTGATCCATGAAACTAAGTTGGCTATGTGTATTTTTCTCCAAGAGGGAACAGAAAGATATGCGATAATTTTTCGATTATAATCTGGAAAGGTGATCCAATTGTATGAGTCCTTTCTAAATATTTGGAGGGGAGGGGGGTTAAAACAAAAAAATAGATGTGACATCTTTAGATGGCGATCATAAGGATAAAAAACCCAGCCAATGTTACAATTCATACAAGGCGTTTCCTTTAAAACTATGAGTAGAATAAACGTATCTGCGATCGACAGCATGTTAGGAATTCGGCCTGAATGAAACGGCTCGAATCGCAATATCTTTAGTTTACCCGTTAGTCAGTAAATGTGTCTGAGAGGAGTAAAAAAAAATACTACGTCGAAGAAACATGTTACACATGGCACACTAAAAAGACTACATGCCTATGGGAGGGCAATGAAAAGCATACAGGCTGAGGGATGGGCTTGTGGGCAGAGACAAATGAAGGAAAGTATGGTCATTCTTAAATGGAAACCGACCGTAAATAAAAATATATGCTGATAGAACTGCAAAAATCCGTTTAGAAGAAGAGCTGCATGAAATGAGGTCAATTGTGCATTCTTACTAGCAAGAAAAGTAAGTCTGGTAGCAAAAAACGGCACCTTGCACGATGAGGAGAGTCTAGTTGCACCCGATTCCGCGCTGGTGGAGAGAACATCACATGCCTATTCAGTCAGAAAAGCTAACAAATATACGGTAAAGTACTCTTTACCCCAAAATCGCAGGTATTTCAATAATAGTATGTCACTCATTCGCCTTATAATGGATACAAGGGAAGAAAAAACACCTTGCGCAACTTCGGAAGTCGTTTAGAGAACTAAAAACCCATGTAATGAACGGTAGTCAGATTTTATTTCTAAAAAACCATTTGTTCCGAAAATTTTGGACTCTCGCAGAAGATAGCAGGCATGAGATCATAAATTTACCGATGATTACTTAGCATGGAGACAAACGGGTAAAAATGCAACCATCCATGGAGTTTCTTGTGCTATTTAAAAGATTGAAGTGTACCCAAGATTGGACGACATTATGAATTAAGTATGAAATACTAACTCCGAGTTCTGCTAGATGTCAGTAGTGAAATTTCAGATTCACCAAGTACATATAAGATTGGGTGAATTAGGTTCCATTTGCCTTACTCAAATACGGCTTAGCTATCTAAAATAGTACACAAGGCGGAAGGGCAACAGCGACTGGATGTTGATTTGTACCTATTATGCACGCTACTAGCAATAGTTAACAACCATTCAAAGCATTTCAGATATCGCTTATTAAGATGGTCATTTTGATTTAAAATCCCAGGCACTCGGGTGGCGGGTAATATGCACGGGTCTTTGAATTCATCCTACACATTTTGACAATCTAGAGGGCTCATGAAATCACTGAGAAGGCCGAAAGGTACAGCAGATTTATAGACAGTAAGAATTCATTTTGATGTCAGGAAAAAAAGTGATTTTCTTCAACCTGACAAAAGGGTGCAATAGATACACACACATTTCACGTAGACGTCATCGGATGAACTGCCCAATCAGAGAAGTGACGCGTGCAGAGGAGGTAAGCACACACACGCGATACGGAATGACTACGAAACACAAGCATACGCACACGCAAGACCCTCCTCCAGTGTCAAACCGGTACAAACACGCGTACTAATGCAGGCAGTGACACCACTGCTTCCGAAAACAGGCATGATAGCCGCTCCTCTGAAAAAAAACACTAAGCCCTTCTTCCTAGCTGGTGATTTCCCTCATTATAGCCCAATCATATGGCAGCCGAACTAATGTCCGGTCTATTTCAAGGCTTGTATAGCCGGATGTGGCGCAGGAACTAGTCTAGACAAAAGATATATCGATGGTACTGCCCCCAAAAATATTATAAGTGGTAATAAGCACGAGGGGAAAAAACCCACCCTTCCAAATTGGTAAAAATTTGCATTGTCTGTTAGAGATTCACTTCGTTGTAAAGCGCATGGACTGCATGAAATAGTAATCCCCTGTTGTTCAACTGCAACAACTGACACTTGACAGCTTCCATTTACCTCGTCATGCACTTGTCTACCGATCCAAAGCCTTCAGATGGGAGAGGAGATGTGAAACAGTTGTGCAAAGAAAAACAAGACTGACAAACGAAGAAGAGGATCAAATTGATAAAACTAGTAGAAGAAAAGGAAACTTAATGGAGCCCAGCATTACCAGCGTTTCAAATGATGTTTCCTCAGAAGTATTAACAATGTTACTACAGCAATCATGCTTTCTAAAGGTAAGATCTTAATTCTAGCTATCGATAATAGGATAATTCATTGACTTAATACGACACTTTAGTCCAAAACTTAAAAAAATCTATTTAAAATTGCCTATCGAAACAGAGATAAAAAAATAAGTAGGAACAAAAAGGTGTAGAATTAAATTGATTAATATCTTTTGTGGCTCCCGATCTTCGACGTAGACGTTCTAATTCGACTTGAAGCACTCATAGTGGAAGCAGAGTTCAAATTGTGAAATGACGCAACAGTTCATCGCTTGTCGTTCGACAAATAAAGAATATAATTTTGAGGAGTAGTGGCACCCCAATGAAACGGGAGAACTGATATGCTATTAGATGTGAATAGACACGTAGCATAAACTGTCGTCAATCAAGGAGAGGAATAGGACTTACTTGATTGCATTGAGCAAACACTGGACGCTTTTCGGGTTCTGCTCCTTCAGCAGTCGAACACAGCTCTTCACCTACAAATGCATGTTTACAATAAAAAAAAAAGAAGAGAAGAAATGGATGCGATTGCAGGACCTAGGATTGGAGCAACCCAAAGTTTCTCCAAATTAAGGCGACTTTTAACAGACTGCTCTGCGTTTCGGAAGACACCAAGCACTTAAATGAAGACCGTGGAAATGGCGGCATGCAAAAAATGCGTAATGACCCTCTGCACAGGACTGGTACACAAATTGCAATAAGCTGTGATGGAGAGGGAGGAGAGATCCATTTTGCCTCAAATCGGAGTACCGTCGTTTAAAACAATCATTCCAAACCGAAACACAAAAATCGAACATACTTTTCCAAAAAAATGGAGTGGGCTAAAATAATTCGTCCTTATTTTGCCAAATACAGCCAGAGCATTAATTTTTAATGCCACGAGGCTCACCCACAGCCAGCCCTTAAGGGAAGAGCTCATGCATAGGGAAAGCACCGTTACAACATCAAAGTATAAAGGATTAAAACGTGACATCAAAGCATGGTTATGCACGTTTGCTAATTCACTTTTAATTATCGACAGTAAATTTAATATTCGGAAGCCTAGAGACCATTAATTATTCATTTCGCCTCCGCTCCCACCCCCTCTCCTTTCCACCCTGTGTGCGTTCATTGGTGGGTAGAGAAGCCTTCTAATTAATTTTGAACTAGATCAAATTTCTATTTATTACCACAATCCTTTTATCCATGTTCGCGTTCGTCTTCACACAGTAGGGCACATAAAACGGTACCGCATCAATAGCGCCGCCTTACGCAAACCCTCAACCGCCAGACGAGTTCACATATTCATTCATTCCAAAAAAATCAGGAGGATTATGCACAATAAGGTTATTTAGCAACAAATTTCCATGATCTTGGTCACTAAATTTAAGAGGCGCAGTTTATTTTGCCAGTGTTAACCAATTAACCAATTCACCCCGGTGTAGAGGCAGGAAGGCCTTCGGTTACCACATGTACAGAAAAATGGAAAGACCATTCTTTGGTTGTAGTGTTTAATCATACAGGTCTTTATAACATCCCACATTGGCACGGAGCTTTGTTCATAACACCCATGCCACCTAATTCCTAACCCTTCAGAATCATGACGATGGATCTGGTTACGGACTCGCATCTATTAATTAACATCTTCAAGGATGCCTGAGGTGCCACATTGATGGCAATAGTGGGGCATCCACCACGAAGGGTAATCCTAATTCCCCTGCCTAACTACATCGCCACGCCGTCATTGCGGGGGAAGTTGGGTTGTGGGCGGTTGAATCCAGAGAGGGACAAGGGCCGTTGAAGTGGCGTCAAACTGCGACAACTGCTCCGGTCTTCAATGCCGGGTGGTAGAAAATGCTACAACAAGTCAGTTCATAAGTGACCCTTTTACAGTGGCGCACGTAATGTGCCCACTGCAGACCACCGCCCATTCCTTAACACTACTTTCTAAATTGCCAGAATAGATCGCCTAATGAAGGTTTTAGTATTTAGAAACCCCATCTACTAATGATACAAAATGAATAAAATTCTAGCTCCTGTCTCGTGGAAATTTGTGATTACATGGAGAGCGCAGGGAACTACATAGCAGAACCGCATTCATTTTGGTTGTATGCTTGACTAGAGAGAACTTCTTATTCTCCCGCGAAATTGGCTATGCCACCAGCCACTTAACTCTACTCTCAGATCCCTAAACCTATTAACGTTCTAAAGGATGACTCAAACGCTACAATTCACTTAAATTGGACCTAAATTTGTTCCGCATCCATCGGAATTCATGCTAGAAACAAAAAAGGCGGCGAAAGCACCTACTTAAGCCAGATTAATCGGCAGGTGACAAACGCCACAGAGAGGTGGCCAGAGATGCCACGAGAGGAGAACGACGCCTGCTGTGTAGGAAGGCGTTAATTGCTTCCACCAGCCCCTCCTCTCTCAAATGGATAACCAATAATTGATGCGTAGGCCGAGAAAGAGGGAAAGACTCAAAAAGTACTTAATCGACTGCCTGAAGCCGTGAAAATACAGAAATGACCCGATTGAGGAAAAAAAGCGCTAACCGATTTAAGCGACACCGAGCAAGTTGATGCACCAGCAAAGTTACAGACACCTGGATGACTACCAAACATTGTTATGCTAACTTAGCTACTGCAGCCCGGTGCCAAACTACAATTTTAGCAAGTAGTATAAATTTACTGAGGCAGTAAATTTTAATTAGTTTTAAGGTGGACGATGAACCAAAAAGGAATGAGAACAAAGAAGTAGGTCATAGGCCACGTTACCAACGCAACTCCTCCTGTGTGGGGTTTTGAACGTTTTCTCCCTACTGAGAACGAAGAATGGAAGTCAGAAGTCCTAAACTTCTCACCTTTCACCTCAAAAATAAATTAAATGGAATTGACTACTTTTGATAAGTAGTGAATCACCAATGCGATGGGTGAGTGAAGAAAGAAAAGAACCCGCTATGCTCACTACACCCCTCATTCCAAAAGTCGGGCCAATCCTTCTGGCGTCTGGACAGGCCTGTGACACGGTAGGATATGTGGGGGCAGGGGGTACCCAAATGCAGTGGGAGGACAAACGCCCACGCGCTTCTCCTGTATCAACACAACGATAATGTGATTGTGCGCATAATTAGAAGTGATCAAATAAAAAATCGTGTAAAATGAGCAACTAGACTTGAACAAACCAAAACAAATGCAATAAACAAGCTCCTAGATATTTTGCCGCCAATTCCTGGGTCATCGGTTCGGATGAAATTGTATTTGTTTCCTACTCTAAACGGACCCTTTGAACTTCGCGGGGAGACTTAATAAATTATGGCAAAACTATGCGGAATACAGGTTTTCCTGTTTTCACTGGTGGCAGAGTAAGTTGATATGATTTATTTCATAAACTACGGTGGCTAGCGGTTTCGTCTAACCAGATAATGGCTAAAAGTGGTACACAATGGCATGTTCGCTAGTTAAGATGTTATCCGAGGATACCAAGCACCGTAATGTTTAGGTTACACTGCAAGCGACCACCACAAGTATGTAATTTGGTGGAGTGAAACCCACGCGTAACAAGAGAGGTTTGAAAGGAAACAGCACTATAGGCCTTCTGAAATTGCCATTCGCAAACGGATTATCGCTTGTTAAAATCCCCTTTATTCTCACTTCAAACAAGCAAAATAAACAACAAAATGAATCATTTGAATTTCATTGGAGATATGAAGCTAACCGGAAAGAAACAAAAGCAGTAAACCCTTAGCATTATTGCCATGGTGCGCCGTAGTTTCCTGGTTCATTTCATAGATCAACCCTCCGAGCAGTTCGTCGAAACAGACTCAGAATCTGGCAAATGTGATATGGGAAGACCCCGATCATTGCACTGGCGAGGATTGCATCACAAGCACTCACCAAAAGATGGCCATTTTGATAGTACACCAAGTGAGCGGGTTTGAAGAGGGCATGTACACGCTTTTGAGGATTTGCCATTAAAATATCAATTCCCCGTAGTTCAAGAAAGCGGATGTACCGGGTTTCAGCAGAAAAACAAAGTCAACCGGTCTACTTTACCGCATTAGAAAGAAAATTTTAGGCCCACCAATGGAGTATGATGTTTACAAGCGATTGTAATGGCTGTGGTGTCTGATAACCATCACGACATCGTTAATGCAATAAGCGTGACATCCAGAGATGATGGGGTGCTGTCCAAATTTGTGCAAGTGATGATGCTTATAATTTGCCCTCACAAGCGCTTGCACGACCGCGCGGCAATCAATTTAACCCAGAATACCCTCAAATCCTCCCCAGGGGTTTCGACTTTATGGCTGCACACACAAAATTACCTTTTATTAAGTGTAGCAAAATTCGACACATCTTGGGCGAAGAAAAAAGCAGTAAAAATTCGAAACTGTTGCCAAAATGCCTCAGCGGGCCAACACGAGCGGTGTTCACACAAATTTGCAAGCTTTCACTGTCTTGAAGCTCATCTGAACTTCAAAGTAAAATAATGCATCCAATTTTGGGTAGATGTAATTGCATTTCACGAAATCTGGCTTTCCTTACCTAAACGACCCTCCAGTTACTTCTTGTACGATGATATGACAGCCTCAAGTCGGTCCGTGTCGGTTGCGCTCCTAGCCCACAGCACACCTGTCATTTCCGTTCGAACACTCAGTCATCACGTGAAATACCAGACCGACTCACAACCTGTCGTGTGACGGAACTGCATGGGTGAAGTGAAGTGCAGAAGAGTTGAACGTTGTAATGAGTCGAAGTCTTGCACAAGAGTAGATATTTACAAGCTCAGATTAGCCACATTTGATGACAAGAAACGTGATTCACATAATGTCGCATAAACTACTATCGCCGCTGGCCATCTTGGTGAAGGGGACCTGGACCAAGGTGGTCCATGAGAAAGGCGCTAGTTGTTTTAATAATACTGCATGCGGCACCACCATGGTCGCATGCCTTTTGTGTAGTTACCAGAATCATATCAGATGGCAAATTGTTTCATTATCTAATCAGTGAGGATGCGTTAGAAGTACGGGAATGGAGAGCGAAATCCAGTCCGAACAAAGTAAACAGAGCAAGGTGTCAATCGGATATTCGGGAACAAACAAATATTAAACGAAGGCTAATGACCTGCCCTCGTTACTTTCATAACAAATTAAGAATATTCGCGGTTTTACACAGGACATACGATTGGGCAAACAAAAGCACGCAATTACGATAACAGGCGGGCATTGAATCATTGCGAGGAAATGAAATGACATGAATGCCTCAGCGGAACGGGTGATAAGTTGGCAAGGCGCCAATGGACCCATGCCTAAGGAATAGTAGAGGGACCTACGTCACACATAAATCGTCAAAAGTAGACGGCCAAGTAAGTGAAAAATTCCAGCTAGTTAGGAAGCACTGGCACCTTTTTATGAACTGGTTTTATTCTGAACTGCAAAACAGAGGGAACGAATGGGCTTGTGTTCTTAGAATTCCGTAGCGGATAGCAAAAGGGTCTTCTTTTTTCTTCACTGCTGATGAAATTTCCTACAACCGCCAAGACGATAGCTCCACACTAGCATTGTTAGCAAAAAACGGATTCAATTCATAATTGCCAATATGCTGAGTTCATTCAACATGAAAAGCAACGGCACTTTGCGACAAGTACGAATGAAATGTAATATTTTTTGAATTTGAAAACTGAAGAGCTCCAGCCACGAGTGAAAAATTGAAATCATGAGGCCAAGACTTTCACAGCATGGGTGCTAGAATACACTGATAGAAAGAGTATAATAGGCCACACGGATTATTAATTTGTCACTACTTTATTGGATATGTAAAACAAATTCATTTTATGACGATCTGCGCAATTCAGCAACCCTCATTCAAAAGTCAAGAAGCATCAAAAGTGTAGGTCGTGAGATCGGACATCTCCACAATCCACGGTCACCAGAACTATTTAAAGGTCGAGCAAAATAAGAGCCATTTTTGATTACGCTTATCTTATGCATCATCTGGCATGTTCCAGAAGTCAGATGGGATCGGATAAGTGAACACTGTTTTGTCAAAACGACCATAGTCACCTGGTAACGCAGGTAGACAATGGAAGCTCCGAACTGCAATCACACGGAGGCTAGATTCCGAATAAGATTGCTCTCTGCCAGTTATTTTCTACTTGATGATCAAATTCATTCACTGATTGATGACGCAGTTTGAGACAAGGGAATACTCACATCAAGTTTGGAAGTCTTTCGGAAGACGCCATAGGGATCGATGTGGTCGTAGAGAATGATAACGCCCGTCATGACCCGTAGTAGAAGCATGAGAGTGTCATCACGGGTTACGCGACTCCGCAGGGAAGGCTTCACCAGCAAACCCCGGCAGATATGCGCCATCGCTGCGAGGCACTCAGAGGTGACATCCATGGGAATCATCGCATCCTAGAGCAGAAAGTATGAAAAAGGAGCCATGTGCAAAGTTGTATATCCAACTTAACAAACATTTCTAGTCCTCTCTGGTTCCGTTATCATACAAAGGTAAACACATTTCATGGATGTTAATGGATCCCCGGTGTTTACAAGGGTACTTTTCGGAAGCCTCCAGAGACAACTTGGACATTGGATCGGTACCGGAATTGTGTAACAGAATGCTATTTAGTTTAGCTGCCTGTGTAACAACGTATTACTTTCGAGTCTCCCGTGGCTTGTAGCCACATGCATGTCATTTGTAGTACTTGGCGCTCCTCCCCTCAAAAAAACCCTTCCTGTACGATTTTAACAAACCTACATCTGGAATGGCACACCTCACGTCCTGGAGGGAAATTGAGATGCCCTATTGGTGGAAAGGTAGTCAAATGCACTGACTGGACGCCAAGTCACAGCTTCACAGGAGGAAGGCATCTACTGCAAATGGGCGAACACGATGAGACTCATTAAAGAAGAGATATCAAAAAAAAATAGACTAAACTTGAACAAGCCACTCAATCTGGAGTTATGAGTTTGATTGAATCGAAAACAATGAGTTGTGTTCGTAGTTCGAAAACTTTATATCCCCCTTTTGCAAGCCGCTAAAAAATAACTTAAAAGGCCGAAGAAATGCAAGGAATGAATCAAGAGCATAGTTACTGCGAAAATTGTGCATTATTAGCCCTACTTTGGGGGAAATTTTCCCTATAGAACTTGATGGATACAGGGAATATACTCACAGTAGAATATTGACGGGATTCTAGCAAAACAAAGCCAATGCATTCGCACAATGGAGTTCCCAATAAGGAATGGCCTTGGATTCAGAAGTTTTATTGTGGTTATCAAAACTATAGAATGATTTTTAGTCTCTTTCTCGTGTAGTTACCAAAGTGGGAGAGTCACCAAGGGGAGTGTAAAGAGCGACGTACAAGGTAAGGGTGAAGATGTGACCGATCGACACAGGTAGTTAGATGAGTCGGATTTTTCAGTTCCCCGTGAGTCGACTGCTGCATGGGTGGGAGGAAGCTATGCTACTTGTCTCCCAACCTTGCTGCCCGTTTATAATAAGGCTACTTCTAGACTGGCACGGTTAAAGAAACGCTCACCTAATATGGGTCCAAATATTTCTCACGTAGAGCAGACAGTGCTTTTATTTAGCAAAAAGTGCATACGCATCCCGAGGCTAGGAAGGGCTCCAGTCAAGCAAATTAATGAATTACTGCGCGGTCTTCCTACAGACAGGGGTTATTTTGATGCTAAAAAAATTAACTGCCACGCACTTAATTGCCGCACAAATTCTAGCTATGCAAATGGGAAGCGAAGGCACTAATAGAGGTAATTTTTCTTTACAGCATCACCCCAAAAGGTCTGTGCATTGCAGAGATGAGAAAAAACCAGTGATTTTGTACAATACTGCAGTGGTGGTGACACTTCAACACACAAACCTGCTATGGGCGGTGTGGTTGTTTACATAAAAACAACATTACGACATAGTGAGCAAAGTGTCGAATATAACTTTTCCTTATTGCAAAAGCATTCTAGAAGTAGACACGTAGAGACAACAATAAAAATGTTTTAGCAGCATTAAATGCCAAGACTGCGATCGATCTCAACAAATGAAAAAATACGAGACTAGCTAAGAAGTATAGAATCTGTAGGACTTCGCATCCATCAGTTAAAAAACGAGTGTTTATTCCTATTGGGTAGCTGTATTATAAGGCTACATGACGCATAAGGAACATCAACGAACGAGTGGAGTACGGTAGGGGTTAAGAATTTGAAGAAGTAAACCAGGCAATATTCGGTGCTGCAAGATTCAGGGGAAAACATTTAGGCAGAAAATATAGACGATTTAGAGAGATAATTCTCATCAAGAATTCGACCTTGTAAGCGATAGGGATAAAGAACAAACAACTTGAATGCTCATGGAAAGTGCACATTTATTAAAGTCCCTGAATATTTGATTGGGATCATGACGTCTTTATAATTCTGGCGGAAATAATAACGAAGACAATCGAACTCAACTTATAAAATGCCAAAAGTTCAACCACTGGACATATTTCACATGATCGAGCCATCGGGAGAATCTGCTTACAAACGCCACGAGCCACAAAAATCGGTCTCGCAAAGAAAAAGTTTTAAAGGTTGAAATAAATGCAATGATGACGATAAAGGCCTGGACTTAGACTCTGACTATTCTCAACAAATGACAAAAATAGGACCCATTTATAGGTCTGAGGCACTGAATTTTTTACGACCTAGTATCTGACACAACAAAAACAAAAAATGGAAAAAATAGCAGAAAGTATAAGCGCTTACAAATTGAAAATGAGCAAATCTGGGCTCTTTAACCAGTTAACATGCCTTCTCCGACCGTGTCATCCAGTAGTATTCGTTTTCGTGATTCAGGTGGAGTTAAAAAATAGTATTAACAAAACCAATCACAACATCCAAACGAAGTAAAATTCAGAAAAATTCATCAAACTGGTACAACCGTAAGCCTGATGAATTGTCAAAAGATAGCCAAAAAAGGAGGAACTGTAGAAATTATAATCTACGGAAGAACATGAAAATTGGACTGACTTCAATGTTCCTAGGAGAAAACAATAAAGGTAAATAGGCTTAAAAAAACTTGAACGAGGTCACGCTCTGTTTAGAGGAGGTGGAGAAGGGGGTGAAATAGGGCAAGTTAAGGTGGAAGGCTGAATGTTTACTTCTACCCCCCAGTCAGTGACATCCCACTAATGGCCTTCACAGAGGATTGGGCGAATGACAGGTCGGCACACACCCAAACGCACCACATACAACCGAAACAAGAAAAACATAGTTTGACTGGTTCCATGTGATATCCCCACTTCACGCCACCAAGAACCGAATTTTCACAGTGACCCTGAAGTGCAACGGAGCACAACCAAAGGCGCGTAAACAAAACTAGACTTCGATGCAAATAAGCAAACGCCAGGACCCTTGAAGTGTCAAATCAAAAATACCACCAAAAACAGTCACCAAAGAAGAGGATGAGGCTCATAATAGGGCAACGGGAAGGGGAGAACCTGGGATCCAGAGTAAATGCTATGGTGATGGGCACCACCCACAATGCATGTATATGATTTATGAGGTGTGAATGATGCGTGAAAAGTCAGCAGGATGCGAATGACGTTTGCAAAACGGCAATGAAACCAACACGCAGATCATGAACCAGTGTCACCTATGCTTTTCACATAGCAAACATTTTTCGATTTCAAAGTATACCACGCCTTAATTTAGGTATTTTTACAACGGAGAATGTACATATCACGAAAAATACGCATCGAAAAGAGGGGAGAAAGTGTGCAGAACATGCAGTGTCCTTTCAAATGGGCTACCAAAAGTGGGAAACTTCAAATTAAAATAACGCAGGTGCAAAAAAGTGCAGGAGTTAATTAAAGGGGTAAATACGTGCTCTCTGCATAATCTAATATCAGTAAAAATAACACAAAACCAGAGAGCATAAATCAAATAACTCGAAACGGTTGATTATCAATAATACTGAATGCCAGAATCTAAATTCCTCCAATAGATGAAAAGCACATCAAACTTGTTGGCAGCATAACTGGGAGACAAGTGGTTCTTTTTCTAGGCAAAATGTTAGAGTTCTACAGGTGTCCAGGAAATTTACCTCACTGAATTCCACATCATTTCAGACGGTGATTCATGATCAATATTGAATGCTGGGCGATGAATCTTAAATGCCGAAGTTGTTGACATGTGATTTTTTTACCTTTCTCCAGAACTAAATGCCAGAACTTTACAGATTTCTAGACAATCAGCTTAACAGCTCATAAATTGACACAGCAGTTTGCCATAGGTGCCTTCCGGTAATGGGTAAAAGAAAAATCCTCTAAGCAATCAGAATAATAAAGGCCGATTAAACATCTCAAATCCGGCCGATCACAGTTAAAACGATGAAAATTAGTTGAAAACTGTTCTTTTGCGCCTAATTTTATGCCCTTAAGAAAGTCAGAACGAAAAACAACATTAACGAGAGTGGTAGTTCGGTAAATTGACAGAGGGCGGGGAGGAGTGAATAAAAAACGCCCCGACCTCCATTGCCCTAGTCATAAAACTCAGACTGATCCTTTTTACGATCCTGTTTACAAATCCTATCATCAGACGACAGAAATGCGAAGCTACTTTCACCGGAGTGCTAGAGCCTAAAAGTAGGCTTCACAGCAGGTGTGGGAAGGATTCACAGAACGTTTCTGATCTGACCATTAACAAGATTGAGGAAGAAATGCGTCAAAAGACATTTATTTAAACTATGCAGCAGTGACTACTCGCCAAAAAATGAATTTAAGAATGTTGTTCGATTTTCCAAGTACAGAAACAATAGGCCTGGAGACTCACCTACAATATGTAGCGCACCACAGTTAGACGAAATCCGTGACACAAGTGTGGACGTAGGATGAATCACACACGCGATGAGTCGAAGGAAACAAGTGAAAACGGCAACCATACAATCTATTCCCACCCCCGTAAAGGTAGATAAACATACTACTGATCGGATAGGTACGATAGCATCAACAGCAGTAGAAAGTTCTTGGAAAAAGAAGGAGAGAGTCACGGAGGCGCGAAATGAAGCACCAAGATATACGCTCTCTGTACCCATTAGCCATCGAATAATCATCCACTAATGAAGGAAGCCCACACTCCACAGACATAAGAATGGAGCTCGTATGGAGACGGGCGACTGCTTGTAAGTCAAATGAGCGCGCAGAGAGAAATTTCAGACCTATCAGACATCAGGCGAATAGTTGTTTAAGGTACTCCTTAATAAAGGATAAACAAGTGCAAAGAATGTTTAAAGAGCATCAAGAAGGAAGATTATTCATCGACACCGTCTCTACGTGAGATGATAGTAAGTCAAGCACAATGAGCGACCACGAAAAATGGGACTTTCGAACTTTTAAAAGAGAATGCAGTTCTCAATAAGCGTAAACTACATTTGTTTTTCGACACAGTTATCTGCTGCTACACTTGTGCATTTGTCTCGAGGTGCAAACAATAACTGTGAAGCTTCAACGCAAGGAGATTTCTTGGTACAGCTGAACCATCTTAAGGGACGGCGTACTCCAGCTTCTCGAAATTGCAAATGTTCGTTTCACGGGCTTGCTGAATGCTTGCAAAAAAGTTGCTGTGCCGGGATTGTCGTCGACACAGCTTTGAAACGGTGATGCTGTGTAAACCGCCTATTGCTGAGCCTGTAGTCTTCTGTAGATAGGACCAGATAACCATAGATTTGAGCTTGACATACTCAACGACAAGAAGCTTTGTTGATCGCAACATGCCGTTTCGTGCAGGGAGGTGCTACGAATGTTGCCCACCATCTTGAGCGATGGCTGGACTGGACTCCACCACATTGCTCACGCTACACGCTCCAGTTGCGTTATTCATGGTAGTAGTTGAACGCACTCGTCACTTACTACTGCGTGTAGCACCGCCATGGTAGCGTACCTTTTTAGATATTTGTAGTGGCATTGCGTGGACAAAAACAAAACACGAAAGGCAATTGGAAAAGTGGTGGAAGGACATTTGACCCTACATGACTCAAAGCTTCTGGTAGGGAGAGCAGCGAAATAAAAAAGTGGGCTAACAGGCCGCAAAGTTCTACAAGGTAGCGACTAAATGAAATCGCAAAGTCGGAGTAGTTTATCTCAGGTTCATACAATGAAGCAGAAATTGCGTGCTTAAAAGTCCACGTATTCGACGGGAGCATTGACCTGCTCAACTCTATATTTGAAACTAGTGATTACTATCACGCAAAAAACCAGTGGAAAATATTCCACGAAGGGATGAGGGTAAATTAGAAACCCACGACTGGGTTGAGAACACTACAATTTATTCTAAATAGGCTTTGCATAGAAAAAAGTTATCAAAAACAGGCACAAGAAATCCAGAAAGCGCCATTATATTTTACAAATTTAACAAGATTTAAATAAAGTTAATAAGATCAGCGACTGCTTATTTGGTGTTAGCGAGAAAAATGAAAAATAGAATATAGTATTAAAGTCAAAGACACTGCAGAGCAAAGAACAGTCTGTTTACAAGAGTACTCACCACCATGTGACACTGTGTGGCATATCGGCTAATAAGTTTGAGCATAGGAGTGGCTTCCGCGTAGAAGAGGGACATCTTACTGCAACACTCATCACTCAGCTCCTCAATCCCCTGTCGTAAGAAGGGCTCCGCACCGTCCACATTGCATGGAGCTGAAATCTAGGCGGGGAAAAAATATGCATTTTGTGGTAATTCGGTGTGCCTTAAAGCGCATTGTTTGTAATAACTGCCACGATAACCGTGACAATAGAGGGGCGTTTGCTTGAACCATTTCACTTCCCTGATAAATTTTATTATTTAGATTATGGCGGAGGGAAGGCCAAATACCTGTCGTGAAAAATCGACTGCAGGCCTTCTTCTTTGGCGCAACCGACGGTAAAAGCTGAAGTCGTTCTGGATAGAAGGTTTGGTCATCTAAAAAAAGAAAGAATACACAATCGTCGTATGTCCGTTACAAACTGTGCACATGGTTAATCGGATAATTAGGTTTTCCAGGTGTACTGAGTCGTGCGCCACTGTACTGTTGTCCACTGACAGTCCATTGTGTTTCAATCTTGCGAGGAAATTCTGATATCGCTCCAATTTAGGAAGATGAAGGATTTGAAGGGATACTCACAGTTGTCACCTTTAAACCAGCAGTTATGAAGAAAGGCATATCAGGTTATCATAGTGCCACCTACTGTGTAGGCTCGTCTGTAAAAATACAATCAGACTAAATGTGGACTACAAGATCAACATTTCTCTACTAGCAAAACGATAAAGGCACAGGCTTCACGAAGTCATCACAGTGAAATATATGTAAACTATTATACAAAATCAAGAGAAAGGACTATCAAATAAGAAGTCTGCAGACAGTGCAGGGTCCAGAATGGAAGCACGAGTTATCGTCGTCAAGAAAGCTATGAAAACAGTCATCTATCATTACAAAGAAAAAGAGAATAAAATTGATTATCCCAAATCACAGAAGATATACAAAGGCAAAGAAACGTCTCCGATAAGAGAGCTGGGGTTGTCATAGCCAGTGAGGGTGAGCAGGAAGTCACCAATCACCATATAAATGTCCGCAAAACCACCTGTACTAACTTACGCGTCAGGTTTACATAAAATTACAAACAAACCGATGATATAGAGGCATTGACGCCTACAACAGAAGAACTTGAGGTATTGTGGCAGAATGTGCCGTAAACACGAATCTACCAGTCGCTATGATCATACTGTCACATGTGGGAAATTCATGGGGAAATCATGATGCAAGACAACGTCGAGGGTAGGACTTATTGTGGTCGAAGGAGGCATAAACACAAGACCTATGTGACTCGTAGCTAGGGAGTGACGAGCGAGCAGGAGGGTCCAGTCATCCACGCACACGTAGGCGCGCACACGATCTCCCTCTTCTTCCCTCCTCTTTCATCAATGATGCAACGCAAAAAAACACTGGTCGCACACTCAAATAACTTAGTCACTGACCAGCAAAACCACATCCCACCTATTGCAGCCATTTATCTTTGATAGAAAACCCCGCTAACAAACAACCAGTTTGTCAAGGGGGAATTCTCGGATCGAAGATCCCCTTCCCTCATCCATCCAAAAAACAGTGAACCATAGAGATTTAATAAAATGAATGCCTTCTGTCTAATACGTGGATGGTGTTTATTAAGGACGGCATCTTCGACGAATCAGAAATGGTTCGTAGTAATCGAAATAGAAACAGATCAATCGAAAAATGCAGCAGCGAAAAAAAGATGATAAAGATTTCAGTGATTCTTCGAAAGTGAGAAAAATAATTTGAAATTTATCTCCGCCAAGTCAAAAAAACAGTAACTAACGCGTTCGCTAGCAGCCTCACAGGGAAATTGACCGCTGCAGCCCAGAAGTCCAGTTGTTCTAAAATGGTACTAAGTGGGCTTATTTTGTTTTCCACTTAGCCAAATTCATTTTCCTCTAATTGTGTCAAATAAGTGCGACATGTGAGGTCAGGAGAGAAACTTTGGGAGCCGCATCATGCAACACTGGTAGTGAAAGTGTTAAAATTATTAACCTCTATCTAGTAACAAAGTACTATTAAAATAGGTCAGGGCATCCAACAGCGAAATAACATGCAAGGTCCTAGAAATCAACAAAAGTAAAGTGTAACGGAGAAGCACAAACTGGCAAATAGGCATACTAAGCAAAAAAAGATCCAAGGAAGATGGATGTGATGTTTTGGAGGCGGTTGAAAGTGGACTTTGAGCCTAAGACAAAAACTATAGCCCGCAGAGAGAACGAGATCCTGACTGTATTAGGTAAGACCAAAAAGTAAGGCATAATATGAATAAGTTCACGGTTGTGGAATGGAAGAGATTAAACCGGCGATGAAGTTAAGCTAATGATACTTCGAAATTTTCAGCATAAATGCCACTACCGTTCTTACTTTAGCGCCAAAATGCATGAATTCATGGATCCATAATAGTGTGAGACAGACTAATTGGGGCAAATATTTTTGGCTCCATATAACGAGGCCCATTAATAGCCTGGTACTCGGAGAAATTGCATCGAATACTAAAAAATACGCTTTCAATTTAATTTAGTAATTGTAAAAGTAAGATGTATTCACTTGCAATAATCTCTGCTCCCTCTCGGGCTCTGCGCAAAACTTGATCGTGAGAATTACACTAACGAGGTAAAGCCGAACTTTCGTTTGGGAAAGTAGTGATGCCTATTGAGGTGAGGAAAGAGTTTGCCGACGTTACTTGCCATCTTATTCCTTGAGAATTACAAGAAACAATTGAAGTTACAGACACGAAAGCGATCTCAAAACATGATCAGCTCCGTCATAATCCAGTCTCTAAGTGGAACAAAATTTAAACGGTTCTTGTAAGGATAAAACGTAATATAGCTTTCAATTATCAAACCGTAACTAATTAAAACAATGGGAACAAGCCTATGCGCCCTTCATGAAATCATTTAAATTGTAAATAACTCAGTATGCTTGTGCTTAACTCGCGAAAAGGTAAAGATGGTAAGGTAAAAATGAACTGTATCAATATCAGTCAAGATAGAAAGCCTTCACCTGGAAAAAAATACGTCTCAGACGCCTCGTAAACAGCAGAAGCAATCACAAAACGACTTTAACCACCAAGTCAAAGGTTTACAGAGGTCGATATCAAAAATGGGAAATCCTGGTGGCCAAACAATGGGTTTGATTCGACGAAAGGTCATAACAGTAGAGGCATAAGCACCTAAAGCTGATAGATCAAATATCGCTCCACCAGCAGAGACAAAGCAAAAGTGAGTCAGATGTATACGGACAAATGCGCAACTTATAGGAAAACTCTAGTTTTTCACCTTTCCCTAATGCATCACACTGAGTCATGCCTTGCCAAGCTGGGAGCACAAACAAGCGGATAGAGCTAGAGATTTGTCGATGCAGACGAGAAATGCCTATAGTGGGGATTTTTTCCTGAATATCCCAAGTATGATGATGGGTAGAAGTTACCAAATAAGCTGCTTTTGAAATGATATGAGCATTATGTGCCGCAATGAGATACAAGAATAGCATGCCTGAGCAGAAATTTCGAAATATGACGACTTTAATTAAGAGCATATACGATTGAGACATGGCAAACTACGCATTCCACCTTCAACTCAGAAAGCACTGCAGCAGATGAAAATTTCGATTAGTTTAACGAGGATAAACAAGAAAAGATTTTGACGCCTTTTTCTACTTTGTCTTAAGACCAACTACTGTACAACCAGGAACAGAGGACTAAAACAAAGTGGAGGAAAAGTTGCCAAAAATGGAGGAAAGGACGCAAAAAAGGGTGGAAATAGACAAATTTATCGAAAATAGCGGTGCTGAATGCAGTTTGTAGTTGAATTGATCTACTAAAAACCCAATAAAAATCCAACAAATCGATATGGCAAAAGCATGTGAAGTATCATCTTAACCAGTAGAAACAATCATGGCGCTTAGAGTTCTGAACTTATGCCTTAAACAACACTAAATGTATAGAACAAACACAGTAATTATGAAGAGATTTCAAATAAAAAGTAAAACAAAATAAGTTACGGAAGCTCTAATAACAGGGGCGGTAAACAGGGCTGTAAAATTACTGATAAGTAAAATATTTTGAAGGAAACCAAACCTTAATGTTGTCGAATTGCATAATGAAATCGAGAATTTCAGCAAATTGTTTGAACAAGGCCTGTTGGGATTCCAGATGTTCCCAGACGGTAAGTTCGTCTGAACAGAGTGCATGGAGAAGCCGAGGAACAGTTTGTGCTGTAGAGAGGACGAAAACAAACAGAGGATAATATTTTTCGGACGAAAACAAAGACTGAATTTAAGTTAAGCGAATATATTAGGCGGTAAGTCATTTCAATGTAATAAACGACGCCATTCACAGATGACATCCGTAAATAGTGAACGCATTAGACGAACATATACAATTCTGAAGAGCACTGACCCAAATATTTGACTCCCACTTCTGAATAAAACGTGCTAAGGTTACAGAACTCATAAGGAAGTTTCAAATCATATACCAATACACATTCAAGTTCAAATCTGTCTCTGAAGAACAGTAACGACATACTTAAAGGTAGAAATTAAACTCCTTCATTTAAGTAGGAAAAAACAAGTCCAAGGAAGATCATCGTTAGACATAAAGGCAAATTGCGCAGCGAATCCTAGTGATTTCAAATACAATAGACTACCCAAATAAACACCGAAGTCGTAGCAGATACGAAGTTGATGAACTAGCGGTACTAAGGCTTCCCAGGCTGCCTCCTGAGCAGCGTCATCAGTGTAGCGTTCAATAGCGCTTCGAATTTGGGCCGCGGCTCCGGGGTAGTTTCGTACGATCATTAAAATATCATCTGTATGTGCCAGTTTCGTGTTTATTTCCATCCAAAGGTCGTATTCCTCGTCAGATGGCTGGCAATCTATTGAAGCGATCGTTTTTAGTTGTTTGGAGGTAAGCGAAATAACAGACTCATAACATACTTTCAAAGTCAACAAATATGTCGGCATCATCCTTTATCTCCTCAAAACGACCCGTGAGAAGTCGGATAATGTTTCCCATCTCCGCCTGTTATTAAATCCGACTAGATTAGTCAGGAAGAATTAAATTTCGGTGGAGTGGAAAGTCTACAAAAGAATCGCCTATTAGTCACTACGCCCCAAAGGCAATTTAGCAAATACAATTCCAAAGGTTATATTCCTGGCACCACAATTACAGTAGAAAAGTGAGTCTAGAGAGTTATGGAATTGTCTATTTCGAGAACAATAGTTGTGAGGTAAACTGTTGACCATAATAGAAATGTATTATCATTTAACACCAACTCAGACAATCAAGAAGCGCCGACCAACCTCTCACTCTGAACAAAACCTTCAATGTACGCGCTGAAATCAAAAGCATGAATCAGGACAAATACAAAGTGTTTGGTTAGTATGAAATAAAAAGTTTCCTAAAGATTTTTTGTTGTTTCTATTTTTTAATTGTTTTAAGAGGGTGGGTTGAACAGTATGAATGGCCTACTGGCTTTGTAGAGGGATTAGCTTTTAAAAACTGTAACGGAGTGGCTGATTACCAGAAAGAAGAAAAGGCCTCTTGTCTGGGATATACTCCGTAAATGGCACCTAATAGGAGCCTGGATTATCACAATATTTTTGCTAGGACTACAAATATTGCATTCCAAGGCAATATTTATTGGTGTTCATGTAGATCATCGAGACTTTCCTAAGATCGGAAGGAAAAATAACACTCGGGCAAGAAAATATGTATTTTGCACCAGTAGGTCTTAGAGCTTCTGGTGTGGTTTAAAGGTTAGTCTTCCCGGTGAAAATGCAATGGCAGAGCACTCAAGTCCCGCCTTTACCAAAACCGAGCGTTAAACAAACAATTAAATGCATGGCCTTAAACCTCTTTTGAGTGTCGTCCTGGGTGCTTCCCTTGGTCAATCTCCCGCGTAAGCTACTACAATGTAAGGGGAATACCTACAAGTCGACCTCGCAGGTCATCAAATCTGCATACAATTTAGAAGATATTTAGCTGCAACATCATTTATCCCTCTTGGCGATATTGTTGCGTCCCAAGACTTTCCTGTTCCCCATTTATTTGCCTGCCTGGGTTTCATTCAGATAGTGGAAGGGGTATCGCTTTTTTCCGTAATTGCTACTATCATACATGTACGAAAGACAACTCCGTAATGAACTTTTAGATGTTTCGATTGCTAATGGCATTCCTGCATAAGGCGAGGCTGGGTAACTGTCATAAGTAGCCGTCATTTTCAACCCTTCTGCTAGGTTTCTTTATTGGCTCTCCTACAGGAAGCCTATGCCATTCCACGGTTGCGTCAAAGTTTAGGATTCAGTAATAACAATCAAAGTGGTTGTCATTTAGGCTCGACTATACTCTCCGCTGCGGCCAATGCATAGCCCTGAGCCTTTCTTAAAGCAGGAGAAGTTATAATATTTGGAAAGAAATTGTATTGTGGACGTACATAAGGACTGGGAGCCCACCTGCCAGCGAGAGAGCAATCTGCGGCCACTTAAGTGTCGGAGGTCGACAAATTATCAAAACAGCGTAGTAGTATACATTCTAAATATAAACTTCTTTTCATGTTAGAAGAAGTTTGGGTTGAGCCTTATTAGGTGGACTTTACAACAGTATAGGATTCCATCTTAAAATCTTATGTATCTTGATAAACAAAAGAAAGAAGCCAACTTTGAAACATTTAAGCCTCGACAAATTCCTTATACTTATTTCAATGATGAAATAAAGATGTCATCTTCCATACATTCTCGCTCCAAGTGTATGGAGCCCGATTTCGACGTGAGAAGCGCTGATCTGTTATAATGAAATACCGCAGTATGCATTGGCAGCAAAGTGTACATCATAACAACTGACCGCAATGAACCAAAATCTCAGTAAAAAATCCCCGGAATTAATGCCAGAAATAGTTGCTTAACTATTTTGATCTCTAAATCGTCTTATGCAACGAATAAATGACTTCAATGCAATCCCATGCGCGCCTTCTTTGTCACTCTGCGTAGAATCTAGCAGATAGCTCCCAGGACACTTTCATGGTGAAGCTTTTAGATAACAATTTATCACCTTATACGGATATTTTTTAATGCGATCTTGAGGCTATTGCTACTACTCTACCCTGTTTGACACTATAAACTTGGGGTTGTCATTTTTACGGTCCCCAAAGACTTACAGGGACCACTATACTTGTCCGCCCGTTTTCAACGCAACTGCAAGAATTGGTTATGTATTTGCTCCTAAGTATGCGCACCATCGAGAACGACCAATATTCTTGTTATTGCCCAATATGGACAAAACTAAACTTCACGACTCGAAACTTGCTACTGCGTACCGATTCTCATATTCTAACGAAAAAATCAAAGGTGACTCGATTAGTATATGCCTTCACTGAACAGATATTAATGAAAGCACCAAAGTCTTCTAGGAAACGTTTCATTGAGTAGATCAACTCAAAAAAGAACAATTGTTTATTTACAGGAAGTGCCCTTGGACGGTCTAAAAATGTGAAATGCATTTCTTGTGAAATATGGTTGGCAAAAATGTCGCTACTCTCTATGTCACCTGGCACCATTGGTTGGCATGAGAGTGGGGAGGGTTGGGGAAAATCGCCCCACGGAGAATCCCATTTTTCCGCCTATATTGCGGCAGGACATGTAGAGCGGAGTTGCCTTGGCCACTCGGCGTGCCATTTTAGTGTTAATTAGGCCTCCGTTGGTTGCCTGTGTGGCCGTAGCGTCCACCACAGAAGCCATTTGTTCGCTGTAGCTTTTCGATCTATCTCGAAAAAATATAATTAGATGTACGATGGGAGGAGAAAGCACTCGCCTAGCATGGTTGGATTAATCACTCATTCATATCGATGATGAATCCAAATGGAACAGTAACTAACGTATTTACACTGTCTTGATGAATTTGAATTAAGCAGAACCTGTTAGGTCTGCATTTTCTGGTAGTGGTTAAACCAATCTTAATGTGCATCGCTAATCACATCAAATGAACATTTGTTTCAACGCCGTTAAAGTGTGTATCATCCCACACCAAGCAATAGCTTTTACTGTTGTTGGTAAGGAGTTCTGATTGCGCACGTTTCATAGGACATCACCATGACCATGCGTTGAGCTGAATCAGTGAAATTTTAATTAGGCATATCCGATGTAGATCAGTCTATTCCCAAGTGACGGGGATAATGTTCTTTAAGAGGTAGTAAATGCGTATCGCACACAGAGTCCTTAAACATTTCTCCAGGCCTTACAAGTTAGGTTTAGGTTAAAGATAGCTTCATTGTATTACAATAGCAAATAAAATGACAAAAATAATTCAACTATTGAATCTTACTAATTATCTACTTCAGTAGTAAATACGGATGAATAAATGCTGTCTTCAAAAATGGTGTGCTTAACTAACGATTCCCGCCAGTTTATGCACAATTGCAGTCAAAATTTTCGGGAAAGAGTGCCCTGAAATTAGGCCAACTCCTTCAACACCCGTGATCAAAACTGAGGAGGACATCTACTAGTAATGCATTTAAATGCAGTTCGGTGCAACCCACAATAACTTCAAGGGGTCATGTTGCCTTTCCACTTGGATTGCACGATATAAACTCATTAATGTCTACTTAGACATTCCTACATCTGAAATTCTTCCAGTGGGGTTAAACGGTAGGGCAATCTGTGGAAACAAGTGTTGTGACCTGCTAATGGTACTTCAGCGCATGTATGAACCACTTTGGCTTTACGTTCTTCTTTCAATGGTCGCCAAGACTATGCAATATATATGTAACCATAGGTGTGTGTATATTTGTCGTCCCCTAATGACCACAGACAATGGACTGTGCTTCCGATGCGTAAGTCTGTGTGAGGCAGGATAAAAGTGAAGGTGTAAGCAGTGGCGGCACGTTGAGTCAGTTTTTCAGGCCTTAAGTCACGCCCAACGCAGACATCTGCATACTGTGTGTACAAAAAGAGAAACTGCCAAATAAGATCATAGAACAGACTGAAAAAAATAGGCTTACTAACAAAAAGATCTTAGCTCTTCCGTTTGGTGGATAGAATAGCATTCGCCCCTCCAGTACCCATTGATTTGACCTTCTGCTCATGCCTCTTAAGAAACTACTCTCCCATTCCTTCCGTGTGTTATTAATCAAGGTGCTGTCACACGTTTGTACTTCATCGTGGTCTGAGAAACGAATAGTGGGCTATGGGGGAGTGAATACTAATAATCCGATTGTTGGTGGTCGTGGGTATATCGCCCTTTGATCTCCTACGATCCAGCTTCCAAAATCTTCTGTACGTTAAAAATAAAGCTACTCCTGATGCTATGAAATCATACAATGCCTGCCGCGGCTTTTGTAAGAGTTAATTGTTTAACTCATATATCTGACTAACTTTGATATCTTTTGTTGAGAAGCCGACTCCTGGGACATTTCTCCGTTATTTAAAGTTGGTTGAACTTGATGTCCACTTAGAGGCCATCCTGCGACATCCTAAAATATCAAAAGATGGCTACAATAAACAACTTTTTCTACTTTGTGGAAGCGTCCAATTCTTTCGCTAGCATAGAGATAGATGAATAGGGAAAGGAACTATACAGTGGTGTCCATTGAGAGGTAGAGAATAATGAATAGCACTTTCGGGAGTTTGCACTACCTCGTAGTTCGCGGAGACCGGTCTGCCATTAGAACTCCACATGCACGTGCCAGGAAGCGGATCGGCAGAGGGCAAATTCTTTTTCATTGTCGCGGGCTTCGTGGGAGGTGTAGCGTTAGTCAGTGGTTCCCCTTTGACACATCCACCAACGGAAAGAGACTCGTCTGAATGAGAACGTATCCGCTGGTTTCTACCGGCGGCAGTGGTAATGGTGGTGGTACCACCTCGATCTGGACGAGATTTCCTCGTCCTAGGCAGATTCTATGGGTAACCAATAGATTATGGTTATTTTTTTAAGCCTAGAACCACACAGTCTTTCCCAACTGTCGGTAGATTCATTCGTGCATTAAATACCTTCACTCGGGTTGGCGAAGTAAATTTATTAAACTGACTGTTACATAACCATGATGATTACAATTTTACTCAGTCCATAGGATTTCATAGGGGATAAAACGATTGCCTATCTTTTAGTCTTGAAGACGTATATCGCACCAACTCATACGAGACTTAAGTTATCTGCACATTTGTTAATAGTTATTCTGTAAAACAGGTTAGACCAAAATACAGCTGTTCATGAATTTACTTAACAATGAGTTTTACTAATACCTAACCTCTCCGCATAGCAGTGATTAGTATCAGGAGCAAAGTATTTGCTTTACAAACTGTGCTCATGATAAAAATGGACTTAAAATATGCTAGTTTAAAAGAATAAAAGTCGCGAAAGGAGGCCATTTACGGAGTTGCGTGGGTCCGTTGTGGAAGCATGAAATTCGAGATAGCTGTGGGAGGCACAGGGAACAAAATCCGGCACTTTGCCAGCAAAGTAATCCGCCTGGCGCTGAATACAATTGCATCCAGAAGAGGAACCTGCAGGGCCCTGAAACGTTAGGAAATCAGATGTCACAAATCTTGTTACTGTCTGGTGACGAAATAGGGTTTGCAATCTTTTCATTCTTCCTCAGTTAGACTTCAGCCGTGAATGTATAACGTTCTGTTCATGCCACTTAATGGTCCTCAAGCTCCTTGGGACTCCTCTTCAGGAGTGGTTCGGGTGCTTCATACCTAAGGGAATCGCCAAAATCAAATCCCATTGATAATTACGCTTCCTTACATTTACTATTCACGTATTACCATCGGACCGATGCAATCTCTAGATCATAATTCTGACGAGGTAGTAACTACAAATAGTGATTTAGAAATCGCATGTCACCTTTAATTGGAAGTAAAAGAGCCTTCCTGGGGTGAAACAAATCATTTTGAAGCTTACCTATGATCTAATAGCCTTAAAAAGTAACTAAAAATACGCTGGATTATAGATTAAGGTTAATCTAAAGTACCAACTTTTCAGGCAGCAGTTGCTATAACAAGGACGTTGTCATCACTGTAATATTCAGTAAACATCTGTAGAAGATACTTTTGTCACCGCCCAAGCGGTCTACACAAAAATCTTATTATTGAGAGGGAGGTGTGGAGACTATATCCTCAAATCATGATGATCTCCGGTTGTCGAGACAGGCGGTTAATGGACAGAGAGCCTCCGGGTGACCTTAGCGTGAACTTAAAACATTTAAAAGCGAAGAAATTGTATTCGTGGATAATAACAGGGGAAGGAAAGCACGTCGGATTTCCACAATGCGTATGCGACCAAGTGCTCCTCCTGCGCACTTCTTTTGCCGGACTGAAAGAGCGCTTCCGATAGTGTAGGGGATATTCTTCTGCTGCATACTTCATGATGTTATAAGGATTCCAAAATGACAAGACGGACGAAATGTTGGCGTGTGATTCATGGAGCGGGAAGCGCCTAATCACAAAAAAATGCATGCCTGAAATTTGAAGTTTGCGAGATAATTAGGGATGAAAATCCTCAGCTAAAGCGCCCAATCCACCTACTTTCTCTTGCTATCTTCAATAAAGGTATGGTAAAGCGGTACAGATAAAGCGGTTTCAATGGGAGGTAGTTTCATAATGATTTAAGGAGAGGGCTACAAAACTACTATTCTACTAATTCTCACCAAAAATCCTAAATCTTTTCCCATCTACTGACTAAATCACCTCCATTTTTCAAGCCGAAACGTGTACGAGGCTAACTTGAATTGCGTCAGAACTTCTTGGTAGAAACTGGCATTTCACACGCTCCGTTCCTGAGAAGTTTTCACTACTACTCGATCTTACCTTGCTGCTAAATTCACAAACTCAACGAATGGAAAGGGATTCTACTTGTAATCAGCTGTAGTTCACTTGACAGTAAAATACTTTACAGGAGAATTTAATCATTCACCGTAGCAGCATTCAATTGGTTTGTGGAATTACCAGAAATATTCTCATCGTTGAAACCGCCGATGCTTAGGAAGTAACAACTTAAAGAGAGTGAACAACAGAAGTACGAAGTGCAAAAAGAAACGCATGTAGTAGAAGGAAATCATTTCCACTTTCATTAATACGGTGATTTACGGAAGGCATTTCCCCATGACAGCGTAGAGCGAATTGGCGCTTGATGTTGAACAAAAATTACCAAATAAGTTCCGTCTATAATACTCTTCCAAGGAGACAAGCCAGTTACGAAGTACGTTTGCCCCAGAAGCCAAAAAAAACCTAACTCTGACTATCTCCTCTACCTCTCCAGTTATCTACCCCGATACCATCGTCAAGAGGTATAGGGGAGGGGGAAAATAGGGATGCGAATGAGAACGAGATAGTACCTCTATCTTTCCATCCTCCCCTCCTCTCTCCCACCCTACAGTACAATGCTAAGTCTTCTCTTAGGCAAGTCTCCTAATGGTATGAGGTGTGGGGTCCTGATTTGTACTGTAACAATAAAAAAGTTCTTCCTCCCTACCAATTGATCAGTTTTGGGTGTTCTTGAAGAATAAGAAGACAACGACCATGACGACAAAGTATTTCTTGGCCACATTCTAATTGCATCGTATAGAGCAGATGGACCTTAGGCGTAACTGCTTGCCCCTCAGCAGGTAAACAATTCCCAGTAAACCATTCTGTCTCCAGCCCACTACACACCCACATGCAAACAGGGCAAGGTCGTACGGGGATAAAGTGCTGCGTGCCCTAAAAGTGTGGAACGGGCAGTGAGTAAATAGTTTGGAAATAATCAGTGATACACTTGTCCCCCTAGCAAATGTTGCAATCCAAAAGCCGCTTCTCAACACTTACCATTCACCTAATGAGTCAGTCACCGAACAATCTAAAATGCACGGTGTTTTTAAAATGTGTCTAAAAGAAAAAAAGAACAAGTTTATAGTCCCTAAAGCTCATTTTTGTCCATTGCCAATCCGTTTGGAGTCCATTTGTTTAGCTTTCCCCTTTTTCCCAAATTTGAACCAACGTGTCAAGACGGGTGTCAGGAGTTGAGTGACTACCCCAGGGTACTATTAATTCATCCAGCTACAGTTAGCCTTAGCGCTCTCTTGGATCAGCATTCTGACAAAGGCGATTAATATGGTAGCATATTGTGGCAGTAAAGGTACTTGTTGATATCATTGATAGCTATTGTTTCCAACATACCTTACTACCTTCAAATTTTGTCCCTTTTTACCTTGTTCTTGCTGTCCTCTTACAAAAATCCAGTGATTTAGGCATACCTTCTTAAGATTACCAGCCAAATCTCGATATAGCTGCATTGACAGTTGCCGGCCATGGGCGACAGGTGCAGGAGCGGTGTGTACATCGCCACCCGCATCGAGGTCGAAGCGTACTCCAAGTCGTGGCCGAGTGCGTTCGCCGCTCCCTCCGACACCAACATTGCCACCTCCTCCACTATTTCCGTTGACAAAACCAGACAACGGGACGCAGGCATCGGGGTTAGAACGGGGAGCAGGTGCCGAATGGGAAGGGATGGGATCGTGATCACCGGAGTTGTTGGTTGTCGTGGCATCCTCAGGCAAGTGAACACCACTGACTCCCGCTGACGTACTTTCGCTGTTCTGTGGGAGAGGCAGCTGCTGAAAGCGACCCAGGAGAAGGCTGTCTTGCAGCGGATCGTCTGTTAACAGGCTTACCTGCCGCAACAATGTGCAAGTAAAATCAGTGGGGCACGAATTCGAATATCTGTGGGTTTATACTAATTTTGCAACTTGAAAGGTCCATTCCTCCCTTTCACCTGGTCTCACAGTTCTTCCGCACCTTTATGATAATGCTGCTTCCGAGTCCGTAGGCTTTGTAGCGACTCCAGAGATAAATCAGGAGAATGTGCAGATTTCCTCTTTAATTTAAAAATCGCAAGCAAGTACGATAAAAATACTTAACATTCAACTCTCGTTGCATATCCGATGGTACAACATTTGGAAATCCGACTACGATGTAGAAGCATGACGATGTTGCGTCATGGAACATCGCACAAGACTTAAGGCACTGGAGTGCTTCCTAGATCTTTCTTTTCCCATAAACTAAATTAACGGCAGGTAAAACTAGTGTGGGACTCACTAGACAAATACCCACTTGTTGCCAAAGTGTGTGTTGATTGACACTTCCCTTTGACGGCACTTATGCGTAAGATGTGTACGTATGTGTATAGCGGCGTACATAACTCAATCACTTAAGTTAGCACCCTTTGTATAGAAGGCAAATTCAAGTTAACCCTCGCAATATTTAGTAAAATGAAAACGAGACCACCATATCTAAAAGACTGTCGCCTACTGACCTTTAAAAATCACATCATTATATGATTGGGCCGTGGAATAACATCTGATAAGTAAGCCCCCTTTAGGAAAAAAATTTTCAGAGCTGTAATTAGACCGTAAGGCACGTGCAAAGCCAAAAAAAGTCACTAAAGGGGCAATGATTGAAGAATTTCTTAGATTTGACAAAGCGCAGGCTGACACCATTCGTTATGAAGAGGCGAAACTAACACGAAAGTTATCAAAACCTTCAATACGCCAGGCTTTAAACATTTTTGGAAACATGACATTCAACTGTGAGGTATTGCATCCACGAAGCTCTCGATGAAAGTAGGATTTCGAAAGGATTTGGCAAAAATGAAATTTTCTCGTTAATTATTGAAAAGAGGAGAAATCACTCTAATGCAGCAACACTGAAATGAAAGGCACGCAACACTTACGTCCTGCAAAACACTTCCTCCCGTGAATGATGAAGAATGTGACTCATTAAGCGCTCCCGAAACAGATATCGAAGTAGACATTTTCAGAAGAGGTGTTTCGTTATTTACAGCAAACTTGGGAACTCCCGAGGCGGGCAGCTGACTGCTTTCCGACTTTTTCATCACACCTGTCAATACAGGTAGGCCGATTTTATCCTTGAACAAAAAAAAACATAACTGGTCAAATAAGTTTACTTTTCAATGAATCAACCGACTTCAGACCAAATATACGAGATGTTTTGTTGGAATTCTGTCGAGGAACTGTCAAATATTGATCAAACATGTGAAATGGCCAATTATTAAGTAAGGTAAATTCTGATGCATTTCATAGATTTGAGCAAATGAGTCCCCTGCTGACCTCTGATCGTTTTACCGGCACAAGTCATCGCCGTTTCGAATCGCGATTCATGGACCGACAAAGGCGGCTTGGCTAATCGTGATAGTACTTGTGGAAATGGCTCCTCCCGTGTGGCAGAGACAACTTCGCTGCCTCTCTTTCGATGCAATTATCCCCTTTATAATGCTCTTTTTTGTCCAAATAGTTATTCTCTTCTAAGGTCCTTAGTACAGCTACGAAGGGAATCTCACAAAGGATAAAACCGAGGCACAATTCACAGAAGTGCAAGTCAATTAATCAGTTTACGTGTTTAGCCCTTCCCTTCCTGAGAAATCTGGTGCACTAATCCCTTGCATATGGTAAAACTGAAAACATCACCTAGAACGAAATGAATACGGATAAGCCACTTACATGTTCCATTTTGAAGAGGCCTCTTAAGAGAGGACGTCTAAAAGGTCGGGATTTCGTTTTGAGGCCACTGGAAAGGTATGCGGGGTTCTGCGCTGCGGTGTCGTTCATACAGGATGTTGGTACTTTTCCAATTTCGCTGATTTGTGGTTGGTGCAGCGTGGGTGTGACTGATGTCTGGAAGAAGACATGCAAAGCGAATCGTCATAGTAACAGCTGAATCATTAACAAAAACCTAATCCTTCGTTCTCCAATAAATTAGGCCAAAAGCTGATGTGAGGTAACTTTGGTTATAATAAATGCTTTATGAGGCCCAAGTGGTTTCCTACTTAAACATGCGAAATTAAAATGATCGTAATTGCACATTCTTGTGTAATTTTGTCGTAGTTAACTCCATTAACTAGCGTAAATTTATAACCACTGGAGTCCATGCAAACAGAAAAGCAGATTTATAATTTTGGCCAGATAATTTGAAAAACAAAATATATTGTACTTTTGGGGTCACCTTTAAATGACGAATACAACTGAGCATTAAATGCATGTCAGCGTCGATAGATACCACCCACCCTTCAAGAACGCATGAAAATCAAAAGGTGGCTTAAAACTGCCAAATTTAACATCTTGTTCTGTCCCCAACACCGGGAAACCCTTTAGGTCCTATGTGCCCACCCGGAGGATCTCTTCTCGGCCGTCGTAGACGCAGGTATCACCCTGGACAACAAGTTGGAGGAGTTCTGCGCTACTTTATCCCAACCAAAAAGAGCAGACACTCGTCAGAGGGTACTTCCGCCCCTACCAAAAAGTGAGAGTATGTGAAGAGCCTCCAACTTCTAGCGGAACGGTTCACCTCCACCCAGGGTTGCTGGATGGATAACTACTTAGTTCAGACACAGTGTTCGCCCACCCATAATGGCCGAGAAATTTCGCGGCAGGAATACCAACTCTCTCAGCGAGCTGGTCAAGTTCGCAACCAGGAAACGTCGGGAGTTGCCTACGAATCCGTGCTACAACGACAGTAACAGGCAACCAAACCCAACATTGTCATATCGACTCTGTATGCCATAAAAAAACTAGCTTGCTATGTCATGGATTGAATTAAACAAACAGTTACGAGGTGTGTCGCATGATTACCGGTTGGTCTTTACTTTATGGTTACATTTGGGCAGAGTGTACCACCACAAGGCCATGGAGAATATACAAGTTGCCCTAAAGGGGAAAGAGCGCTTTAGTCGGTCGTGGGAAAGATGTGTCCAAGGGGGTATGAAAATCAAAGGGCCAACAGCAAAATACCCGACTTGCCTCAAGAACGGGAGTTATTTTTAGCAGGCTTCCTGTTCTATGAAATTGGTGGATGTTCTATTACGACTCGGAAGTGACTTTTATTAAATATCTGTTTTAAATACGTTTTAAGGGAGGCTGAAGTCCTGCTAAGAAATTGTTAACACCTGGATGCAATATTGCACAAGAACTTTTCGCCGAAGCGGCGCGGCATTTAGAGAATATTTGTGCTTAGATAGGGCAAAATAAAATCGAGTTGAAAGGATGTTAAAGTCGCATTTTATTGAAATTGCAAGTGAACTGTGCGCAAAGATATCAGCCTACTGATCTGAAACACCAAGAGGATTTTAATAAGACACAGACGGATGGATGGATAGATGGATAAATGAGCAGATGGATATGGGATGGAGAGATAGATGGATGGATAAACAACAGAGGCGACTAGAACCAGGTTTTGTCTTACCTCTCAGGGCTCACCTTGTTGGGAGGGTATTGTGAATAGAAACGGTGAAGTTGTCAACAGATAAAGTGGTGTTAGAAGCCATAAGAGAGACCTACTGCATAGATGATTTCTAAATTGCTCCTTAGGCAAGGAAACTAGTTGAAGTAAGACTTAACCTTACTACTTACTGTTTGATCCACGTTGGAAGGTTTGAATTCCTGATGGATTTGTCTGTTCAAGAATGTACTGCAATTCGGTTCAACAGTAGTTGGATTCTTCGGCAATTTACGATTCTACAAGTTTCAATAATCAAAAGCTCTTTGAAGTTGTCTACAGTAGGATAAAGCATCTCAGCGATATTAATAATTGTACGAAAATTGAAAAACCAAACAATCTAGAATACTTTAAAGGGTTTTATGAATCCCATTATGCATCACCTTCGTTTACTTTGCTCACAAACGCCGTATTATAGAAACAAATTCACTGAAGACGACCTAAAAATCATCTCGCTGCATTTAAACTGCGGTGAGGCCATAACAAAGGTAAAATTAGCTCTCATCCGCTTCATTTGACTACCAGCCCAAAATACAATCCTTTTGATAAGCAAATCGCTTGAATAAGAATGATATCAAATGCTCCTTGAGACCCTTCTAACTTCACTCACCTCGACTTAAAATGTTGGCAACGTCATTTTGAATAAAAATTTGCTTCAAAAACTCAACAAAGTGGTACCATCACTCTCACGAAGGTGTCATTTCCAAACCGTTGCAAACGGTCAAGTCGTCACCATGTTAATGTATGGCCCCACCCCATTACAGACTGCTTCGGAGTCTAGCCGATACGGTTGGACCCTTGGAAAGCCAATTTAAAAATACACTAGTGATTGCATTAGATACTTGTTTATTTTTTTTTGAATTTCTTAAAAACAAAACACTAGAGCCGTGATTGCATTTGATGCCGAGACATCAAAGCTATCAACAGGAGGTGACTTCTGATTAGAATGGGTTTCAAATTTTCAAGACTCACATTCCCATACCAATACCACATTGTTTAAGAAGGTGCTCATTCGAAAATAACCAGAACACCAGAATTTGGACACTTGCTCTACCAAGCAGCAAACTATTAGTATTTCGGGATGGGTGGAAAAGTTCCAGAAGGTTAGTGAATAAAAGAGAGGCCACTCCAAAAATCCTACAACCTATCTTCACAGCGTTTCAAGAAGTGCATTAAAAATTGTTCAACTAACGACTTCAATGCTTCGTAATTGTCATCAGAAGTCAATCTTAATCATACTTTTAAGGTAGTGCATAAAGGTATTTTAAATAATTGAACATTTACATCAACGTTGCTGAGTTAAATTGACTAGCCGATTTATAATGTAACTGCCCAGGTCAGAATATTACATAAACACAAAGTATGGAAGGAGGTAGTTATTATTTGAGTGTAGCCACAGTTTAGCGCCTATGATCGCATTATCTTGAGACAAAACACAGTATTAATCGCTACTGGAGTTCATCCAGTGTCAATATCAACTCAAGATCATTCGAAATCAGCAAGCAGACAAGTAATCGGACACACCATAAATGCAAATCTGAATACTGCCTTTTTCTGCACCGGAGTGTAGATAACATCAGTGGACATGTAGGGCGTAGCCAACGGCGTGTCATGCTCGCTTTTTCCGACTCCACCATCTCCACCAGGGGGAGGACGAGAGAATGGTTTAGTGGTGCCATTCTCGTAGTGCGAAGAGCACGCCGTCATATTCATCCGATCGAGGAGGAGTGCAATCATATCGCTACTGCCACCGCCACTGCTGCCTCTTACCCGTCGTTTGGCTACCTCAAGAGGCGTCTCACCCTGCGCATTGCGCATCCACAGCGCAGCCTGCGCTGCTGACGGCGGCGACTGCGACGACAGGGGGAGGAGGGACGGTGTTCGCTTTTGCAGGCCCCCACCGCTCATACGAGTCAGCGTACTCGTGATCGAGATTGGCTCGCGGCCAGAGTTGGCTGCGAGGAGACATCGAGCAATTTTGGTGCGTTTCAGCGACGCTGCGATGTGGAGAGGTGTCTCCAAATTTTGGTTAGTTGCCGTGACATTTGCAGAGGCAGCCAAAAGGATCTTCACCACCCCAGTGCGACTATAGCGAACCGCTGTGTGAAGACAGGTGTTTCCAAACTAAAGGGGTTTTTTAATAAAATTTAGGTTCAACAATATCAGCTGCAGGCTCAACCGCAATTAACTGAAGTATCACATTGACCTTTCGCTTTACAGAACGATATCCAGTTTCCATGGCTAAGGTTTGTCGTGCCGTCTAGCTCATTTCACCCAACTCGATAGACATACCATGTCATTCTCAAGGAGTAGTCTGAGTGCTGCGTTAGTGACAAAGACCAAAGATTACGATTTTACCGGCTATTTACCATACCTAAATGCCACAGAAAGAAGGAATCTGCTGTGGTTGGCATGATATGTGAAACCCCACAATGAAAGAGCTGACAACCGCCGCATTCCTGAGTCAAATAGTGAAGTGAAGCGACATTTGAATGAAATGAGATCCTAGGGAAATGCTTATAAAAACACATTAAATTAAGAGAGTAATATAAAAAAATAGATGCCTTAGCAACCTTTGCTAGACGAAGGGGAGCTCAATTGGGCTGTTTGGATCAAAAATCCACATAGAAGGGAATTGCTTTGTTACGTGGATTTGCTCTTATGCTAATGTCCTTGGATGCTACTTTCGGTAGCATAAAAGGAGCGCCATTCAGCCATCAACATCATGAGGTAGTTTCACCCGGCGTTGGAGTCAAACATCTCACCATGACGGATGATAATGGTGGGACTTTCACGCATTCCTACATGATGACCTTAATGTGTTAGAATAAAACGGAAGTGACCATGAGAATGCTGAAAAGGACGCTTGTTTATTTGACGATGTTGACCTTCACACTAGTGTCATGGTAAGTGGGTCACGTCACCGATGCTAACGTCTTTTCCAACCCTTCCGTAAGTACCTTCCATAATGATCCTCTTGGGTAATGTCGTTTGGTAAAATGCAAGTGCTACAACGTATTTCTTCTGCATAGTTTAATGGATCGCTGCTGAATATCATTTGTAATCTGACTGTCACCTCAAGTTGTTAAATTGCATTGCAGTCGTAGTATCATTGCAGAAAAGCGCATTTGCTATATAAAACGTGGATCGGTTGAAGCTATATTCCTTGAAGGTGAAATTTTGACAAGTAAATTAACTTGAAACGTCAACCAATTTGAAAATCGCACCCCAGCGGGTCTAAGCACGATTAAGCTATGTTAGAACAGCTAAAAATGTTGACTGTAGATATGTTTAAAATGTCAGGGAAAGTCACTAATAGGCGCGATTGCGACTTGTTCTACGCCAGAATAACAAGAGCAGTTGTTATTGTGCGGGCGATCATGTGTGTTGCAAGATGAATTTCGTAAGTCCGTTGTCAAACGCCTCGCCCTCAGTGGAAGGAGGGCCTACACAGCAAAACCTGTTCTAACAGGAACAAGGCAAGTCAAGGCGGTGCTCACGCCGCTAATCAAACTACTTTTGTTTACATCAACAACAAAAACCCCACAGCGAGAGCAGTGAAAGGATAATGTGCTTAAAAATTGCCAATGAAACTAGATACCACATCCTGTAGACACCGTAAGTGGTTTTATCTAGCGGAAACATATCGTAGTAAAGCAATGAAAGATTGCTTTGTGAGTCTGGTTACTTGACATTTTGTCGGATATTTAACTAAACGGGCACTTCAGGCTCCGCAGTTTTCAATCCGTCTGTAACGGGGCCTTAGAGGCATGCCAATAGCTCACAGCCCTTCTGAACGTTAGTAAGTAGTATTTCCCTCCATACCACTTCGGTTTATCATGACTACAGCGAAGAAGACTTGGGAAGTTGCAGTAAGAATAACAAGTTGGCATCAAGAGTACCAATTAAGTGTTTGGATTTCACCGAGAACTACCTAATAAAATCAAAAGAAAATGCAAAAAATGAGCATACTAAGGCATCTAAGTGATTGGACTTCTAAATGGAATTGCACTTCTTCAACCTCGTAATATTTAACCACTTTTCTTATACATTTGAAGACCCCTTTGTCCATAAAAATTATTGATGAAGAGGGCATCCAATCCTACGTTGCAGAATGGACGCAGGTTGGTAAGGAAGCGGTTACATGTTCTTTGTAAAAAGCACAATTCCGTCGCCAAAATGCCGACCGTAACGCATTTCTGTGGCAGGAAAATTTCACAAAATTCGTTCCTCTCGAAATATATAGGCACATACTATGGAAAGCAACGACTTCAAATCATAAAACCTCGAAAATATTAAATAGAATGATCTTCATGTGGGTAATTAGCTTGCACAGAGTCCATCCAGGTGAAATGAAGGACAAGAATCTGAATGGGGGAAGTAAACACAAGAGTCTAATGAAAACGAGAAAACTAGCGGGTGTACATTATGCGAATGAATGAATCAGTTCCACGCCTGACACTTGACACGTCTAACTGGCTGGAGTAATGCTCCAAAAACCTTTTATTGCAAATTGTGATATGGTATATGGGCCAAAAGTCCAAACTTTTTCCCCAAGGAGCTCAGAAAGAGCCGCACATTGCGGTTTGTGCCTAAATATATTCCTTGTGCGGGATTGTAGAGACATCACTGTTAAATTAGCCCTTAGGGTTTTGTCAGTTGTCTTTTTTATTCGTCTTCGCCTTACATTACTGATGGGCAAGACTGACACCCTTCTGTTACTCTCAGGTGCATTGCATTGACGCCAATCCTACACAATCACTTATTTTGCAACATTGCTGAACTAAAGCATTCCAAGATGCTAATTTTTAACATTAAGGAGGCCAATTATAAATGAAAGGATCATTCATTGGGACATAATTGCCTTACTTTATCCGTTACTCCGAGATCCGCTCCGGAGAAGAGCAAAACGCGAATACTCTGCTTGTGACCATTTTGTGCAGCTACATGAAGCGGAGTTAAGCCCAGCTGTAAAAGTAAACAGGAGCACATTACTCCCTATAAACAAAGCCATATCATCCTCTTTTCCGTGAAGTACAAAAAACCGCTGAAAGAGCACCATGCAAGTTTAGTGAGGCGACCTTAGATCCTGTGTTACCTTTGCCGCAGTGGAATGATTGACGTATCATCAAAGCTTTGTACAGGTTTCACTCACCACTGGGGAGCATATCTGCAAAGCTTTAATTGCTTGTTCAACTCTCGGTTTTAGTAAATAGCCACTCAGCAGCTCCACCACTATGCCTCTACCGGGCGGCCGGCTTACAGAGCACACCAGTAGCCCACCGCCTGCAGTCTTAATGTACATCGACAAAACACATTCTTTCCTAGTATTACAGCTTCTTCCGTCTTAAGGGAAATCTCGGGGCGTTACGTGTCATCCCAAACTCAACGTATAGTGACAAAAGACACGACATTTTGACTGGTAAATCCGCAAATACCCGAAATCACGTCTGAACTGGAGTTATTTTACATTGTAATCAAGGATATTCAGAAAAATACAACATCTTTTGTTTGGCAAAAAGTTGTAGGGTTTGCAACGTGCGCCCCTAAAAAAGATTGCTTTGCTACCGACAAAAAGGCAGTACAACGCGGTGAAGGAGTGGCACAAAGGTGTTGCTGGCAGCCTTTAACGATACCGTTGCGAAGCTTTCTCTAGATGCAAGACGGGCATTTATTAAACAACCGTTTCGTGTCAGTGAAAAATGTCTTTTCAACTACCAACTACCAGGAGATCTTGACAGATTGCATTTAATAAACACTTCAACCTTTGGTGTTTCCTGGTATCTTGGACGATAAATTCCCGAACGACAACCCACCGTTTCTGATCCACTTTTATACCTTACGCATTTTAAGCAGCGAAAAAAAGACATCCCTTTAAAAAATGACTTATTTTAGGAGTGGAAAAGACCTAAAATTGACTTAAGAGTAAATGCAAAGGTCAAGAAAGACTGCAGTCGCAGTTGACACGTTCGCTATCAGGGTCGCTAAGGGAAATCGCTCACGACAATCTATAAATAAATAAACTTCATCCAAATTTAAACTGGTTGAAAGCTAAAAATGCAATTTCTATTTGACTTAACACACTCTGGATCAACTTCGCTGTTTGAACTTCAATTAATCTGTTCGTTAACAACAAACGTCACACATGTGTGACGTTTTTGGCCAGCGTATTAGGTGGACTACAGTCAGTAACTATTTAAAGGAAAAGCCATCAAATAAAGGAAATTATCCCACCTTATTTTGAAGATTGGGAGGTGCTCTAGAGATGCACAATGCCTCCACAGAGCGAGAAAATCCCTTGGATGCCACTTCATGCAGGGGGGAGTTCCCATACTAAAAACAATAAAACCAGGTTTAATTTAAGAAGTCAAAATTCATTATTTTAACTTTATTGTAACTTTTTAAGGCGCACAAAAATAAAAAATAAGCTTTTAGTTTTAAATTTGGCTATTGCATTTGAATGTTCAAGTCGATTTTTCTGGACCATAGAGCACGGCTAATTGGAATCTCCTTTTGTTTACCCACATGAGTGATTCCCATTGAAAGTAGAATAGGAATTAAATAATTGTCGCTTGTGTATTCCGTGTTGTTTTCGACTAAGCCATTGAACAAAAGACAAAAGAGCAATAACAAATTGAGTATTTACTTTCCATGGACCATTTAACCAGTTTCCTCCTTCCAAAAACAAACAACGCAAACGAAGTATATTTACACGAGAGTAGCCTTCATTGTTAAGTAAGGATTAAACAATGCTGAGTCGGGCTCAGTCCTCGACAATACCTAATATCTTCATACAGCACCCTTCGCGTGATAGTACTGTGGAGTATGAGAGGCTAGAGCCTAAAAGCAGACAGTAGCGTGACCGAAACCAAGAGTCGTGGTGAGCACGATTAGTAAACCATGACGAAAGTACGAGGGGACAAGAGAAAAGAATAAAGTCAGACAACGTATCGTATTGTAATAACGAGACTGTCATCTAGCATTCGGGTTGGAGGGGTGGGCACTGCTAATTTCTAATGGAATTCCATATAAACCCAATTTAGTCTGCCATTCTCGTTAGGTTTTAGAATATGGACGCAGTTAGAAACTAGGCTGGTATCACGAAAGCGCTATGTTTTGGTACTAAATTTGTACAGAAAAAAGGTGCTGTTATAATCCACTAAATAATGACTCTAGAAATTTGATCAGTCTCCATCTGTTAATTGTATGTAAATAGAGTTTATTCAACTGAGGACAAAAAAGTCAATCGGGAAATTGCTAAGCTCAGAAATGATCACTCTACCACTCCATAATTTACAACACTTAGAAGTAAACTGGTTACCACTTAAATTGGTCGCTAATTGGGCTGTCACATATGTGTGACAGCCAAATTTTTTGAGTGTCACAAGTACGTCGAATGTGTTGTTTCTAAATTTATGATAACTAGCCGCACAAAAGTTGTGTTGCAGGCAAATTGGTTGGGATTTAAAGGGTAAAAGAAATGTAGGATGTTCTTGGGGGAATTACACTTTAGGTTCTAGGGGATATAACTGTAAACAAAACGTGTCTGTGCCTCTGAGATTCTAATAGCGAACGCACTTAGGCAGAAAATGGGTTTAATTCGGTAAAAATGTGCCATTGCAGCATCAGGCGGAAGCATGCTCCATTAAGTGTCAATCAAGTAGTGAATTTGAGGGAATCACATGCAATTTTCTTGCCCAGATCGTAGCACTTCAATGCCGTAGAGAATTGGAAGAAAAGTTTTGAATAAACGGTAATATTTCATGAAATCCTTAATGGAACATAACAGTTGGCTTTCCTTTACATAGCCTAAGTGGACAGTAGGGGGAAAATAAATTGTATCCTGCCGGTGGATGTTATACAATCGCCTTCGATGTAAACAGCCGCCCAGTTTGTCATCTCGGCGAAGGCACTGCCTCCACTCCATTTCTACATGTGCAGACCTAGCCGCAGAATATGGTAAAACATTTTAGGCGTTGGAGAGCAGCACACGCACTGAACACTTAATCCGATCATGACCACTTTAACCTCTCATCTTTAGAAGTTTTTATCAGCTGCGAGGAAACGAAGAAGTAACCTTCCATGGGAATCTGTGCCCTCATCGATGGTGGATTAGTCAAGGTTCAAATAAATCATGCCTTCGGTTGAGGTTTGCATATGAGAGATTGGAGATGTGTTGTTAGCGTTGGATTCATAATAACCAGGATAATCAGAAAAGCAAACAAGATCAAATCCATCTACGGTTTCTGAAGAGGAGAGTAGTGAACCCATTGATCACAGGCGTTGTGTGAAAAAAAGATGAGGAATCGCTAGGACGTGAGAAAAATAGAACCCCACTGAAATTTCACCTCATGTGATCAGAGAACGGTAAACATTGCGGCAAAGGCGTTTTAAGCGATCCCACAATCTGCCATATTTCCATCCATAGGCAAATTCGAGTTGTGGAACAACAAAGAGTCGGCTAATTACAAATCGTGGCAGTTTTTGAGTATTTCACTGACACACTAGATGGGATGACTGAGTAGCCGCATTATTTTGAAGATCTTTTTCTTTATCAAGAAGTGGCATTAGTGAGCTTTACACCTGGGAAACAAAGAGGAATGAGGGAGGAGCCGCAGCGTGGGTGTTGGGAACAAGCAAAGTGTTGTGACATACAGTGGGGCCGCTTGTTCGTGTTGTGCAAAGCCACGACAAGGAAGCATGTAACACATACATACACACACAGAGCGAGAGACACACACCAAGGCCAATCATGTGATCCGGAGGAAAAGGCGACGGTAGAAATCGAAGTCGGCACTCAACCCTGTGTGTAGGTGTGCGTGCAATGTGCTAGCGGCCCTCGAGAAACCAAGTGGTGAATTCCTTAGTGTGTGCTTTGCGATGATAAGTTAAGACTGCCATTTATTTATTAACGCCTTGCTTAACTTCCTTCTTCAACCGGAGGAAGTGTGGTCTAATGATCCAGGTGTATCGGCGAATTGTCTGCAATGCCATCACTAACGACGTGTCGAAGACAGGCATTAAGTAGACGAAAATGTGCAGCTCTTTGATCCAAAATACGACTCAAATATAGTGCCGGCAATTGACTATGCAAAAGGCATGTTGAAATTGCGGATTGCTTCGCCTCCTGTTGATTGATGTCTACGGAGAAGTTGAAGAGCATGCTCATTTGACATCTCAGTCGCTCAGCTCAAATTAATAATGCATTTAGCCACAGCCATAAAGGAAAGCGCGGCAGCAGTGGAGATGCGAAACCACTCTCTAACATCATTACCATCTGCATATGAATGAATGAAGGTAATAACGAAAGAATTTAATGATAATCTGCAATAAAAAGGGTGTAAAACCTCACCAACATTTGTCTTTTATTACATTTGCTATAAAAATGAATCACAAGTCCCTTAATGCATTTAAGAAAAGGGTTAAAATTGAATAAGAATACTTTGGTACCAAGCCCTGTTCTTTTGGCTACAAAGAGGTCATGTTATTTGAAGGCAATGCTTGTAGAGTAGGTAAAAAATACTTCCTATTTATTTACCATTTCTTTCTGAAGACAAAAGTTTCGTGAGTGTGAATGAATTAGGCGATCATTGGAGGAATTAAATAACCTTTCAAAATCAATGAACTCCCCAATTTATTTAACATTGTATTATGAAGAATAAAATTCCAGTTTTTTCAGAAGTCATGAGTTGGCCTTTATTACTTTCGAAGCCTCGTTTAAAACATCTACAGAACAATGGTTTTCTCTTTCTTCGCATAAGATAGAACAATAATACGGTGAATGACAGCTTGACAGAGGTGGAATGAATCCATAGTGGAAGATTTGTGAATTTTTTGGGTTCCAGCGGTCCTAAAGTGAAGAGAAGTGCCCACAGGAGGCGCTTGGAGACCCTACTTGAGGATTACCACTTATCTGCATGGGCAGTGAATAATCACCAGACCTGAATATTGCCTTTCAGTTCATTCAAAGCAAACCCATTTCTCCATACGTGTGTAGAGTTTAAATAAATGAGGAATGAGTGAAAACCAATGAATGCGGGCGTGAACTTTGCCAGAATGAATGAAAGGATGGACTGATGGGAGGATGGACAAGTGATTGAAAATAGCATGGAAGGGTGGAAGACGCTAAGGTGAAAAAGGGGACTAGCAAATAGCGGAAACCCTAGTCACTTTAGCCTTCTACAACGTACTGGGTCGTGTTCTGGTATGAGGTGGTAGTAAAAACCACATTGAAGTTTCTTTTTAGAGAAATGGATCAGTGCTTAGCGAACAGCAACTCAGCACAGTAGGTCGGGACCATAAACATCCCAAGGCGTTTGTATGAAAGCTCACACTCCATTTCCGTTCGCAGATGCATTTACAACACCATGACAAGTCTGACAGAAGAGAAGTAGACTATGTGACATCCCAGGGCACCGGTGAAACAGTAAGATGCCGGTAGTGCGGTTCAGATACCATTCACACGTGCAAAGTGACTCACTGGTGCGAGCACATGAAGAGAGGGTCGCTGTGCTATTGATAGACGAAGTCTGGAGAGCGAAGCAGGCCCCAGCTGAGCATTTTGCAACAGGCGCCGGTATGGTTGTGGTAGAAAGCATTGAAGGAGCTCAGTGTCTGTCTGCTACACTTAAGCAACTGCTACGTCCACTTTCTGCGACCCACCCAACAGACGCTAATTTTTTTTAACTGCCCACCTCAACCGCAATCCAAAAATGTAAAAGACCAGCAGCTCAGAAACCTGGCACTCTACCAAGTGGAAACGATTCCATGAATCAACTGGGCGAGCCCAAAATCACCCAATAATAGTAGCCCAAATCAGACACACCCATTTTTAACTTACTGCTGCATTGGTTTAAGGTCTTGTGGTAACTTTTTTACAACCTGGATATGAGGACATGGTTTGTTTTTTTTCCCATTAATAACTGTATCGTAAATGACCCACGAAAGAAGTTCAAATCGGCAAGAGCGCCACTTAGGTGCAGGAGTGACGCATCTATGCAGTAAAACAACTGCGGAATTTGAAATGGTTTTGGCTTCTCACCTTTGCAAATGGTTAATAACGCCCAGCTAGTCTACCTCACATTAGGGGATAAAAGGAAATTTAAACAGCCACCTAATCGTTGGCATAAATGAGGACGTAAAGATCTTCTGCACGGTGCGTGTATACTACTAGCTGTAGAGCAGAAATTACCAAATTTCGAGCCCGGCTTATCGCGCTTTTCTAAAAAATTGTTGTGTATTGAAACTCCAAATAAAATTAATGACTTTTGGTGGTCACCAATTTGTGATTGACTTTGCATATTTCAAGTGCATAAGAAGAGGCTTATTCTCAACCTGCTTCATCCGAGTAGAGGAGAACAGGGTGTGGTCATAAAATGGTATGCATTTTCGTTGCAAAAAGGTTGACGTCGGAGAAAAAAAAAACATATTTTGCTGATACCCAAAATAGGTACTACTAGACTAGGACTATCACCATGATATAGCCCAGCCATGTACCATGAACAAGTCATTCATTTGGCAGTTTTTTAAGCAAGCAAGCAAAACTGTTGTAAACTATGAAAGGACATAAAACGTAATTAAATGAACAAGTAAGAAACGAGCCTCCCATATTGTGGAATTCATCTATCAATATCTTAAGGGTATCAGTAATTCAGGGAACTTTAGAGGTCAAAATGCCCTGAGTATGCTTTAGGAGAAAAGTAATTAAAACACAACTTACTCCATGGTTCTACATGATTGTGAGGTTCAATGTTTTGTAAAATATAGTAGCGGTGTTAATCAAATCAGCTCATATACTAACAAGATATTCTTGCACATCGATTTGAGCACCGTGGTAGATAAGAAAGTGGATTGCCTCCCGATGTCCGGCCGAAGCCGCCTTGTGGAGGGCTGTGCAACCGACCTGTGGAAAGAAAATACTATTTAAAAGAGTACTAGGAAAGACCCTGTCTTGTACAGGGACAAGTGCGTGTGAAACTTAGAGTGAGTTAAGCAGTAAGTCACTTAACGCCTTTGGCGCTTTACCAATTCGTATTGATGCGAGGTGTTATCTTTGCTACCTGTCAACGAGTATCAGGAATAAGTATAACTTCCCTAAAAGAATAGGTCAAAGGTTTCGTGAAATGCCCGTTTTAAGACTAAACTAATCAAACGTTTAGATCACTATCTTGTTGTAGGCGACATTTTCAAGCAACACAGAATGCTTAATCTGTACCATATGAGAACTTTGTACTCAATACAGCGAACATTCGAGGTATTCTCTTACTAAACACCATAGCTAATTAGTCCAGGAAACCCAGCTTCCACACGCACCTTCGATAGGAAGTAATAAAGCTATGCATGATAAGTATGATCGGATGACAATTAATCTTCCTCTAAGTGATCGATGAGCCAGTCTCTTAATGTTTAACCCAATGTAATGAAGAGTAAACGTGGCTGAAACCCACAGTCTCTTTAAGCCTCGCCATTTCCATTTACAAGGAGACTAATGAGAACAAAACAGGTAACTCACTTCATCTCTGCTATTCATGTTAATTGAGGGCATAAATGCGAGGAGGGCTTTGAGATTATCTGTGCTACCGCACGCTGCTGCCAAGTGAAAAAGTTGGCATGACTAAAAGGGCAGAAAAAAAACAAGAGGGCAAAAGGGACGCTTGTTTTACTTTGGCAAACAGTGTGCCAATGCCTCTTGCAGCGACATTCAAAAGGGCCTATCATAGGCCATCAATAGGGCCTAGGGGGCGTAGGCGCGTTTTATCAAGGTCCCACCTAGAATGATCTTCAAAAGAATCTCAGTCAGGAGGGTGTAGAGCAGATATTTCGGCTAAATATCAAAATTTTGCTGAAAACCCAGATCCTGATAGCGGAGCTTACCTGACCGAGGTCGATACGAATTCGCTTGGAGAGGAGAGAACGCAGGCGTTGACCGTCACCGTTAAGAGTTGCGTTGATCAGCTGCCAGCGAATTGCCTCGTTCATAGTCGCCTCTGTTCTTTTCGCAATGATCTACGTGTAATCAGCTGTGGGACAGTAAGTGTATTAAATGATTAGCAAGTTCATTCTAACTTGCATGCAAATATGTTAAAGCAGTTTATACATCAGATTGGACAAGTTTCTTCTATGCTTTCGCGATCAAATGTTAGAACTTTATATTCTTTTTAACATAGTTGGATATTTCACCCCACAGATTGTTGCACTGAACTTCTACATCCTTCAAAATCCTTTATGATTTAAATGCTCACCGAATTGGAGTGATTTCTACTCCCTCATTAAACAGCATTAAAAAACTCAGTTTAAAATTACAAAAATAATTTGTACCAAACCTCTAAAGGTGGCGACTTACGTTATACATTAAAAAACTTTTTAGCGAGCATCTCAAAAACTATTACACTAGATTAAGAGATTTATCTATAAACCTTCCGGGTACACTCAGTTAATTTTATCCTAGGAAAGGCCTACTATTCCTGGATTAATAAATGTCTTTTGTAAGACCATTTCACGGCCTTACTTTTGCATTGCAAGTTTATTGGGAGAACACTAAAAATTTGCACCCTGAATCTAAGGGTAATTAGCATTACTTTCCGCACCCACTCCTAGCAAGGTAAACAGACCGTAGTCTTATTTGTTCGCATTTTTCATAGTTAATGATAGCTTAATTTCGAACTTTGTAATGCCGTTGATGTCAAAGATTATGCTTTGCAGAATTTTACCGGGTAATTTGAAGGAAGCAAATGCAATTATAAGTAGCAAGCTTATAATGAACTACAAGCAAATGAACCAAAATTAAGGAGGCGTTAGTTTGAAATTAGTGCAAGAAGTGCAAATAAATGTGAATCAGGTCCAATCGCTATAAAATATTAACCGCTTGTTGAACCAACTTCAAACTGGTATTCTCACAAATTTTGGCAAAATAGTGTTGTGCGCCCCATAGTATTTTATAATCAAAACAGGTGTTTTTAAGTAGCCTTATCAACAATTGCTTCAACAAAAAAGCACTAAAATGAATCAAAATTATATAGCTTAATTGGCTCAAATAATAGAGAATACCATATCTGAGTGACTTTTACGTTGAAGACAAAGTGAATTAAAAAACGTTAAAATCTGTTTAAGCATTGAAAAGCATAGTATTTACTTTTTAATCACTGGGCTCGCGATTTAAGACTGCTAAAAAGTGCATGTTTTATCCGAATCAATTCCAATGCCATTATTTTTTTACACATATCAAAATAAGGCTGCAAAATTATGTGCGACGCATATTTAGTGTTTAAGCAACACTTGCTTGCACCAAACTTGTTATTAAGCACTGAAAAAATAATTTATGCTAAATACAAAGAGATTTTAACGAATGGCTAGTTGTTGTTAAAAAGACTTGGAGCGCAGAAACCCATAAACGTTTGTCTCCAAAAATTACCTGCAAAAAATACACAAAAAAGGAAGTGAGTAAGCAGGTTTTAGACGTACGGCAATTTTGGGTCCAAATGACGACGTAGCGTTAAGGGGTACCCAACTCGTATCTGCCGGGTGGTTATAAGGTCACTTTAAAAATAATAATTGAACAAGTAGAACGATTGGGTGGAGCAAAAGGAATTGCCAGCCATCACTAGTATATGTGTAATATTTTATTGTAACATCGTCTGTTAACGACAAGTGATACTTTATGTCTGGTGACGTAAGTATTGGAGTTGATGTGGGAACCACATGTTTTCAACTTATCCAAACACATAGACCTGTTGCTAAAAAGTTCTGTTCTTGATTGTTAGATTTTAACTCAGTGTTCACAGTCTAATTCTACTTAATGTAACCAATACCTTCATTTGACATACCTTCCTATGCTCCCCTACACATGTGTAATACGACGGTTGTTTATCTCTCTTCCTTGGTGAGGAGCCACTTTCGACTTGGCCTTTGCACTAAGCCAGGTTGGCTGACCTCAGGACCTACCAGCAGCCAAATACCTCCTTTGTGCCGAATAGACGTATTCTGCCCGAGTATTTTCTTTTGTCCTCAGGGAAGTCTCAGAACGCTATACATATGTGACTTCGGCCCCGCAATTGCTTTACAAACCACCCTGTTCCACATTGATATTCCAATGAACCACATGGCACCTTGTCATTACAAAACCGCTGGCTTTGCTTCCTCGATCGCACGGTAGCCCTGAGTGATACCGTTGCAAAAATACCGCGCAGCCCCTACTTTGCGACCTAGACCATTCAACGTATGCACCACTGGTATCCTCGGGCACCGTGTCGAAGGCAGTCCGAAACCGTGAAAGGCTAGACACCGACCCGCTTACAGTGTCCCAACAAGGGGTACTTCTTGGGCGAGGCACTGGATTTCTCAAACACATTTGCTTATTTACACAAATAATAACTGTATATAAATTATAATAGTCCTTCCATTTCGCGCATAAACTCCTCGTACGCTGCATCCTTATTCGTAGCGTTGGCCTTCGAGGACACCGTTGATACAGGCACACCGAGCGACCCTCCAGGAACACTTCCCAGCCGCTCTGAAAGCAAACACTTATTAGGCATTCTACCGCCTAATTTCAACGCAAAATAATGCATAGGAAAAACGGCTTACGAGAAGCAGACAAACTACTCCCCAATCGAATTCCGGTGGAGTTTATGCCACCACCGACTTGAATGAGTCGACCCCGAGCGTCTTTCACCGTACGACGCACCTTCAGTGAGGTGGGCACAAAGCGCGTCGCGTCGCCAATCAAATTCTTTAGCTGCGGCTTCGCCTCGATCGTCGTTCCACTGCTGCCACCGACACCCGCATCGCCCGCAACCGACTCCAGATGATGTAGTGGCAAGGGATTCATCGCCGGCGGTGCCGACAGCACGGCACCACTCGCTGAACGAACGAGACAAAATACCATTCAAGAACATTTAGGGTATTCAAGTACCGAGGATGCAACAATTTGAAAGGAACCCCATAGGCAAATGCTAGCGATGCAGTTTCTACCTCACGAGAATAGCTCACGAAACCTTACGTTTAACTAAAAAACCATTCTTAATTAATTCACAGTATCTAATTGAGGGAACACTGGGTTTATAGTGTTAACTAATTGATTATTTTGAATGAAGTTGTGATGGAAAATTGAGCCAACAGTCATACGAGTCTTTTGCAGCATCAGAATAGAGATGGCCTACAATTTAAAACGTAAGAAGATAAAATGACTCTTCCCTTCTTTGGCCACGGACCACACCGCCCGTATTACAAAAGTGAAGCTGAAGCGGACTCGATATTTATCAGTTTGAATCTGGCAGTCTTGTGATTTGTGGAGGTTTTCGCAACGTTACTAGTCCAAGACCCTGCAATTTGGAGCATGTAGGCGATATGAGGAATCACTTCTTTTTGCTCATCAACCGCATCACCACGCCAGAACTTGTGGAAAAACAGATTAATGTGCATAAGATGTTCGAACCGCTCTGATATTTCGCCTCAGGTACTCGAGGGTTTTCGCATTACGATGAGATATATTCAAATTTTGAGAATCTTCTTTTGAAAGCACCCTTCGACAGTTTTAACAGCAACAGTTTGACTAATGATCACAAGCCATTCCGCTCTATCCATCGATTCTATTCATAACTAAGACTATGTTAAACCGTTTGAAGGAAAGTGGATTATTTCAATCGGGCAAATTGAGCGAACGAGTGCACCAAAAGGAATTTAGTACAACCGCGCTTACTTCTGCTGAACAAAGGAGAACCGCGACGAAACGATAGTGACTTGTAAGAATTAAACTATTTCTTCAGAACCACGATCCACCACAATGGGATCAGAATTGCAAACCTCGTATGAGCAATAGCATTCAGATGCCCCTTTCTCCCTCAATGCCCCTTAGAGTAAGGAAGTGAAGTATATCGAACCGTGGTTCTCACTGGAAAGGTAAATATGTAACCATTCAATCACAATTGTTCGAAAAGCCATAGTTAGACCCTAGCTCACACTGAGACACCAAGTAATCATAGGCTGCTAAGTTGGACGATATTATGAACTCACAATTGTGCATATTTATGCGCAAACCTGTAGCAGAGGCATAGCCGGGCGCTACAACACCCGGAAAACCGGGTACACCCGCACCCACTGGAGGCAGCGGTATTTGCGACGTCGGAAGACCTACAAGCAAGAAAAGAAGCCTATTCAACATAGTGAGTGTTGCTGATCAAGCTAACTTGAAAAGAGGCGCAAAGCTTATATGTTAGACACCAGGCCCACTGCGCACATTCTCATCGAATTGCCAGCAGAAGGCTTTCGTATCCTCAATGAACAGGTCTACTATAAAGTACAGCTAATCAAGAGCGCATTTTTATAAAATTAACAACAAAGTTTACGCATTTATAATGAGTACACACATTCAAATTCATCTTGCTTACAAGGCAAATAGACCTAATACATCAGTTTAATGCAAAAGAATAAATAAGCATGTGTCGTACTGACGTTTGCTTCCATAAATCCATTTACGAAACAGTGCATGGAGTGAAAACAAATTAATCAAAAATGTAGAATTTGACCATTAAGCATGATAATATGAATTGCGATGCCAAACAAGAAACTCACCAGGCAAAAATCCCGAAGCTTGAACATCATTCTAAAAATGTATTGAGGAGTAAATCATTATATCAATTTCGTGTTTCATTTTATGTAACCAATCAAAGTTGAACCGACACTAAACAATAAAAGGCCAATAAGTATTGACAAATCTTGAAAAGATCGATGGAGTAACAATTGATAATAAAAGGGCTTTTTGGAATAAAGGTCCGAAAAGAATCATAGAGAAAAAATAAGGGATCCAAAAAGAGAAAAGTGCAGTCGCCACTGATGTCAAAACGCACAAAAATTTCATCGATTGTGAGAATGAACGAGCACATAAAAGGTAAATCAACCTCGACAAATCGAATCCTTCGCTGCTTTGTAGGATCAGGTCTAATGTCGGTATCTTCCGACTCGCTGTCAGTCAAATCAGGAATGGGAAGGGATGGTGGTCCGGGGGGTTTTCGCCCAATCGGAACTGCTCCCGGTGGGGGTCCAGGTATACTGACAAAAAGTGTAGCAAAATGGGCAATTGCGAGGGCTGTACACGGAACAGTAAAGTTCGTGATACGTGAACAAATGTGGGTTTAGGAAAGGTATAACCTAATATACATCCAAAGCCCAGAAGTGGACTGATTCATAGTAGTCTAACCAGAGTGGCTTCTTTAGTATCCCCTTCGTGAATGACATAGATATCCCCATAGGCATTGGTATTTCCGAGGGAGGCAAACCGAGTTGCGATGGTGGAAGGTCTGGAAGAGGTATGTCACTTGCTTTTGTTCTCTCAGCGAGTTTGACCTGTTCTAAACAAAAAGCTAGTGAAATAAAGCGGACGTATACCATAGTAAAGCATCATGTCATGTCTACGCTTGTCATAATCCTTCCTAGCCCGAAGCAAATCTTTAGCGTACTCAGGATCCTCTTTTTTCTGGTGGGAAAATTTGAAAAGAGAACAGACGTACATACAAAGTAACGAGGTTATCAAAAGTTTCAAGAAGACGTTTGCGTTTCCCCTGTAATACACGTTCGTTCAGAGATGACTGGACATTTGGGTCGTACTCTAGGCATATGTGAGGTAAAAATAATGAGCAATACCTTGCTTATCATACATTGATGCTTCTTCAAGCAATTGTAAAGGATCTTTTGACTTGAGAACAGCATGGCGAACAGCAATTCTCTGCTTTTTATTTTTCTTAAGCTCTCTCTTGCGGGCCTCTTTCCTAGCTTGATCAGTGGGATTCATATACTTCCCACTTTTAGTTGTGTTAATTGATCTACGCCCCATTTCACAAAAAACCGGACACAGATTATCAAGACCAAATTAAAAACCGCACCAAGTCTTGAGAGGCACGCAAACAATACTGACCATTTAAAGCACAAAAAACCATTGGTACTCCATAGTACAACTAAAGCGAATTTGGATCGACTTCATTTCGTTTTGCTAACCTTTGAGTCACAAGTGAGGTTTTCAATATAACTGGAAACCAAGTTGTCTATAAGGAGGTATCAAACATATAAACAGACATTAATTTAAACGTATTAGTGCTTTTAAACGCCATATGCCAGAAATCTTTAAAGGACAAAAATGGAGATTCTCTTACTTTGAATATTAGAACCCTACATTTTCATATAAGTGAAAAATTAGTGTGTTTCTTATTTAAAAGCCATTAAGGTAACATGGAACTGCTTGCCTACTTCAATGTATCTGGCAATCTCTCAGAGCCTTTGATGATCATGGAAGATGATAAGGTCTATTAAAGCATAGTGTGCACATACGCATTGGTTTTCATAAAATTTATGGTATGCAAGCTTTTTGTTTACTTGTTTTGTGTTCTTTTCTAGGAAATTTATTGGTAAGTCGCAGTGAGAGAAACAACACTTGTTATTTATTTTTTTAGTAAATGTCTTTTGTTTTGGAGATAACATAGTTATACATATTTAAAATAAGTACCTAAAATATTAATAGTTATACATCGTACTGGTCTTTGTTTAAACTAACCCTCCACTAAATTAAACTTGTTTCTGGGGTACCTTTGAAAGCCCTCTCTCGCCTGTGGTGCGTTGCTTGCCCGTGGTTGGGCTCCCGTTGATTATAGTTTGTGCGTTGGTGCTTTATGTTTACCATCACATATTAGATGATGCTCCGCATAATCTACACATTCGTAGACCCCTCTAGCCATTTCATTTTCTACATACCTTCTCGTTTTACTGCTCTGCCTTCTCACTTGTTGCAGTATTCCGCACAACTTACCTGTGCTATTGCCTGGTCTGAGTTTTTCACTCCTCGTGAACAGTAGCCTCCTTGTTTGAGGACTTTTGTGGGATGGTTTTGCTTTGCGTATTTATCTAGTATAGCTGTCCCACATTATATAAGTGTGTCCAGATCCACTACCTTTATGCTTATTCTAAATTATTTCCTGGTTCTCAACGAATTCAGGTTATTACTAGCTTTGGGGTTGGTTAAAGTAGCCTTAGTTTTGGTTTGGATATTTCTATTTCTAGGCTACTCCTGCGTTGGCAGTATTCTCACCGCGTACATCTTATATTCTAGACTAAAACCATGTTGAAGAGGAGTAAGAATAAGACGGTAGGTGCTTGGCATATGATGTAATGTCTTTCTGTTAGAATAAGGTCAGGGTGACTACAGCTGAGTCACAGTTAGAGTTTGAGATGCAGAAGGGCTCTTTGGGCCAAGATCTCTTCGATCAAGTGGTCCGCACCATAGGTCTTCGTGAAGTCTGGTACTTCGGAATCCAGTACATCGACAAAGACGGCAATCCAACCTTTCTAAGATTGGATAAGAAAATTTCGAGTAACGATTTTGCACCTGGTTCTGAATACGACTTCAAGTTCATGGTCAAATTCTACCCCGAGAATGTCGAGGAGGAACTCATTCAAACTTGCACAATCACTCATTTCTACCTTCAGGTACTCCGTATTGATTAATTCTTTTTAGATTTATTTTTTGGTGAATTCCTAATTTGGTATACTTTATTATCTATCAGGTCAAGAGCGACATAATGTCTGGCAAAATCTACTGCCCAACTGACACTGCTGTCCTGCTGGCGTCGTATGCCTGTGTTGCCAAGTATGGTCCGTACGACCCACAGTCGTGCCCTAAGAGTTTGCCGATCGATCGACTGATTACCGGCAAGTAGGTCTTCTACATTGTTTTCATTTAAAATTCGATTCTTGATGTTAGGCGCTCTTGCCGCCTTTTTTTGGATGCATCCACTTCTGCATTTCCTCAGAAGACTTTTTTGCATGTAGGGAACAGTACGATCAAACCGACGAGCAATGGTACGAGCGGATCATAGCATACTACAAGGACCACCATGACATGTCTCGCGAAGATGCAATGGTTCAGTATCTACAAATTGCACAGGATCTGGAGATGTATGGTGTGGAGACCTTTAACATCAAGAATAAGAAGGGAACATCTCTCGTTCTTGGTGTTGATGCTCTCGGTTTGAGCATCTACGAACCTGGTAATTTGTAAGTTTACCTTACGATCTCATCTCAATTACTCATCTGTGAGGACTAAGTTTTATTTCTCCTTTTACCTCAGATTGGACCCTAAAATTGGTTTCCCCTGGTCGGAAATTCGAAATCTCTCTTTTCACGACAAGAAGTTCATCATCAAACCGGCAGACAAGTCCGCAAAGGTTTTTTTCCAGATGCTTGTTTGACTAAGTTTCACTAAGCTCTACCTAAACTTTCGTTTCACTGCAGGAATTTTTCTTCTTGGTGGAAAAATCCAAGATTAACAAGCGCATTTTGGCATTGTGTACTGGCAACCATGAGCTCTACATGCGTAGAAGAAAGTCAGACTCTATTGAGGTGCAACAGATGAAGATTCAGGCCAAGGAGGAACGTGAATTGAAGGAGGCTGAGAGGTAAGTCATCAGTATTCTCTTGTATCTTGCCTAAATTCTACTTCCTCAGGGCCGTATTCGATGTTTGATGACGTGTTTAGTGACTAAGTGAATGTGGTTGCGTTTTTTATTAAGACAACGCCTGAAGGAGGAACGATTGCAACGTATGGAGAATGAACAGAAACTGCGGGAGCTTCGTGCTCAAATGGTCGAAAAGGAGTCTGACTTAGCGGATATGAAGAATAAGGCGTCTGCCTATGAAAGTAAGATTGCAGAGCTGGAGATGCTGCTACAGCAGGAGCGACATGCGCGTGAGAGTCTTCAGAAGAGCCAAGACAAACTGGCGGAGATGAACAGAAAGCTGAAGGAGGTGCGTACGCGATGATTGACTAAAAATATTGGTGTGAATTTCTACCCCTCCCTGTACGCAGATTTACCTTGGAAGCCCATCTAACAAATGAACACCAAGCTAATTCGGCACATGATAATAATGTGGATTGAATTACTGATTGAACTGGATGTGATCCCATTGGGAGCCTTACTGGGCCTATTTTTATAATGATTTAGCCAGATTTTAGCAGAGCTCTGCCGCGAAAGTATCACTTTGTTTACTGAATTTCTACTTCATTTAGGTTTGACAATCGTTGGTTTGTAAACGTGGTATCTATTAATGCCTTTGGTGCCCTAACATGCTGATTTCCTGCATTAGCTGTTACCTGTACAACTCAGCCAGCTGTTTGCGGAGCGCTTCTGGGTTACTAATCTTGCCACCCGAAGAAAGTTCTCAGAATCCTACTAGCTCAATTTCATATCTTGCCTATTTGTAGCTTACAACTGGAAATCCTAGTCTTCCCATGATTGATATCAACTCAAACCGATATTTTTTGAGTGAATGTTGCAATAACGTTTTACTAAGGGCATATGTTTTGTCAAGATGCTCACGCATTGAGCTGTATCGAAATAATGAATAATGGAGTCTTGCTCAAAGAAATAAAACTGTCGAAGAAGTTCCCGTAAGCTCTTTTTTGGTATCGATTAGAGGTCTTTCCAGATCCTGAGTTGAGTAGACTAACCGCTTCGTTGTCTCCTCCACTTTTTGTGTTTGGCTAGCGGATATGCCTTCTGTCAGTTGGAAATCATATCGTGCGTGTGTACACACGTATGATGACGGTTCTGAGTTGGTGCTTCTTGCATCAATGAATCGGTATTACCTTGCGGATGTTACTGAACTTTCTCTTGTAGGAGACTGCGGCATCAGCCGAAGAGCGCAACCGTCTGATGGCCCAGCGTGACGAGGTGCAGCGCGAAGTTGAGGCTCAGAAGGTCGCCATGGCCAAGAAGGAGGCTGAAAAGGCTCAGGCTGAAGCTGAGCTTCGCAGAATGCGTGAGAAACACGATGCAAAGCACAAGTCCCAGGTCAATGGCAGTGGTGACGGTAAGTAGCGTGATGGTACTGGGCTTATTTTGCCGTTTGTCATGCACTGTCTAGTGCCATTGAAGTATTCGTGTGCGGAGATCGAGACATGGAATGAATTTTTGGAAGTGAAATTTTGTCCCCTGTTTTTAACACTTGCTCGTTTTTTTCTTCCGTTCAGCTGCTTCGCAGGATGATGAAAGTGAAGGTAAATGGTTTGTGTTTCTTATCCTAGCCTGTTTTTTGCTAAAACGAATACTTAGAACTCGGATTCTATGGATCGGGTTGTTCCCCATTCGTAGCAGCACCTATATCGCTACTTATTCTCGAGAATTCTTCATTAGTGCTACTTTTATGTGCAAGCATTGCTATTGGCATTTGTTCTGCATTCACTCGGATTCACATAACGTGTCCTTATCCAGACCACTGAGTTGTCGAATAATCTGTCAGTGCGCAAACATCAGCAACCACAGGTCACATAATGCAGTCGAATATACCTCTCTCGCCCTCTCTATGTGTGAATGAGTGTGTGGGGTTGTGTGCTAGTGTGTTATTTAGCTAATTCGGCAATCATTATGCGATCACACACACCTCATTGCCAAGCAACTTTGTGTGTACACGCCCTTCTAAAGATTCTCCACTATGACATAAGGCGCCATCCCCGATGATCTCATTTTTTACCGTGGGTTCGGTTTGATTTCCATGGGGCTTACTCTATTTCCCTTTAGCCAAGGAACTTGAGGTGATACCAAATGTGAGGCGGACGGAGGAATCGAGGGTGACGGCCGTCTCTAAGAACGAGACGCTCCAGACGAAGCTGGCCAACCTCAAAATGGAGTTGAGCTCGACACGCGATCAGTCGAAAATGCGCGACATTGATCGTCGTCATGAGTACAATGTGCGGGAGGGTAATGACAAGTACAAGACACTGCGCAACATTCGCAAGGGCAACACCATGTGTCGTGTTGAACAGTTTGAGTCGATGTAGAAATGTTACAGTTGTCTTCATTCCCCTCCTCTTTCTGCAATTTTGGACCCTCTATCACTACGGTTACTTCCTCAATCATGCTGCTACAGTGCTATCCAACATTCCATTTTTATTCTCGCGATGCACACCTGCCTTTTCATTCTGCCCCTTCTTATCTAACGTCCACTTTATTAAACTGCTATGCTACGCTACTCTACCTTTCTCGTTAAAGCATTTCCATTCCTAGCGAAAATAGCACATAGATACGGGTTCTTCGCGGTGTGCCACTAAGAGGTGCACTGGCTCTCATCACTTCGGGCATGTGAACTTGTGCTGCGTGGGGTTCGGTGGGAGTATTCCAACTGATACATCATCACTCGGTAGTGAATGTAAGTTGGGTATTCGTTTTCTTGAGCTTATCATCGCCCTAATTGAGTCACGGGGCGTGCTGTTCTCAAGGGTTGCGCCTACCTGGTGCAAACAAATTAGCACACTTCAGTGAGCAGCTCACGGTGTGTGCTGAACCCGGTGGGTGGCGAAGCTTGCAGATACGCTGACGCAGCGCAATAAGAGGTGCGCAAGATAGTTCAAGTTTAGCGGAGGGGGCACTGCTTTAAGGCACAAGCCATCCATGGGGGCGTTAAGAGCCCCAGTTCTTCAGTGCGCAGAGATCGAGAAGGCCTTTGGCTGGGTGATAGGCGTAGAACTCCGCCGCCAGTGCGGGGGTAAAGACTAGTTCCAATCTATTGCGTGATCTCCCTCTTGATTTGAGCTTCGTCCCCGACCTTCTCCGTGGTCCGTCTTCCACTGCACCGAAATGTCCTCCTAATCTGATAGGCAGTAACGAAAATGCCGCGATGAGTTCGCTTTTTATTTCTTGAGTGGTAATAAAAGTAGAGGATTTGGGTGGTATTAACAAATCTCAAAACAGCTGTTGAATTAACTGGGTCAGTGATAATGGATTCTTTAAAGTAGCAGAGGTAGCGTCAAAACACTTTACAGCGAACATATTCCTTGTGCCAATGCTTTTTCTTCTTGAGGCTGTCAACCCCTAACATCGCAATCGAAACCACTGTGCGCATAGTTTCCTAAAGATGGCTCCAATTCTTTCAGTCCTAACTTTGCCCTGTCACTGGTCGTTATGAGGAACTCAGAATCACAGAAGTTGCCAATCACGCCCCCATTACGAGTCTTCTCGAACTCAGCTATCTATAGCGAACACTCACTCCTTGTAACACTGGATTTGCATGATGCCAGAGAAAAACGGGGACACTCCTCCTTCGAAAGTCATCTAATGAACAATCTACTGAAACAATGGCCGAAAGCACCTCCACCATTAGCGCACAGAATGTTTAGAAGCTTTAACACTATGGTGGTAACTGCAACATCATCATGAGGGACTAAACGGGCTCGTGTAGTGGAACACCATTTATCACCCTCTCAGTGCTTTGCGGACCGTACATCTCCAATTTATTCAACAAGCATAAAATTCTAATGAGTGGAATAGGTGGTCGTTTGCAATGCTAATTCATAGGTAAGAGCTTGGTCTTTACTAGTGCGTTTATTGTTCAGTCACAGAAAAAGGAGAATCAAGTGAAGTTAGGAAGGATAAAGGACAGGAGGAAGGCTAAAAGGGTAGAAGGTATTCACAACAAGAACCACTCATATTAACAACAAAACCACAGCAATCATGGATAAAATAATCTGATCGACAGCCATCCCTCACACAGCCAGTTCCCGCATAGCAGCACAGCAGACGACCAGCCAGCGTAGCAGCGTGGTAGACTAATATACATCAAGAGACAAAGAGGGAAATAAAATTGGAGTCCCAGTTGGACTGGACTGCAGAGGGAGCAACTCCCTGTCCCATCGTATCCTCCGCTTTCGCCTCCTGTGTCTCCCTAACGATTGCTGCTCCCTCCCTATCGACTGCCCACTCGCTCGCCTCTCCACCCGAGTTCTCCTCTGCTGCACCGCCGCTACCAGCGGCGCTCCGGCGCAGCGCCATCTCTACTCCATCAGTCTTCTCATTTCGCGCGTTACTACCACGTAGAAAGGACAGTCCCCCTGTGTTTAGACTCGTCCGTCTCTGTGACAGCTTTCGACGGTTCAGCTCGTTGGAGAGGTCGTTGAACACTCCTGCCATGTTAAAGCGCCGCGTCTGTGCCTGGTGGGGAAGTGTAACAGAACAATATTGGCTTGGGATATGAGACTCTTTAGCCTCCATTAATAGCCCTTGTAAATCTTAATACGTCTTCAGAACTGCCTCGAGTGGTTTGGAAGTAGCAAAAAGAGCAAATGATTTCAGTTTGAACGCACGCTTGGAAATAATGATCTGTTTCACTAGTTTCGGGATTCACTTAGCTAGCTGCACACAGCGGAACAGAGTGGTGCAACATAACAGTGGTGGCCTAAGAGAACCTTTCAAACACAGAAACACAGAAAATAGCCGCGCAGTAAAGCAGAGTAGCGAAACGTGAGAAGGATGGTAAAACACAGGACACACACACACACGAAACGCAGCCCTGAAGTAGTAATAAACCAGTATGTTGTTAATCTGAATATTGAGACACCGTTACCTCTCCGTAACCAAAAGAAGCTTAAAACAGTTAACTTTGATATAGCTCTATTGAAGTCTTCGGCAGCGACATCACAAACAGCATCATAGTTTTTCGTGAGGTCTCACTGCCAAGGTTGTGACAAGTTCACTTTCAGCTCTTCATAATCCCATCAAATTAGGTTTTTTCATGGGACTACATCAGTGTTAAACGAGAATTGACGAAAACTCCGATGTTCCTCCTATAGCAAGTGAATATAGTGAGTTCAGATGTTAAGTTGACTAGTTTTAGTAGTAAGTGGAGACCCACATTTCGATTCCAAGATTCTGACAAATGCTACATGCACAAAGACGGTAGTAGATGAATAAGATGACAATGCCTTCTTTGTCTTTTTTCCTTTCAGCCAGTGTCGTCCTTCTGTGCATGGACGAACAGGAGAGAACACTGGCAACAAGAGTTTTATCTAGGGGAGGAGGCATGGCGGTAATGAGAGGGGGGACGGAGGGTTAGTCACGCATGTCCACACAAAGACATGAGTCATCCCTGGCCATACACTAGCAAACATCTACTGGGATCTCCGCAACGCAACAACCGAATGACCTCTATCGTACGGACAACTTACCCCTCCAATTCACCTAGTCCTCCCAGTGTGCGTTCACTGCGAAGCGATTGCATGTGCGAGCTCAGTCACCGGGAGTGATGCAATTAAGTCACCTCAATCATGCTTGACCTCTGCGATTTCACATGCGGTTTCGTGAGATCATGAATTGTACAACGGTGAACAATTTTTGTGAAAGTTGCAGCCCAGGGCGCAGTCACATCACCGCATATGGTTGTGAATGAATACACGCCAACAGGCAAGTGCACCTCTAATAGAGATGCCAATCTTGGCTAGTTAATCAGAAGTGAGCTACTCAACACTCTTGTACGTGATCGAATGCAAACACCCGGTAAGGAGAAGCTACAGCAAGATCACACAAACTCAGTTAAGTACTATTATATGTCTTTGCGCAAATAAGCGCATGACGAGACCACCTCTTCGTGTGTGCAAGTTTTTTTTAAAAAGGCGATCCACTGGTGCGGACAAATGCCTAGTCCAGCTATGGAGGAAACGTCCGACCAGATTTAACGCAGGCACTAAAAGAAAGCCACAGAATATTCAATACTATGAAACTACCTAATGTGCCGTTGTGTGTGTTTTTACGAGTGCAAGGATGTATCGAGGCTCGGTAGAGACGTGACCTCTGGAAAGTGAGACAGAAATTACTCCATGACAAACAACGAACACAGGCCTATGGTTGAATCAGAAACGGAAGGCTCTGTTTGGATATCTCCCTCCATGCCTACAGCGTGGTGAAAGTACAAGGTTTAGGGGATTGAAAAAAAGAGAACGTGACAGAGTTAAGCCAAGAGGATAGAGATAGAGCGACAAGGAGATAGGTTTAACAACAGTGTGTGTGTCAAAACCACTAGAGGCCTAGCACATGATCGCTGACTTTTGTTTACGATGACAAATACGCACACGCATACGAACCTACACATATGCTCAGTTTAGTGAAGGCCAAATGTGACAATCTTTTTTGATGGCAAGCCATATCTTAATCAAATAAGCTACGTACCTCAACTACACAATAAGAGGTATTAAACAGGGCTCAACAACTTTTACACCAAGCGTTCAATCGCCTTACAAATGGCGGTTATCAAATGAGGGAATTAATGAATGCGACGCCATTATAACCCAAAACTTCACAAAACGGCGTCACTTCAAGTTCCAATGGATCGTTTGTCGCCGCAAAAACGTTTCGCATATGCAAGTTCTCGTCACAACGCCCAGAGATTGCAGTCCATTTCGGGGCGTGGGTGTGTATGTGTGTACAGAAATTTGATATTACTTCGAGCACACATACGCCATGCAGACTTACAGTAAATTTTGACTCTATATGAAATTGAGATAATACCTATTGGAATTTATCTTTCGACTTTAGTGAGTCCAGGTAGACAAAGACAACTTTTGCGCAAGTTTTCTTAAAACGAATGTGACATTTTATGACAGTAAAATATCGCCTCACTGACAAGGGCAATTAAACAGGATATGATTTTGACAACATCTAGCGGAATAATATTTGATTTGCTGGAAGGATTTTAATGGACAGGAAATAAATTACCGTATAAATTGCCATAAACTTCATAAGATCCTTTGGGGTTATTAAGAAAACGGACTCCACTGATAGTGAGGTGAGGTTAGCTAACATTTGGGTAATGCCTGACAGACCCTGACCTCTGACGCTTTAAGTGAGTCCAAAATGACACAAAATTACATAGGTTCGCGCAAGCCTGATATAACCTTTTGTGGTCATGACGGAGACCAGGGTAACTTAACAAGTGTCATGTGCCTGTGAAGTTTATTTTTTCACAACTACTAGTAAAAGTTCCACGATTGCACAAAAAGGAAGGGGTGAGGTGGACTTTACTCCAATTTTTGTGCAATACCTAGTTTACAACGTCGCTACATCATCATTCGTGAAAGGCAAGGTGGAAAGGTAGAGCAATTGGAGCCCTTTGTGGCACAAAAACATGATTGACAATGTGAATTTTGGTATGGGCCGTCAGCAAAAGTCCACCCCCTCTGATTCTCGGAAAAAGAAAAAAAATGAAGAGCAAGAATAGTAATGATGGTGCAACCGCGTCTCGTGCAGTAAATTATCGACCTTTTAACCTCCACCAATATGCACTGGAGTCGGATATTGCTGAGGTGACGAGAATTTTGGAATAATTGGGAAAAAAGAGGCATAAAACTCATCAATTGTGTGAAAATTAATAAGTTGATTAAAGTGGCAGCCAGCAACAACATATCAGGTAGTGGGAATGCCATGGCAAAAAAGATAATAGATTTCAAAAGTATTTGAGCAGGTCTTGATTAATCATCTAACTGAAAAGAGGATGTGAGAACCAGGGAGCATACAGATCCAAAATCCATCAATATCTGTAGAACTCGCATTTCGAAAACGGCTCCAATAAAGGGTATTGTTTCCAAAAAACTAAAGACTGAAAGGCCTTGACATTTTAAATCTCGCAGCCAAAAATATTTCAACTTTAGAAGAACCCAACTAATCGCTTCAAATCCTATACGACGAAAAAATAATGCAAACAGAGACATCATAGAAGGTAGAAACATGACGAGCGTGCTTTGCAGTGGCCAGGGACTAGGGTCAGAACTAGTAAATAAACCAATCAACTATGGGAGTTATGAGGCAGTCTACTTAAAATTATTTCAGTAGCATGCGACCTTGACAAAACAAAAACACGTACCCGCTCCTTATGAAGCGCACACAACTCATTGAAATCCATCGTGCCTTTACCCATCAGAGTGTCGTAATTGGAAGTCATTCGCATATTTTCTGCATACTTTCTTTTCCTCCTGGTTTCTGGAGACTCATCTATATAGGGTAAATTGATCAAAAAGCAAAATCGGGTGAGATAATCTCGGGAACCGTAAAGATGAAAGAGCTGAATATAATGCAAAAGATCAAATCCTACTCAATAATCTACATGTTGGAATGGAACCCCAACAGACAATACTCTGCTGGCACGGCCAGATTTTTCTATCTGAGCTCGGCGTCGCAGATATGTAACATACATACCCTACCAATTTATGGCATCCGGTTGCAATAAATCGCATCGCAAATAGATTGATTCGATTTAATACGACAAAACGGTCAAAAAATATCCACAGTTTGAGAATGATTACATTATTTTCAGCTTTCGAGCAACAGTTGAATTAGTTGGGAGAATGAATGGTGACCGATTTCACGCCAGAACAATAAGATATTAAATCCAACATGACTCGAAAAAGCATCCCCATTTGCTTTACCAGCTGTGATGTGTTTTATGGCGAAAACTGTAGGTTGCATGCATGGTAAAAAGAAGTACACAGCAGTAAAGGAAAGACTTGAAATGGAGTGAACATCCTCAAGAAACATGTGCCTTGGCAATTAAATGAAATTCACTGCGTGCTCAATTCGGTCAGAAGGCCTACGAGAGGATGTTACAGGTGCAACAAACATTGAAGTAGAATGATGAAGAAGTATTATCGGATGGTCTGCCATAAGGCATGTGGCATCATTTCAAAATGTCCAAAATCTTAGGACATATACCATGAAGGGAAGAAGTACACATAAGCATTACGAAAGCCAAAAACGTAGTCAGAATGGATGAATATTACACGACAATGAGATGCGTTGAGTTAGAAACTTGCACACCGTAACAGCGACAGCACAAATCCAGAAACCAGACTAAGCAACATTGAATTGAGACACCTTTCAAACCATCGTTAAGTGACCTAGTACTTGAACCTTTATCGCTAGCAACAAGGATCAAATCTCCTCTGTAGCAGGCACTTTCCCACACAGGAAGACAAAAGAAAAGCAAACTCACACAAAATCTTCTGTGCATGTTTGAAGGAGATCATCTCCTCCTTTTCGAGATCAGAGGCACGCTGAAGAAAGGTAAAAGTTGCGTTAAGCGGTCGTTGACAAGGTGAAAACATGGGGGAGAATAAGATGGGTAATGAAGCGTGCTTACCGAACCAGCATTTAGTATCGACTGACTGCTCTCGGCCATTGACAAGCTGCTCAGTGACTGACTATCGGCACCCATAGGCGCCGCATTCCTGGAACCGTCTGCAAAATAAAAATATTGAAAATTAGCCATACGAACCCTTGGAAGGTCCGATCACCTTGGGGCAAACCAACAACCCAGACTTGATCACCATTCATCAAATTGAAAGACATTTAAATCGGCAAAGGCATCAAATTAAATAAAGGGGCAACATTTAGAAAATTTGCGGACTTAAAGACTTTCGGCAGCAGAAAAGTCATGCGCACGAGTCCTGACGGTTGAACAGCCGAAAGATGGATGGATGCAAGTGCGAACACTCTTCCCATCACGTTCAGACTCGCTTTCATATAAGTAAATGATGGCGGAAAAAAATGGAAGTATGGCCGCTGGTGCACACAAGAGTGTATTTCAAGAAACAAAAAAATTTAACTTTCCAAGCATTAGACTCTGGAAGAGCTTAAACGACGACAGCATGCTCCAACGGATGCTCCGACGACTTGGTGACCTCGACCCCAAGTTCTTCATCCACTCATAGCCCCTCAGGGGCAAGCGTCTTTGTGACTCTGATTGGTGCCGAGAAGATCGGATTTCTAGGAAGTTGATGAAATCACATTGGATCTGGACTCGTCTGCCTGAAACCAACTCTCCCAACAAGAAAAATAACGAACAAACAGGAAAGGAAGTTGAAAGATGAGGACTTAAAACTGACATCTCAAAGTAGGTGCAAAATCAAGAGAAGTTGCGAACTGGGCGAACATATTTGTGCGCTAGGACCAACAGCTCAGTTAAAAATAGGGGAGGGTTTTAGATCAAATAGACGGATAACAACTCTATCGGAGGCCTGAATGTGATTATCAATGCAAGGAGAGCATAGATGTCCTTTTACGAATCCCAGTCAAATGCTAGAACAAACGAAGGTCGACAAATACGGAATCTAGCCAAACCAAAAAACTTTAGGGCTTGGAAATTTCATTGGAAAAAACTGTCAATTTACAAGTAAATTTAATAAAGCATTTCAGAAAGTACAAATAAACTGAATTTTCATAAAAAAGGTCAGAAGTGACAAGTGAAACCAACCAACACGTACCAGTAAAGCGTGGGTACTGCCGCAGAGCTGCACAAGACAATGATCAATGTGGGGGAATAAACGAGGTGTTGTTGACGTACGAAGACAGACAAGCATGTCAATCTCGTCACCAATGTGAGGCTTGACAGCCGAAAAATGAAATGTGTGCGGTGTGTGGGAAAAAAAGTTCAATACGGCGATAAGGCCATTCATTCTTCGAAAACGACGCAACGACAAGAGGAGCGAAAACGAATCCGCTGAGCCTATACAAGACGTGACAACAAAGCCACAAGACTATAAATTCGAATCAACGCCAAATCACACGATCTTGCACGTTCTCAGGTCCATAATTTATTCTTCTCCAAAGGACATTGCAGTGGATGAATTTTTATTTGCTTGCAGCATAGCTCTGGAGCCATTGGTTGTAGTTTCCTTTAAAACTGTAGGATAACAAACATGTATTTTCCTAGATCATAGCAAGAAATGTTGTATTGGATGGAGTGCTAACCTAAAGTATTTGCAAATGATTGAAGGTGGAGCAAACAAATGCAACCATTTGTGAAAGCTCTTAGTCAAAAACCAATTTTAGTGCAAAGAAACGCTGTGATGGAGCCTAGGACGGACGTTTTACACAAACGCTCCAACACCACTAACGGCTAGCATCAAATACACAGTAGTACATCGAAGATCATATATTTATAAGTTGATAATACACCGGAGAACAGAAAGCTGACAGAACGTATTATGAAAGACTGTAGGCCATTGAATAAAACACCATGAATCTAAGAGGCGATGGAGAATGAACATTGAAATCGGCGCAAAAGATGCCTAAAAGCTCTCAGCTAGTGAACGTATCCCTGAAGCATCAAAAACAGGCCGTCAATGGACAGACGAAAATTAGTAGAAATGGAAATTCAGCGCAGACAATATAGCACTGATAAGACAGTAAAGTACAGAAATGTTGTTCGTGGCCATGCCATAACGTCAGTGGAACAGCTGCGCAAAAGTTAATTTCAAATCCGAACTTGATGAGACAGATATCAGCATTTCCAATAAAACACCCCCGGTGGAGAATCCTGTTGCAAAAGTTTATTTCCGAAGTATTGATCAATGAGTCAATACCGTAGAAGAATCACTTTTAACTTCCAAAACCGGGTAAAAAACCGCAGACCGTAAATATTAAGAGGAACGAACCGAACCTTGAGTTGCCAAACATCATATGCAACAGGGTGAATAGAGGAAACAAGCATTCAAAAAGCACACCAATAACTTGGCAAGATCTGTCATGCCACAGGATTGGCCTTTGCCAGTTTTAAATCAGCTCCACAGATGACAGAGCTGAGGGAAAGGACAACATGATCCATTTTCAACACCCAGAACGGAAATGAGGGCGAAGCAACTGAAATGAGGCAAACTCAGGAAACCGAAAGTTGCTACAGTCTGAGGCATCTCAAATAAGCCAAGTCCCGACCAGTCAGTTGAATTGAATGTATAAAGTGGGGAATTGCAGGTGCAACAAGACGCATGTTCAAGCAGGTCGACAAAACAACTCCAAAAGTGTTACTTTCACTGACTGAAGTACGAGCAGATGAGTTGATTGAGGAAAATAGGGGGTACAAATTAATGTTTGAAGGGAACCGCCAGCATGATTCATTTTCCAATACAGTGGTGTATAGATTGGCAGAACCAGAGTGAGGTTGAGAAGTAATTTCAACATCCTAAACGTATCTTGATGAATCAAACCAGGTTAAAAGTTACAAACCCAAAAGCGATAATGCAGACCTCCAAGCAATCAAAAAGTTATGTCACATACACTGAGCCCCATTTCGGAATGTGTCTCCAGGACCGGCACCGCGGTTCAAAGATCCAGGAAGAGTGCCCCACCCACTAAATCGGTTGGTGGAGTCGTATTCAGAGGCTCCACTGGTGCGACCGCCGGGTGTGGTGACCGAGCCGGTGCCTCCGCCTCCCGCCGCCGCCAATGCCGCAGAGCTGCCGAGCATGGCAACGCGGAGGGATTGGAGAGCTTTGAGTGGGTCGAAGGGCTGGTAAGGCACGTCCAAACTAGAGGGGTCGAGGGCAGCCTGCTGCAGGGCGGAATGTACTGCCTCCCGGCAGAAGAGCATGTCCTCAGAGATCACTAATTGCGCTGGATACCTAAGAGGGGAGCACACAATAAAAAAGGATTTATTGTTCCATGGAATACTAATGCAGGCATAAGTCAGAGAGATGGCACTCATTGCACGGTTGCGACTACTATTATAGCTCAGTGTTGAAGGATTTTTACAGTTGATAAGGTATCCGAACGTGAGACAACACGATTATTGCGTTTGAAAAGCCATAATTTGGAAAGTTATTAGTAATAATTAGTACTAATGGCTGGACAGGTAGCGCACCTAGCACCTGAAACCAATTGAAGACTGGTGCAATGTTTACCAGTGTACCTATGGCTACAATAGCAAACTCGAACCTGATATGCCCTGTCAGTACTTCATGGAACAAGATTTCTACAAAAATAAATGCAAATAACTCCTGGGTATACAATTGAATAACCTTATTGTTTGGAGTGGCTAACGCCATGAAAAAAGTGGATGGTGGAAATACTTGTCCGCAGACAACAAAAAATAGTACAATTTATGGTTGCCAAAGGATAAACCAGTAAAATTTTAGAAAAAAATATTAATTATGATTACCTTGTCTTTTCACTGTTAAACGATTCTGGCAAATTTCGTGAAACATCAATGTAAAATTGCTCACAGAAAAAGCCTTCGAGGCTCTCACGGAGATCCCATTAAATTGTGCAGTAAAACAAATAAAAAACCCACTCTCGAAAGCTAAAATTCGACTTCCAGGGCAAGAGATCACACAACTCCTTGTCAGATTAGGCCACATTCACGAGAATCATTAAGAAACAGAGATCCCACTGTTTGCATAATCCTTGGAATAAAGAAATAGGAAACGGCTCGTTTGAATCACATGCAAGCATTGTTGAGTTGATAATCAGTTGAATAAATTACAGCAGATAATCATTAGCATTCCTTTCAACTTCTTCACCGCTTAAGTGTCAAAACGATTCTATAACTCCTCACTAAAAACTCTAGCGGACTACTCCAATAAATTAAATCAAATCAAAATGTTGGCTAATAAAGGAGAAATTTTGCCACAAAGGCAACGAAGAAGTCATCTTCGAAAGCAAAAAATTCACCCAATGCGTCAGTGATTAAGTACATACGTTTCAAGGAAATTTAAAGCAGATTCGCGTAGCCTTTGAAGTGATAAAAGAGGAAGCAGTTCATCTGATCTGCACGCATTATGATGAGCGTTTGCATGCCATCAAACTTCAAAAAACGGGAGTCACACAATTCCCCATTAGATGAGCAGAAAACTTTTAGCAAAAAAAAACGCTAAATTCACCTGGCATCGAAAGTGAAAAAAAGTGGGAATTGTGAAGGCTAACAACGAGAAATGCCGTCAAAGAAAGCGACCACATCTACAACTACTAAGAAAAAAGTAAACGCGAATTCAAAAACGGTGCAATTAAGAGAAGAAAATGCGAGTGGATAAAATCGCATTTCTGAGCAGACGATTTCACTCCTACAGAAATGAAAGCATTAAGATAGAGATTTATAATAATTCACTTGCTTAAACGATCATGAATAATAGTACGAACAACAGGAAATAGGACTGAGACGATGAAACTCAAGAAGAGAGAACAATTCATGGGAAACTGATTTTGCTACTGTGATACTGAAATTTCACTTGAGAAATGAAAGGTCACATGCTACTTATGTGAGAAAATCAAGCTGAATTCATATAGCCTCTGGCACAAGATGGGAGAGTTAATGTGGTCTGTACACTTGAAAAGTGGCCTTATTGTTGCCATTTAATGCAACCAAATGGCAAAACTCATCAAAATTTACACCGCTAATTGGTAATATGACCACTCCAAATGAACTCATGACTCGTAACATCGACCCAATTCAAGAAGGTAGCACGTAGAAAACCAGAAATATAAGCAGCATACGAATAGTCGAGGCCGATTTTACCAATTTAGGCTACTAGAGACCACGCCTTTAAGATTACAAATACCATAGTGGCAAATGGTAAATGATACGAGGGTTTCGCGTGCATCGGTACTCGTAGTCGAATCGGAGTAGCACTAGTGGCATGGCGTGACGAAGATTGATGCAATCAAGCAGTCAACGGCAATGGTTTGGGTAGGACTACATAAAACAATCAACTTTTGTGACGCAGAATGTAGTTCATTAACTGTCTCGACTTAATTCACGAAATGCAGCAACAAATTGAAGCTCCTAAAATGATGCAGTGCTGCTCTAATAAAAGGTTCCACAACACTGCAGACATAAAGTGCCCACAGAGAGGTAATAAAAGCCACAGCGACACACCAGGGCAACACACAAAAAATGACAGCACAAAAAATTTGTGACTGAGTTTAATGAAGATTGAAGATGAGAAGTGGCATGACAGCTGAGAAAAATCACAACAGGAAAAAGTATATAGTGCGGAACTTGAGAACGCATGAAACCACTTCAAAAGAAGCAGAGCATGCGAAGCTTCCACAGCACCAAACTTAAGACGTATTTGCGTGAATTGTTGCAGATCATGAGCAGCAGTCTTCGTAAAATTTTGTGATTAAGGTATGACTTACGTTTCCTGCGTATTTTTTCGATTGAAAGCGACGTCTGGGAGGAGGTAAGGTGCTCTTTCCCGACGCGTTTTTATAACCTGAGAGATAAGTAAAACATTTTTTAAATGAAACATTGAATACAATCACTCCATATGTATTTTTCATTCTCTAAGCTGATAGCAATCGTCCAGTTAATATCACGTGCACTGGAGGAAGAAATATGAATGGAAGTTTGAATTACCTCGTGTAGCTTCAATTAAAGCAATATACGCTCACGAGTGCTAAAACCATGATATTTATAGACTCCGTCTTATTAGGTGTTCCGGGATAACTTGAATGCTACGACCAAACGCATTCTCGAATACTCTTTAGGGCAGATTGCACTGATATCTTGAAAGGAGGTTTCTGCAAAACTTATCAGCTTGTAATTAGGTTGAAAACGAGTAATAATATAGATATTTCGTACCTGCTAAGGCAGGATTTGAAATGAATGAATAAGAAGTCAGTCAATAACATTGTTGTCCAAACTGTTAGCAATGAATAAGATACAAAAGCCAGTGTTTCTCTACAATGAAAGCTGCCTAGATAGACGGTTGGACAGAATCGTATAAAAATTGCAGCCAGGTGGAGAGGTGGTGCGACAAGAGTGAACCTGCCTTACATGGACGACTTGCGAAATGTGGGCGGCGTGCAAAATACACTCGCTATATAACAATGTTTCCAAATAAATGTTTTTTAAACAAAAAATATCACTGAGTAGAATCACTCAGTTTCCCTGCACCACCTTCGGATGCTGGCATTTCCAGTTGGGTACCTTTACAAAATTAACTGCTTGGTAATCTAATGCCACTGTAGTTAGTTGATGATTGTTTTAGTGCTAATATACCAGATCTTGAGATCCTGTGATCCGTACCTCCGGCCATGCCTAAAGCTTTCCAGATTTTCCGTAGGTTAGTGGTAAATCTTCTTGCTTACCAGTACGGCCAATTAGAACTGCGGGGAAGACACGGGGCGCACCACATCGTCACAACAGTGTTAGAGTAATAAATGCAAGTGACAAAGGCTGTGTGTGCTACTACCTCCATAAATAAATAAATAAACGGAGTCAATTTGACGATTAACACGTTCGCCATCGGGATCGAAGAGGAAAATCGACTACACAGCCTACAAAAGAGGTTGCCCCTAAAGTCGTGTTGATGAAAAACTAGGTGTGATTATCATTAAGCCAGGAATATCCTACATCTACTTCCGTCCTGATTTAGGATAACCAATTATTATAAAACCATAAAGGCTACATGTGGGATACGCGTGATGCTGGTAGCGCAAATTTTAAGATCTCCGTCACCAATAAAACCTTTTAAATGCAAAATTATTTTCGGCAAAGTATGGACAATTTTAAACGTCAAAATTATTTTTTTGACCTGTTAGAATCAATCAAAACACGGAGATAAAAATTCACCAACACTTTGCCCGAAGACGTGACCCTGGAGGTCTTCGGCAGTGCTCCAAAAGACACGTCTCTCAGAAGTCACGTGCTTAATCAACATTCATCAAAATCGCCTAGTGTAAGAACACAAAAATCATTAGATACACACACAAGCGTCGGATGAAGAGAACGAAGAAAGAAAACAAGATCTTATGGATCAGGAATGAGTCAGCGCAATTACGTGTCCTGCCATCACGTGATGTAGACAACAGCAACAGTGACAAAAGCTAGCCAAATCCTTTTTAGCAATACCTTGCACTGACGCAGTAGACTTGAAATCAAGGAAACTGGTCTAAAAGTCACCGCGTCGGAGCGTAGTGATTGCAATTAAACAGAAAAAAGTACTAACTTACGCCTTGCACATGCGATTGAAGAGATTCCCTGAGAGAAGAAATGGGGACGATGATCGACATCACAGTGGCAAGCACGGCATGGATAGCACAGAGGTGTGGCAAAGGAAGACTTCCATCAGATTCCGTGGTCTTCTGCTGCACCGCTAGCACCAAACGCAGCAGTTCCACGAGAACCTGCAAGGGGAGCTTCGTTAATTAATTCAATTTGTTGATCAAGCAAACCTTACAGTTGGTTGGAAGCCTTCACATCTTCCACACGAAGGGGTCTTTAAATAAGTTTTCTGATTTAACCCCATCTAGCATTTAGAACATAAAAAATGCATAAGCACCCCAATTAATGCATAGAGGCATGTGAACAGAGAAAGAATATCCCCTGGCCTTAATTGGGTTTTCAACCGTCGTATAAGTAAATTTTCCACCAAGGCTAAACGCCATAGAGCCAAAAATGATAAAAAGACCCCAACCAGACGCAGAGCTGAAGCAAGATTTAAGTTGGGTTCTACAAAGAGGGAGAAAACATGCCTCTTCGGCACCCATCTCCAACGCCACTAGGCCAATGGTGCACATCAGGTGTTCGAGGTTGTCAACCTTGTTGCTGGGATCCAACATCTGGTGGAAGGTATTTTCCGTCAACAGATAGCCAGTCTGCAGGGAAAAACCAGTAATGGCAGATGTGGTAAGTAAGCTAAGAGCATGATTTTGATACTAGCTCAAGGACTGAGCTACAAAAAAAAGCGCAATAACCTCCCTTCAGAGAAAAAAAAGGCGTGTTAATGTGAAAAAAAAAATGACAACAGTAGAAAATACAAATCCGCAGCTCTCGTAGGAACAATATACCTGCCAATATTTCTCATCTGAATAACAAATCATCGTAAAAAGTTAGGTGGCCAAAACATTTATCTTTGCAAAACGAGTCAACAACCATCACCTTTTTCATGAATAAAATATCTTGTCGAGAAGGCTTCTCTCGAGTGTAGACATTCGTGACCTCCTCAGGGGGATATATTCTGCAAGAGAAATATGTTAATTAACGCCGACGCAAACAAGAGAATAAAATAAAAGGCATTCTCAAACAACGCAACGGAGATCAGTGGCGAGTTGTTATGTCCCTCCCCCCACCACGCACTTCACTTTTGTTATCTTCAAGTTTCATTTTAATGTAAAAGCTTATTTGTCGGGCCAGGAACACTGAACTATTGAAAATAGATGTGAAAGGTAGGAAACTTGGGCAGATAACATGAGGCCAAGCCAATGCACTTTGATGCACAGAAAAACGATCTTGGCATTAAAGTAGGTGTCTTATAAAAACAATGCCGTTCAATCCATAGGAGTTGGACTGACTACTCACCAGATCTTGCGTCAACTGGCTGTCACATCTACCCTTTTTGTGAAAAAAAAGGCGTTTGCTTTTGACAATCGAACATACAAGTCGACGACTTGCTAGATCATGGAGCAACAGACTACCAAATCCACTATTTTAGATATTCAATTCTAGCTAGGTTGTGAAAAGCATGATTTCAACCTCTCCACTAACAGTATGAACACATGACCAGCCAAACTGCATCGGCGACACATCAGTTCAGAAGAAATAATAATAATACACTACGTATAAAGAATGGATTGCAGTGGTTAATGGTGGAACCGACGCTACTCAAACCATAGAAGTTAGACAATGGAAATTCTGCCATTGCCTGTATACACCAAACCGTGCATTAACTAACCATCTCATCTACTCTCCTAAATGGCCATCCACTTTCTGCAAAGGAAAACGTTCAGTTTCATCACTTTATTGACCATGTTCTCTGTGGAAAAAGATTGCTACAAGTAACATAAATAAATTACCAAATTTATCCATCAAACTCTTTACCGGTTCGCTGTCATACCCAGTAAAGCATAAAAGACTGTATTTTAAGGGATTTCAGCATCTTAGTCTTACCCCTCGTAATTCTTCATCTATTTTATGGAAGACTACTGTCAAGATGGCACAGTTCGCTTTTAATGCTACATCGGGGTTAAAACCGTAGGGTTAAATATTTATTAGCTCAAACCTGTTATCGCTAACCTGACTTTAAGGAGTTTGGGAGCATTGTTGTGTCGATCAATGAGAGCGTGGAGAATCTTCTGCACGTAAACCCGAATGGAAGCGTCGGGATCAAGAGCCACTCCGTGGAGCAAAAGGCGTAAAAAGTCCGAATCGATAGCATTCGAGATGGCCACTGTTTGGTATTGCGTTGCCACTGTGAGCATGGTCTTCACCAACACTTTCACCATCGGTTTAGAGTAATCTTTGCTGTTAGACCGTCCACTGAAAATGCGGAGACAGAAGATAAGCGAATGGACAGATGCGAATTGTACATTCAATTCATTTGAGTCATTGCACTTACCTTGGAAGGGGATCGAAGTTAAGAATGAACTTCAAAATCTCAATCTTTTGGGCATCCGGGAGGTTTTTGGCGAACTCGGCAATCGTATTCATGATTGCGTCATGGAAACGCTGCTCATCGGCTCCAACACCCTTCGAGGTCTTTTCAATGCTGGACCTCAAGATCTAGAGGTGATACAGGTGTTGTTTAACAAGTCATTTTCACACTGGGTATCAGGGTAGCTTCAAGTGCGGGTGACTAAGCAGGCTATTTCAGAATGGTTCTGCAGTACTGACGAGTCTTTCTACGCCAAAGCTGCTTTAAAAGTACCAGTTGAATACTATCGGGATGGGTGTATAAATATAGCAGCTGAAGGGTATTTAGAGAAGAAATTCAGTCCCCACTCCTGCAAATATGACATATTTCCGATTTGACTGGCAAATCTGCCATCAGTGGTGAATGGGCTATGATAATTAATCGTATTTATTATGCAAGTGGCTCTGTGCGTGTACTTAATGTTTCGACACGGATTCTGCCTCATGGAAGTAGATTGAAGTCATTCAAGAACGAGTATCAAAGAGATAAATTGGATTCCAATTTTGAATCCACATCGACTCCTACTGGTTGTGCAGAAGAAAATGAAGTTTACAAATGCACCTCCTAAAAGTAAATCTGAGACAGTCGGAATAATGAAAGAGTTCTCGGTGCGAGAATAAATTAACCCACTGCCCGTGTTTCATGATCAAGATTAACATTTGATTATGAGCAGACCTATTTACGTACTCTCAGAGAATCGAAATGCCTATTTCAATAAGTGAAGACCTCACCGTAGGCTACAACAAGGTGGTACACGGTCAGAAATGATGAATAGGAGAGAGCTTCTGCTTTCACACTACCGAATAGGTGATAACAGAGAAGAGCGTTCGGATGGTTGCAAGACGCTAACGAAAAGACATGGTTATTGCTAGTTACCGGATGACGGCTGTTTATTTCCCACAGAAATTTTTATATCACATGCGTGAACTGGCATGCCGATTCCGAAGCTACCATCAACAATTTTAAACCAAATGAAGAAATTGCCGTTTCAGACTTGTTTCAGCGAATTCAGAAAAGCCGAAAATCGAAATATGCATATCAATCAGTTCTGCTTTGAATAATTATTATAAGCCGGCAGTGGGCAATGCAAGACATTTCAAGTAGCTAGTGATATCCCTGTAGAAAATCACTTTCTCGAGGTGATGATAAGGGAAGAATTACTACCTGTAGTAGAGCTTTAAAATTGTGAAAGACATCAGGACCAATGGCACCTTTGGCAAGAGTGATGACTGACTTATCGATAACCTAAAAGCAAGAAAAAAAGATCTCCAGTGGTTAGGGTGATACTTTTAAGTAGGAATTGAGAAATCCCACCTCCTTCTCCCGAGTCATTGGACAAACCCAGCATTATCACCACTTTTACGTTTACTTGTTTATTTATTTTATTTATTTACAATAAACGAGTTCATTTCCAAGTTTACCGCACATGAAACTGGTAGCCTAGAGTGTCTACATAGTTATCCTCCGAAGTAATCAAATTCTCGGAAATGAAAGTCGGTAGTCCGCCCTTGCACTTCAGTACATCCTGACAGTTAGTGCCCACAATTCTTAGCTTGCGAATGGGCACGCCTCTAAACCAGGATTGTCTATCAAATAACATGATACTGCAATTATACTGCCGCTCCAGTCCTGCTAGATATCGTTCCGCCTTCTTCCCAAAGACCTTCCAATCCTCCGTGCCCGCCCGTTGCAAAGGGGTCTTGATGTAGACTGTCAGAGCCACGCCTCCAGCGGGCATTATTGAGAATCCCAGAGGAGCTCGCTTTCTAGGCTGCGGGTGATGGTGCTGGCGCTCACCAGTAGCTTCGTCACCACAAGAAACCGGTTTCCCCTTCCTGCTACCGCCCTTCTCGCGAGGTGGTTTCGATTCTCCCAGAAGCATCATCACCGTTTCAATGGGTGGAGTGGGAGAGGAGGAGGCCGAGCCCGCGAGGGTAAAAGAGTGGGAAAGGGAGACGCTTGCACTCTCGCTTTCAAAGCTGCTTGGTGGGTTACTGGACTCCAAATCCCCCACACCGACTACACCAAGTGCGTGACCATCACTGCCGGGAAGGGCTTTGTGAGAGAAGATGCGCTGCGAATTGCCACGATTGAATCGAATGTTGTGAAGCGATGGTGGTTGAAGTTTATGGTTAGATTGCCCCGCTCCCATGATCCTACGTCTCGCATTAGACAAGCCGCAGGCACGCTCAAATTTAGTGGCGCCTATTGATCGCGCAAATGGGGCATGCGAGAGCGGCAAAATTGAAACACCAAGGAAAATAGAAATTAACCAGCTTCTTACACCTAAACCGCACACACACTTGCAAATTTTTACAAAGTGACGTCTCGAGTCCTTTTATCTGGGCTCGTGAAATGCCATTTAACAGAATGTTAAAAGACAATATCAAAATATAAAATTCAGAGGAGACCAATTACCATAAGGGAAAAAAAGTGGGCCAAGTAGCATAAACATGCTGCATAAATAAGCCACACAAAAGTAAATATACTAGCCGGCAATATAACGATGAGCAGAGTTCTCTATTTGGGAGATCACACACAATAACAGGATACGAATTATTTGCGGTGAAATTATTTCACTCAATAGCCCCTTTGTGACAGTCAAGGAACTGTACAAAATGGATGACAGCTTACCATAACAACGGAAATTCGTTGAAGAGTAGTTAATCTTGTGTCACTTTTACGCAGATAATTGATGAGTTCCTTTACGAGATTGTGGGCGACTTGCATGTTCTAATTTGAGAAAAAGGAATTTAGCTTGAAGCAGCAAGAGAGCAGCCAAAACGTCATCTACATCTGTCAAACTTAATCTAGTTAAATATGATGGGGTATATTATCCGCAAAAAGTGATTTAAGATTACCTTAATAGAATCCAACAAGTATCCGAAAACTAGAAGAGGGAAATCGCTGGGAGTCCACAGTCTATGGTTATCAAAGTGACTAAACAAAGAAATGAATGCTCATAAAGATAATGTGAGGCAATTATATAAGTGTATCCTTTACTAAGAAGCTTTTATAACCTGTGGATGAAACCAATGTTAGAATGAATTGATTGTACGGAGGAACAAGATGTGAAAGTGAAAGAACACAACAACTTGCGTAATCATTGCGGAAACAACAGGGATGAGGTTTGTGAAAGAAGCACGGCATACTACATCTTTGAACACGAACACGGCTTGGCATCCAGGTTCAGATTCATCCGCCTCGTTATCATTTGGTGGTCTAAAAGGAAATCGGTTTTATTTCAAATACAGATAATGCTAACCTAACGCCGAGTGAGGTAATTCATAAAATTAGAAAATTCGCCATACTTTTCGTGAATATTGAAAAGGAGTGCTGGAATAATTTTCTCCATGCTCTGCAGAGCATTCATTCGCAGTTGACCCCTAGCAGTTTTCCTAACAACGCCCTGAAGCCCCTTTATTCCTGCCAGACGAACCCTAGAAAGTATGATTAATTCTCGTTAGTTATCACTACTTCTTCCGTTCGGCTTCGTTTGGCAGCTCTGAGTACGCCATCCTAGTAAAATGATCCACTAAATCATCATACTCTCGATAATAACTAGGGGCATCCTCCTCTATTTGCGAAAATCCTAGAAACTACGGCACTATACGTGTCTTAATAAACTTGCTGATTTGGTGCCAAGTAACTGAAGTTCTGGCAAGTCCTGTTCCAACAGTAATAGGACCATTTTTAGGAAACTGGAGTCAAAAAGATTGAGTTTTAGACGATAGCAGGTATTGACTAAGGCGCTGATGGCTTCCATAGTTATATTGACGTTTCTAAAAATTTCAGAAAAATTGCAACAGTACGTATAATTCCTATGGTGAAGATCAGAAAGCAGCCTCTTGTGCAGATATTTTGCAATATTATCCAACTTATCCGGTTTTCTAGCACAATGACATACTAACTTGTCGATCCCTTCCTTAAAATTCATCAACATTATTTGAAGGTGGTACATTACCGAGTGGTTTCCGGTGTAGATATTGTCAACAACTTTTACCCATTTGGGCCTACAGGGACCACAGCCGAAAAGGAGGCGGCCATCCAGACGCCTAGGCATCGCGGCCAGAAAGTGTATAGGCTCAACGCAACACCACTGCCTTCAGAATAGCCCCTCTATCAGCCATCCACAATTTTGCAAAATAGGCCAGGGATTTGTCTTCAAAACTTTTAATTATTAAAAAAGATGACACACAGGCAGGTACGAAGATATACGATTTATACTGATGTGCCTTTAAATTCGTAGTACCAATAATAACAAGGATATCAGAAAATGTCAAGCCTCACAAGGACTCTACCAAAATCAAAAGCAATTGCTGGCTTTAAATTTTCAGTCTGGGCCCTTAATCTTCTTTACTGGTCAGGAAGTTAATAGTAAAATTCTGTCCTAAATGGCATGGCTTTATACAAACCGTATTTTTAAAGGTGATGTAGGACTTTAATTTTTTGATAAATATTGATTCGTTTGCCTTTTTTTAAACATTATCTCCTAACAGTTTATATTCGTATACGGACCCACGTGTGCATTTTAAGATGAGTCTGAAGGTCGTTCTACTGCGCTTGCTGCATTCACTTACTCTGATTTTGTATGCATCTGTCACATGGCTGTGTGCTGGGATTTTCGACATAAAACACGTTTTCAACAGATACTTGAATGGTGGTTTGAATTCTACAGATGCTTCATTTCTATTTGTGGATAAGCCTATTCAAAATTTGGATCACATTGCATTTGTGATTTATGAAGATGATTTATCCATTCCCACTTTATGTCAGTTAATTCTGTTATCCATAAGTCTTCAAATTGGGGACATTTCGGTCGCAGCTAAATCAAGTAGGCCGTTTAATCATCGTTTTATGAGAAGTCTCTAATTCTTCCGTTCTTATGTTAGCACGCTCTCATTTGGAGAAATTGAAAAACGTTGACTGTTCTGAAATCAAATGTTCCAGCAGCGTGAAAGGCCTAACAGGTACTCTTTTCTAGTATGCTTATATCTTTAGTTTATTCCAAGGGTCGGTCCTCTTGTGTGCACTTTATGGACTTTAGTACTGGACATCATTTAGTATCATCCGCAGCAAAATGCCTCTCTTCATCTTCATTAGATTCGGTCACCTCCAATACCATTGACAAAATACTTTACAGTAGGGTTTCTTTCTGAATTTTATTTTTAAAAGGCATCTGTCCGATACCATCAATTGAACTCACTGTGTTGTTTGGTCCGCCTTCGTTGGTCGGTCTTTTGCCCTGGCATAGCGGAGAGACTGAGATTCTGTGAGTTAGTTTGTGCCTCTCCTCCTATTTATCGTATATTTAAGTGCAAATTCTTTCAGATATTTGAATTTCTTGCTGCCATTTTATTAGCATTAGGTTTGCATTGCTTTCAATTATTAGGATCGGTCCTTACATACCTCTAAGTGCGGGTTTGTCATATTGAGCACTTTGTAGTTCTGTTGGAGTTTCGAGTCCTTTTTCATTACAAACTAATGTGTGGTTTAATTTCAGAAAATGGCCAAGCCATAAAAGTATGAATTCCTCAGACTTTATCAGTCTTCTTCGTTTATACTCGAGAATTACAAAGCGGTGGGGTCGGTAGGTCTCCTCCTGTCCCTCGTTTCTGCCCCGTGAGAACTATTTTTTTCTTAACCGTCAGAATATCTGAATATTCTTGTGAATTTTCACGGCTAATCTTTATCCATATGTATCGGCAACGTTCCACTAGACGTTGAACTTGCTATTGCACTTATTGCGAGCACTTGACAGTTAGACAGGTGTCTTTGGTGGTGCTGCAGGGTTTATCTTACAGTTAGCCATGGCTATCTCAATGTTCGGGTCGCTCAACTCAAAGTACTTCGTTTAAATGTAGTCCTTAGTGCCAATTTGTGGATCTCAAGCTTTGAAGTGTAGTTGTGAATTATTACAGGGTATTTCATTGGCACTCACACAACATTTAGGGATACTGCGCCAATAAAAGACGCGATGTTCACTTTTACACGTTTCTTGACACTGAACGTTTTCCTCAAGCAAGATGCGCAAACATCTAAGGATTCTTGGATGCATAAGATGGTAAGGTAGAAAAGTTTATGAGGCGATTTGCAGACGTTCTTTGGCTTTCAGTGAGCCATATATCGGCGGATAGTGCTGCGTATGTTCGACCTCCGGAATGCCTACAAAATCGCGGGAAATAGAGGGGATAAATGGAACTAGTCAACCGATTTTGTTCATTAGGTCTTACAAAGCGTGTCTTGGCGTTGGCATTCACCATCTTGAAGTATATTTAAAAGTTGCGAAGCGCTATCTTGAGCCTCACATAACTCCCGGTCCTGTATCGTTCTTTACATGGGTTACCAGGCAATTCCATCTACATACAGATCCAGTTGGTAACTGGGTGAAGAGAATAAAGTGTGGGAGGTTTCTTTATGTCAAGGCGAGACTCACCATTAATCATTTTAGTTACCTTTCCGGTACATATTTAAAGGTAATTAGTCTCCAAGCTTCATGTGCTTGTCTTCTGTGCCTCGACAGCAAACACGAGCAAGTGGAAAGACTGTTGCATTAAAAACACCAACTTTTGTAAAAAAAATATTTGGGAAGAGGGGGATGGGAGGGGCGAGGGAAAGCAGATTTCCTAACAATGAGTAGGAAGTGGGGGGAGTGGTTCACCGGGAGAACAACGAAGACATTATAAGGGGCAATCAAGAGCATAGGATCAAACGTTCAGAGGTAAGCCTGCCACCCGAAATACATGCGTCCAAGGTTTTGTGGATCGGTGGCAGCGCGCACGAGGAGAGCGACGTGTCCAGAGGGACCGAGTGTGCCAAGAGCGCCTTCCGCCGCAGTCCCTGCAGTCAGTCCGCTGCTCCCAATGCCGCCCACGCGGCCAGCCAGCTTATCACGCACCGTTAGCAGCACCCGCTCCGCCAGTTGGTTCACCGAATCTGCATTCGCACAATGAAAAGAATTGAATCTAAGCCAGTAAGGCTAATTGGGAACGTTCACTACAGAACTCACAAATATGATAAGCATATTCTTTACCAGTTTATGATAACTTCTTGCACCGAACAGTGGGGCAAAGATATCGGTTGAGGTTAAAACACCAGAATAAACGTTGGGTATTTATCACTTGATGATGATTACAGTTTTGCGGTCTTCCAGCTGCAGACGAATTCGTGACAATTGTTTTCATGCCGGAACAATTAAACCCTTGGTTTGTGGTGAGACCTGGTACTGGCCATGTTAAGGCTTGCTAAGTTCGGATTCTCTAGCACTGCAGTGAAAAGTTACGCGTGTCTGCGTCCATACAAAAAAGTGGGCCTAACCTAACGTACTACGAAGAACACTCACTGGAGGTCTCGGGTCTAGAGGTATGTACAAAACTGTTTGTAGCTATGTAGACCTATTTTTCCTATTTGTCTTTATATAACGTAGCAATGACGCAATTTGAGGCGCAGGGACAGTCAGGTGCGTCTTGTCACTCCCCCCACTAGATGGCAACATCGGTATTGGAATAATTTTGTTTCGTTTTCCTCTCCTTGCTGACATGATTCACCCTGAACAATCTAGCATTCTCTTCACTGGTTAGCTGAGTCTGCCCTCGCCTTAGCATGTAATGGCTCCGAAACAATGGGGATAGCTAAGCGCGTTCTGTTAGAACCCACCGATTATGAGCCGTCGTGAGGACGCTTATCGCTCCAATTAGTGGTCTATCGGACCTGCAAACGGCATAACGCAAGCTCACTATGATCTATGGGACCCGGACCACAACGTTTTACGGCTCCGCCAACTGTTTTACTGAAACTGCATTCGTACGGCATCGCGTGACCAGTATGACTCACAGGTGACGGAGTCTTATCGAGATTGTCCAAGCTCCAAATGATAGGCATGCATTTGGACAAAATGGCATTGAGTCATTCTCAAGCATTTTGAAAAGTTGAAGGTGTCTAATCAAGTTTTACCGAGTCTCGACTAGTGATGAATGTTTTGTCACCTCGGAAACCGGTTCATTGATTTCGCGTTCATAAAAAGCACACCACGGGGATTGTAGGATGGCTGATCAATTTCAGACGATCGTCGGGATGTTCTACCGCACCACAAAGTGGATTTCATTAAAATTTATGCGATTCAGGCTGCCAGTGGGGTAATTTGAATGCGTTGCTTGTTAGTTAGGTAGATCTAGATTTAAATTGGGTGGTAAATAGTGAGTTGTAATTATTTTCCAGTTGCCCTTAGCTATGTAAGGATTTTGCATGCATACATGGGTTCAAAATGTAGTCAGATATCAGGAACATTAAAATGAGCTTAGAGCATGACAAAGAGGCTTAATTTTGCACTACATAGAAGCCTTAAACTGACATCTTTCCTCCAAAGACGAACCCAAGCGCTAGAATCTAAGAGCAAAGCAAAGCGACAACATGGTTTACCTTGGGGTCTCCTTGATGCAGTCCCGTAAGCGTTGACGATGGAGCCCGAGGCGGCGGCGGTGGCGGCTGTAGTGCTGGTGTTGGCGAAAATGGAGCTCTCCCCACCACCACCCGTCGGGAACGCCGGACACCCCGTGACCTCCGCACGTCGCGCCTCCAACGCACAGAGTTGGGCAGGTGAGAGTGACCACGAGTATAGTGGGTCATGCAGCAGCACCTACCAAACACACACGGGTAGTGCAATCAACATACACATTTCGGAGACGGGTAGTCTGTTCTCAATGCGGAGAGGTGGAAACAGTTAACGAAGACGTGAATGTAGATTTATCACAGCAGCAGCTATGGAGACAACCTTGGGCCAAATGAAAAATAAGCTGAAGCATTTCTGTGGCAATTGATCATCAGTTTCCTCATATAGATAAATACTTGGATAGATTTAAGCCTATTGTCCTATTCAGACGAGTAAAAACTAAAAGGTACTTTCAATGCATGGATGGGCAGCAGAGTAATCCAGATGCCTTTTTAAACTACTAAGCTAAATGCAAGCTCATAGGCGGGTAGAAGTAGAACTACAAAGCAAAATTTACCCGTAGAGCAAGCTGGAATTCTAGTTTATAAACTAGTAAGTGCTTTTCTAAACTGGCTAGAAATTGGAAATATGCTCTGAACGCATGTAGAGATGTGACAGAAAGGCGGGTTCTATTTTACTATTCTCTAGTTGTTCGGAATGTACAGAAAACCAGTGGTATCGCTAACGGCAGTTTCGGCCACAGTTGCGAGGAATGCACGAGCTTCCGTGACGAATCGGATGCTCAGGCAACTAAGAAAGCTCGCAAGGGTTTCAAAGTAGCTCCCTTGTAAATTGTCGCAGCTTGCAAGGGGCATGGGATTGTTTGCATCCATGATCTATGTAGCGGACAGTCTACCAGTACGGAACCCTTATTGTGCTCTATTCTTTCCCCTCTCATGTTGAAATCATCATATTATGTCAGCTGAACCTGAAGGATGTGATTCAAGCTAGTCTGCTTAGTCCAGTTAGACTCGGTTACAAGGCTGCAGAAGCCCCTTGTGAAATTTTTGGTTCGACATTTGGAAAGGGTGTGGCATACAGTAGCAGAATGCACAGCCCAAAGATGGTTTAAATAAATAATTTGATTTGGGTAATACAGTCACTCGATGACAGGTGCACCACACTCAAAAAGACACTTTAGTCTTGATTATGAAGAATATAGTCGCATGCCGGTTGTGATTAAAATAAATCAGGATCAACGTTCTTAGAACTTAGAGCCTTCAGTACTGTTTGTATTTGGTAACGATGAAATAATTCGCCTGTACATACGCCAACTGGGAATTCACGAAAGCTAAGCAGATCAGTTTCACGTGCCACGCGTTGGTAGGTGACGCAGGATAAGCTTCCAAGACTGTCAATTTGTTCTCCAATTCCTCCATGCCTTACAAAAACACGCCGTGTCGACTGGTTGACTCGTAACTATTTAAGAAGATTTATGCGCTTCTTCATTGTTAAAAAACGTGCAGAACTCATTTGGCGACATTGTACAAGTGCGCCTTGATGACCACATTAAGAATGACCTGTACGCAAACTTTCACAGTACATATGAGCTACAATGGCCAAAGGTGACTTCACAATTAATTCTCGGATAGTAGGCCCCCACGACCAAATCGAACGTTTACGCAACTATATCTATGAGGTGCGGAGAAGATTTTGGCTTATTCTGCTACCTGCGCGTGGAATCGGAGTCGATGACAGAGGAATGCGTTTGCTTTGTCCGACTACTGTAGCTAGGACTGTCTTCCGATAACCACTGCTACCAAAGTTCCCTAAACGTAATTACTTAAAGTTAAAAAACCCATTAATATTAACAGTACTGCAGATTTTACTTCATCAAGTCACTTGTACACGCAGATGGAGCAGGCCCCAGTAGCTGACCGCCATGGAAAACTTTGAATTCCATGTTATTTTATCACCTTTTCTGGTCAATTGGGACAAAAAGGGTTAATTTCTCCCCACAATAGTGGCTAGGGCCGTTCATATAGCCATACATAATATTCCATTTCTCCATATGCAAACGGCCGGAGCAGCCAGAGTACTATTCCTGTTGACGACTTCACTGTCAACTGTGCATTCACTTAAGGAACGCAACCCAGCGGTCAGGTATCTGTGCATTTGAGTCTTAATTCACTCCACCATCTACACTTGTATAGAAAGCATCAATATCGCGTGTTCTGAACGATAAGATTACTGCTGCTTGATGCTTCATTTATATTCCCTTGAATGCTTTAGCTAGCAGCGAAATTCACCCTACTGCTTGCGTAGTCATTCAATCCAATTAAATTGTGTGTACTTTTAACCAATATGGGCAAACTTTTCATGTTATTTCCACATTTTTCTACCAGTACTGTTATAAACAGTAATTTATGATCATCCGTTGATGACACAATATCTCCCCTCCCCCCCAACCACTCTAACAACTACCACATCGTATGGCCTCGCTGCACAGCATCGTCCCGTCCCTAGCACTCATTGTTCGAGAGATGAATCACTCTTAGGCTATATTTAGAAACTAAGCAAACTCACAAGGGGTACTACCCCGTGTAACTCAGCCTTCCCGTTGATGATAACGAATTTTCCACAATTGCTTTGTTCCTGGTCAAATTGGTCAATTGCAATTCACAGGAACTCTTGTGATATTCAAAGTGAAAGTCACCACTGGAAGCGTCGGACGGAGATCGAAAGGGAAGCGGTGCTATGAAATAGATTTGTCGCCCTCTATGCTGTCGCGGTAGAAATTCATATGCTACCAATTTCACGATGCTTCACTACGCTATATCCTGAGAGATGACCTCAGAGCTTGAGAACATGAAGATGATATAATGAAGCAGAACTGTGTGCGCATCTAGAGCATCTACTAATGGTTAGTAAATAAGGGTTGAAGCTAAGAACGCCAAGGGAACTAGGCAAGTAACCCTACCTCAAGGAGAGTGAGAATGATCTCAGAGCCAGAGGAGAAGGCGCAAAGTGCCGACTCCGCAATGCTAACGAAGCCCACCTCCACGCCTAGTGGGCCGAGAGCGTGGACGAGGTCGCGGGTCAATCGGAACGGCACCATCTCCGGGGTCGGCATGAGACGTCCCTATTGCGGACAGCAGAGAAATTGACAACAAACTAGTTTTCATAGAAAATGAAGTAAGCAAATGAAAAACAATATCAGAAAAAGGTCTAAGGTTAGAACAGATGGAAGCCTAGCGCCTTAGTCCATTACTATGCCTTGTGGTGTGCATGAATATAACAAATCCGCTTTTACTATATGATATCGTTCCCACAGGTATCGCACACAATTCTTTGCCTTCGTAATCAACATTTTAAAAAAACGTATTCACTCTACAGGAAAATCCTTGAATTATTCTGGACTAGAGCAATTTCTACACCAACCAAAGATCAAGACTAAACACCTAAGAATAATTAGAGACAATTCTTTGGTGATTCAGTAACATCTTTTGATAAACTGACGGCAAAAATCTGTTATAAATGGCGTTTATTTGCGTGCACTTGGATCCTCTTGAGTTCCAATTCGAGTAAGCCGGAGGTAGACTTCAACGCGAAGCATGAGGAAGTTGGAGACAAACTTCGTAAGTGATTGTGCGATGAATGCTATAGCCACAGAGTAGCTACATTCTTGTGTATTTGTAAGGCTTGGATTGGTATTGGCCTTACAGTGATTATTAACACATTACAAGTTTGCTGACCGAGAAAGCAGGAAAGCTGAACGAGACCTTGTAGAATGTTTGGAAACTAAATATAAAAAACGGAAACTTCTTAAAAATTGCAAATAAAAACGCTTTCTGGGGTTTCAGACAGGATATGTGACAGTTTCTCATGTTTGCGAAAAGGTCATGCAGATTGCAAAGCCCAAATATTTGAGGTAGATCCGAACTCTGTAAACAGTTTCTAATTTGTATAGGACGAGTGTACCATGAAAAATGAATGGATGTGAATTCCTCTGAATGAAATAAAATGGCTACGTGCTCAATATCTTTTGATTAAACAAAACGTGTGCTTTCGTTCACCATTAGATGACAGATTGAGCATGTCATAATGTAAGGAAAAAAGTTGACTTTAATGCACTCATTCCCATCATTCTGAATTTTAGATGAAAGTGGACCATTCAAAAAGACGGCAAATTTTGAGAAGCACTCAATTACAGTCGACCATAGCAACACAGAAGAGCACAAAGAGACAGCTAAAGTTTACCGAGTTGGGGCTTTGGAAAGCTGCTACGGGATAGCCTATTTCCTTAGGCAAATGCGAATTTACAAATAAAAAGAGGGGTTAAAGGTAATTCGCATTAATATTGCAAACTTAGCACTTTTGCTTCTTCACAATTCCAGGAGCTTAAAATCAAGTCTTGGTTAATTCATTCGGCATTTTCACACAGAATTACAACATACATAATCATCCTGCTCTCACAAGCACAAATTTTAAGAAAAGGAACAAAACCTTGAAACAGTTTTCTCATTCACAAAAATAAGGGTGTCAAAAGTGAATGATCGTCAAACGGGAAATCATTTCACATCGGATCCAAAGCGCAGCAAATGAAACGGCTCGACAAGTCACTTAGACCGCCGGGAGAGACCACAAAATGGGAAGCGTTGAAAGGGGTAAAACAAAGAAATGGAATCAAAATCTATGATCACTAAAAGATAAACACAATTGCACTTTTACGCAGCTAAACAACACATCAGAAACTTGACACAGTGGCGGTCAAGTGTCTGCAAACACCTTAACAACTACGTAGATGTTCAATAGGGCATCATTAAAATCAGGCAAGAGAGAGAGAAATGCAAAAGAATGGGGAGTGGAACCTGATCAAAGGCGATGCCCAAATCTATGTGCACTACCTCCCCAGTAGTGGGGTGCAGGAGGAGGTTGTGTGGATGACGGTCGCCCAGGCCCACCAGGTAGCCTAAAATTGAGGCTGTCGCCAGCGATGCGGTGTAGCGCCATCGCGCCGCGTACCACGCGCTTGGCTCGGGAAAATGCTCCAGAAAGAAGAAGCCCAGGACCGGTCTACGCAAAGTTCAAGACAAAGTAGTTTAGCAAGTGAAGTGATTGAGGCCTTAACTGCACATTGTATTACCGCATCCAAGTGAAACCGGGATTTGAAATTCGACGAAACCAAAAAAAGAGCATATTTCAAGCGGTGGAAAACGTGAACTACTCAGATGTTGCTAGTGAGAGTTCAAAAACGACTTTGTAGACCACTCTAAGAGCTATGGCGGAATCTTGTTTTCAACTCGTAAGCTTTAGATATTTATTCTGACTATCAAACCGCGATCCCCACTTCCTTTATCCGTACCACCCTAATCGTATTCACACTTTATAATCGCACTGCTCAGGCGATTTGATGAATGTGATTCCTAGCAGTAACGCACCACTTATACTGACGGCTGATCCTACTATCAAGATTCCTTTAGCAGCTTACAGCTCGTAAATGACACGAGAAGGAAGACTCTAAGGCGGTGCAACTGCATTAGAGCATTATGTAGATTTGACCTCCACCTCCCAGCAATAACTCAGCTTTTACATCGGCAGCCAATTCCATTGTCGTGACCACCAATACACAAGAGATCAAGAGATTGAAGTGAATGGTTAAGTGTACTAGCCGAAGTCAGCACATGACTTGGTAATAATAGCTTGTCAATAATAATAATAACTAAAAGGACTACTTAAAAGCGGCATACAGAGTGGCATATTAACTAGCAAGATCAACTTCTAGCTCCTAGTACTGGCAACAGATTTCAGGGGCACAAAAGGTATCAAGACCTGAATCTGCTGCTACTCTTTTCGAGAGCTGAATAAGCTTAGTCTTGATTCGCAAGTACTGATTCAATGGTAGCACCCGTGTTTGATACCAAGAACAATAGTCCATTCCTGTATCACAAAGTAGTAAGAGTTGACGATAAAGCTATTACATTCAAAATTTAAGTGAGTTTAATTTCTGACTTATCAAAGAATCATGATGCATGATGCACAAAGTACCAAAAGAGGACTCAAATAACGGTACAAACTATATTTTGGAAATTTAGTGGTGGAAACAGTAGGACCATATGTAGGAGTACATAAAGGGGGCCTAATCCCCAGCTTTAGTACAAAGTGAGCTGATAATAAAAACACCTACTGTATCTTTGAGCAAATCTCCGTGAAGACGGCCAGCTTGCGGTCGAGGGATTTGTCACGCGCCCCGGCCAGTTTGAGTTTAGCCTGGGAAGGTGCAAGGTCGGAAGGACGGTAGCGCTGGTGAGCACCGAAGGCCTCTCCAGCCAACCACTCGCCCAAAGGAACGGTGCCCTCACACCACTCGATCAGGCCGCTGCGGCGCGCCAGAGGCACCACCTGCATGTGTTAAGAGGAAGTAGGGATAATAAGCACACTGTAGCGCCTAAGTTACCTCTTCACTGGTTTTTTTTTTGAAATGAAAGGAGCCAGATATGAAGCATGAAAATACTTGTCTAACTAGCATTTCAAGATGATTTCCTTGTCTACTTTGACTTACGAAACTCAATCGCCCAAATTATTTTAGCTGAGTGAATCATGAAGACTTTGTGAGCATAGGAGCCACTTTATCTTAAACGCAAGAATAACAATGGACAGTGAACAGAATCTAGATGAATTGCAAGCGATCAAGAAGGCCCACGTTACCACGTCATTAGACGGGAGGAACAGTTTTGTACTACAACGCTATAAACTGAAAATAACACGCACTTACCACTGATTGAGCCCCAGAATTGTAGTCTATAACATCTTAACTTTCGTTTTACATGCAGGCTTAGAATTAGCAGGCATGTGATTATCGCAAAGTACGCAAACTCAATTAATGACGTCTTTGCATTGCGAAATTGGAAGAATATGAAGAAAGCATCTAGCAAGAAGACGGTGATAGCTAACATAGTTAGGGCGTGAAAACCAACCAATAAATTCAGTTTGATTTCACCCATAGAATGACGATGTTGAGAACTGACATCGGTATACCAAATGTGGTCACCCTGACACACCGTCCGATTAACATATATCTATATCCAGAAATAATTAACCCATCCGAATGAGTCTACATTATGAAGATTTGTTTTTGAAAGTAAGGAGATATTTTACTAATGTTGGGATCAGGAACTCTGTCACTACGCTGTAAACTTATACCATCACCTATTTTGCGGATGACTTCATCATCACAGAAGTGCAAGAAACGATAGCGTTGGGCATGATGCACAAAATCAGAGATAGGCTTTATTAGCCAATATAATAAAGACTTTTAATTCGCCAAACTAGGTTCCCGAGGTAGTTATTTTAGAAGCTCAATTAGCTTAGATCTTCAATGCTAATCCCTAGGCTGCACTACGGCCCTCAGGCTAGCTTGTGACTCTCGATTACCCCGCTATAAACACACACACACACACACACACACACACACACACACACACACACACACACACACACACACACACACACACACACACGCACACACACACACACACACACACACACACCTCCCACCAGCATAGGATGAATTTCATCAAATGTGTGACCGCATTTTGAGATGAGCTTTTGCAGGGTATGAACTCCTAAACGGAATTCTTTGGGAACTTATTGCCAACAAGTCGTCGACTTATTGATAAACACCTAATCTCGAAGCGGCTTGATAGCTGAATGCTTTTAACTGGCAAAACTAAAACATATGGATTTTAACAAATCAAGCTTAATGCGTGGATTTCTCCCAACTACAGCCGCATTTGTAAGAACATTTCAAAACGGTTGAAAACTCGACATGAACTTAGTCAAATGGAGGTTATTTATCCGATCACAAGTGCACGCCTCAATACCTAAACGCAAGCACACTGAAAGGATATACATGCAAAGAAACCTACGCGAAAGCTCACATCTGGGCAGAGGATGGTTCTATTTATCCAACGTCGAATATTTACCGTGTGAAAGCGAAAAGCAGGCACAGCCGGTGGAGATAAAACGCACCATATAAGTCCGTATGCGCATGGCATTTGCACGCGAGGGAGAAAAGGAAGACGACTTCGGGCACTTGGAAGCGTTGGAGACGGAGAATGTAGCTAAGAGGTGGTTAGCTGCTGAGAAAACCTGAAAAAAGGAAGCGAACAACAGGTGATGGTACAAGTTTATACTGTGATCGAATAGTAAGGTGGTTTTGAAAACCTGGTATCTCATATATAGAGGAATGACGGAACAAGGCTTGAAAGCACGATCTGATGGAGAAATAGTCTCGATCGGTGCACATAAAATGCTGGTGATTGACCGGAGATATAAATATAATTCATCGTAAGTCAACATTTGCCTTATGTTTTTAGCACTCCAAAGTCACCTCGCTAAACTTCGTGCCTATGGGAAGCAGATGAATTTCGTCAGTTTTTCTAATGAAACACCTTCTCAACCCAATAGATGAAACAGTCTTTCTGTTTCCACAAAAAATAGCAAACCATGCGAAGATATTTGTTTAAGTATATGCTTAAATATGGAAGGCGTTCATTCTCTTCAGGATCATCATCTCAGTGACATGAACATACGCAAATAACAAAACTTCCGTACTACCAGGCTTCATTCCTTCTTCAGAGCTGATTCCTGGAGCTATAAAAGGCGACCGCATACCCTAGGTCCGATACCTTGGGGAGTGACTCCAACTTTCATGAATATTCCACCCGCAAAATTGTCATCATAAATGATAACATAACTCAAGTCCATCACTCACTTGTTGCATAATAGCATCTTGACGAGGGTCGTCACGTCCTTTGACAAGCTGTTTGCGTCGCCTTCCATCAGAGCAGAGGCAAGTGACAATCTTGGGGAGATTAAGACCACCGGCGAGGCGGTAAGTGTTAACAAAGCCCACCACTCGGACAAGATCTTGGTAGACTCCTGAGGGGTTCACCCGCGGGGGGCATGTAATCACTGGCAGAAGGTGTAGGCAGTGCTCCGCTTCCGCAGAGAGACGTGAGAGCGCACAACTTGCTGGCATTGGGATGTCACCTATTGAAGATCGGTTGGTTGAGTGGAGAAATGGATTGGCAGAGGATCTACTATAGAGACGGGGAAGATCTGGGAGACCAGTAGCATGAGTGATATCCTGTTAAAACGTGGGAGGCTGAAAGTCGGCAGAGAGTTACGCATATCAGAATGATCGCAATCCCAGCAAAACATGGCAACTCTATTCCCGTGTACCGTTCAAGTTATCCGTAAAGGCGCTATTAGGCATACTAGTCCGGCATCAGCCTTATCATGAGTATGCACAGCAGCTGGGAGACTAGTCGTACAGGAGGGATACACTGACCGTTTGACTATAGTAAGCTAGGGATGGTAGAAGTTGGATTTTGATTGGAGGAGATGGAACAATAGTTGAGTCGCTCAGAAGAATCAGCAACACGAATAAAAAAACAGTCTGACTTGACTTCGCTTTTCCACTCGAAGTCAGGCAGTGGCACCATTTTTCAGGCGCAAAAATCGAACAAATTGTCATTTAATAAATTAATATTCGTAAAACACGAAATGGAAGGGGCACGGACCTTTAACATTGCGTTTGTTCTCCACATCCACATTGGCCCATTCAATGTAGGCCGTTGCGAGAGCCTGCATTTGCGCAAAGATGTCCTCACGAGTCGCGCCTGATCTGCAGACCTCGGAGAAGAGCTGACGTGCCAAGGCTACCCGACCGCCATCTCTATCAGCCTTCAGCACAAAAAAGCGCAAGTAACTTTTGTAGTCCTAGTGGACTCAACTAAGTTGGACGACCATGGGAATCATCTAGCGCCCGTGATAAGTAAAAGAAATAACACGAGGGATTACTGATCCAAGGACTTGAGTTAGTAAACTGTTACCTACTCCCAGTATCCCATCCCAAAGACGAAAATGAGCCTTTTGAAGTGAACAAAAGTTCTTTTTATGATGCCATAAGTGGCCATGGGGAACTTCCACTGTAGCCAAATGGCCGAGAGTAAGGTTTAAAATAGCTGATGGAAAAAGAATCAGGGCGGGTAAAGGAAACTAGAGCGAGTAATTTCAATATCTCGATTTGAACAAACGGTCATGTTAAAAGGCATTGTCCAACGTATCTGGTAAACACAAAATTTGATAGTTTTTGGAAAATTGTGACTTTTCAAAACACGAAGTGGCTTGCTGACGCAAATAGACCATCCAGTAAGAACTCAATGACCACCACCTACTGAAATTTCCAGGAATAAGGACGAGTAGCATTTATAATCGAAAAGTAGCCAGAAAAATTAATCGTTTGTTCACCTTTACAATCGTCAAAAAAGTAAACAAGTAAAGTGAATTTATTCCTCTACCTAAGGTAGCTTACACCTACTACTAAAAGACGGCAGATTGAAAATTACCATGGCTTCAATCCTTTGGCGTTTTGAGCGGGAGATCGTGGTGCTTGAAGCACCCCCTTGTGGGTCATCCAACGGCGCGTTGACCAATGAGAGGAGAGGAAGGCCCGTGTGATATGGGTGCTTGCTTAGCAACGTCTTGACCAACTGAAAAAGGTAGTAAACACCTCTTAATTTCTACCACACTCAAAATGTTACAACGTTGCTACTGTGATGCCCGTGAAGGTCTTATCCTGTAATCGAAGTAGAATTGAAACGAGTCGCTTTCGTCACCACAAACGTACCATTGACATTAGAGAGATCAATGAAAACCGCTTGCCTTTGCTGCGTTCCTCATCCTTACCGAGATGATAACTCCCCATAATCTATTTTCGTCAAATAAATTGATGAATTTAAACGAGATATTGAATCTCAGTGACTCCTACCGCAGTTATTGATCATTGTGGCATTTCACACCAGAACTTGACCGAAATGCTAGTAAATATAATTATTTTGGAAGAGGTCGGAAGGTTCATGTAAAATTCACAGAAGTTTGAGCTCAAAGACCACTCCCCAAACTGCGCATCATAGGAGGTAAGTTATTGTGACCGTTAAAACGACCGACTCATGACCTTTTTACGCCGATCATCGCAGGCGAGATGAGTCTTAGCCATGAAGTTTAAACGCATTTCAATCAAACTGAAAGATGCAACCACAAATAAACTTAAATGAAACATTATGAACCAATTTAAATGAGTTATACGGGGTACTAAGATACCCACTCAAGCCAGCGAACATGCCAAGGAGAGCCACCTACCTACATAGCAGACAGCCTAGCATATCCGAAGAGGTAATTGGTGAGCTGCTACTACAAGGTAGGAAACTGAGAGCTTCGTTAAGGCTGCACGAACTAGACAATAAAGGCTAACTTAAAGTCTGTCGGACAGAAAACATTCGCGACCATCCTATTCACCTTGGCGAGCATTGCATGAAACGCTGCCTGCGTTTTGCTCCGCCTCTCCTCTTCGTTGGGAGTAGTGAGTCGGACAAGAAGTTGGGAAAAGAGAGGCAAGAATTTGTCTACCCGGATGGCCCCGAGATGGGCCTCTAGTGAGGCAAGCCAAGCGGGTGTAAAGAGGCTCTCGGTGGCGGAACCCTCACTGAGGTCGCAACTAGCCAGCCCACGGTTCTCCGCCATTTGAGAGAGTGCGTTCAGCCAGAGGGAGACTAGCCGGTAGATCTGAATGAGGGGTGAAAAGGTGAATGTGTTTGCGTTAGTTATAACCGACACGGATGAGTGGCTTTGGCCTCAAAATCAACTACTAATCGCTGGAACGTTAGTGACCGCCGAAGCAGAAGAATAACTACGGAGTGAACCTAGGATGACAATTAAAACAAGAGTTATTATATACCTAGACACGTGTATTTTTGGTTACTCGTCAAAATGCCCATAAAACTACACCCAAATTCGTATATCATATAAATTCCTCAGAAGCAGCCCAAACACTGCACTCAATTGAACCATGTCTAGTTGTAGGGTTATGGGCTTAAAAACTAACAATGACCCTGGTCCCAGAACAGGTATAGTGCATTAAACACAAGTAACAATGAAATTTGATGGGAAAATCCTACCTTGAGGTTAAATTTATCACTCCGAGCAAGGCACTGACAGTAGGAGAGAATGGCAGTAGAAAAGAAGTTTTGAAGGCTCGAAAGAAGGTTTACTAGTTCCACATTTTCCAGGGTTGATTGACGCTGCAGCAGTCGGAGGAATCGACTAACAAAGTAATTGACAATGGTTAGTAAATCTTCACACGATTTTTGAGAATCGAGAAGACTAAAGCAGTGCAAAAGTAATTCTCACAGATCGTGAGATCGAGGCCTCGGTGATTATCGTAGCTGGAATCAATCACGCCTACAATGAACGCTGCAGCCTGTGCTTCAAGAGGTGGAACGAATCAAATCACCATTTACGGTTAACTTAGGAGCAAACCTTTTCTTATCGACCTCAGTGAGACAAGCAGCATCCGCGTCAGCATCAGATAGTAGTCTTCTCCTGGCTGCAAACTCTGGTGATCGCAGGTAACCGTCAAACACCTGATACTGAGCATCAGCGAACTCTGCAAGTACAGCTAAAGCGTCCGCTGAATTGCATAGTGGCTGTTTCGCCTCTGACGACCAGCATTTATCGGCCAGCTCGATTGCCTAGTCGAAGCAAAAAAGGCAAATTACGTTACTTAAATTCAATAAGTAAGCAAACTCGACGAACTACTCACCGGTTTGAGCCGACGGACTACGATATCGGCCAAACTCATGGCACTGCATTCAGCTAGCCACTTGCAGAGGGCAACAGTGCAAGAGAGGTATGACTCCAGTAGTAAACGAGCAGGAGTATCATGACTGAGCTTCAGGTTGGAAATAACCTCCGTAGCATCATTTAATACACCCGTCAATCTGGCACACGATAGAGATGTCTCTCCACACAACCGCTGCAATTTTGATCGAGCAAGTGCAAAACTAAGGTTCTTCCTCAGATTTAACTCTCCAGAAGCAATTTCAATTCGTGGAATCGTCCTAAGCAGACGTTCGGCACATGGCACGTTCCCACGCTCGATATACGAATCAGCAAGCTGCAACTGTGTGTGGACATTCAACAGTGGTAGCCATGAGGACGAATCATCCACAGAGTCAGAAAGGGCTTTTGACAAGCGCAGAGAAGCTTCCAGTAAGGAAGTGAGTTGAGGAGTATCCCATTCAATGCATTCCTCTATGGAGGCTTGAAGAAGGATAACTGAGGAGGCCACTCTAGCATTGGAGGCATCCGGTTGGTTTTGCAGAAGGGTACTTATATGACTCCAGGCTTGTAAGATGTTTGCTTCAGATGCAAAGGATTGAAGAGTGACCGGATTCTCCGACAATGACCTAATTGAGGATGATCTAAAAGTCGTGATATGAATGAGAAGACGAATCAGTTGGAAGATCAGATGCACAATGAGCGCTTAAGTCAGGCCGAGACTTTAATGGCACCAGTTTGGGCTACCACGGCAGCACCACATGCAGGAGCAAATGGAAAGTACTCTCCATTGCCAAAATTCCGTGCACATATGGAAAAGTGCGATGATGAAAGGAGTTTCTTGTGAAAAAGATGTATCAAACCCACGATAAGAGCTCAGCAATATGGTATATAATTGATGTAAGCGTTTTAGTTAGGCTCTGGGATAAGTATGTATATATTGGCAAGTGGTTGTGCCAAAAAATGGATGCAGCTCCTATTCCTCAAAGTTTAGTCCTTTATAAACTCAAATGTCCCGCTTTAACATGGAAACGTTTCAGATGCAACAAAGATAAAAGGTCAAATTATTTATGACATAGCTGAACAAACAAATCGCACCGTCGATCATTGACCAGTTTCGCGACATATTTCCAATCTTTACAACAAGCCGACTGATAGAGAAGGTAGATAAGTTTCTCATCCTCAAGATTTGATGGTGGTGTCACCTCCGGCTCATTCCACTGACCCATACGAGAAGCACACTCCCGACGAATACTTTCCAAATTGGATATCACACCTAAATGATATTCTAGGCCATAAATCGCGATCCAAACCTTTGTCATAGAGGTATGGAAAGTGGTCATATCAAACAAACCAAGTGCACTTTCTATGGCTTCGCGCTGAAGAGTTAGAGTGGGGTTTGCAGGTGGTTGAACTTTGGAGGTTGGCAGAGTTTTGAAGTCAATGGCAAGGAGAATATTATCGCGTAAGGTAGGCTTTGTTGATCCGTCTATTCCCCAAGTATCAGAACGCCAAGCAACACGGTATTTGGCCTCTGTCAAAGCTGACAGGATGTTGGAGTCTTGTGCTGGTAGAATAACAGTGTAATTACAGCGAACGGTCGGCGGAATCAGTAACTAGTAAAATTCCGAATCGCATTAATCCACATATAAGAGCCAAAATTACAACTTTAAATCAAACCCAGCGTTAAACAGAGGATGAAAAAGCATCACAAACACACATAGAAGATCAGTGGCAAGTTGTGAGAAGGCCTTATCAGCACCCAAGCGATGAAGGCGCAGAGCGATTTGCGCAACGTCGGCACTGCTAGACTGGTCACCCTGTCCCGTCCCCTCCTCCCACAGAAGGCGCCATCGGCCGTCCAACTCATTAATCGCACATCTGTATAGCATCAAAAGGTGTATTGCGCTCAAATGGCCCAATATCAAATGGGATTAATGGATATTCCATAATAATTTTCCTCCTCAAAGTGCCCATGATCTTTGGTATCTTATTATAAGTTGTGTAGCCATACAGGTAATCTTACTAAGTCCTTCATACAAATTTTTACCGAAATCGATCCTCGAGGGCAATACCATCAGCAGATTGATCAAAGAATTGAGCCATTGCAACTTGCGCGGCCTTTAGCCCCACGAGATCCTTCTGGGATGTGCATAGATCAATCCACAGATTCTGCGCCACGCTGTCGTAAAGCAGTTCTCTCGGTCTTAATTCAAAAACGAAATACATAAGCAATTTATTTTAACAAAAAACGACACCTTCCAAGCCCTCACCGTTTAATCCACGCTAGTTCAAAGAAAAGCCAAGCATTCTCCATCAAGCCAGCATTGAGAGAAAGTTTTGAAGCAGATAGCCAATTGAGATCCCATTCTAAGTTTGTTGCGATGCTGGAAAGAGAAAGCACACATATTTTGCTGCAATTCGAAAGGCAAAGCGATACAATTTGATAACTTAAATATGACTGACATCAATCTTGAATTAATCACACTAGAACGCACCCTGACCGAATAAGCCATTGTGAATAAGTATGCAGCGCAATTAGGATGGACTGTAGGAACTGGGCTAGCTGAGGTCTCTCTAGAAGAGTGTTTAACACTCCCATTAAGTATATAAGTGCTTGTTCCATGTCTTTTCCAGTACGAGGAACGGATAGCAATCTCAAATTCACGAATATGGCGGCGAAAATCCAGGGTACTAGCCGCTGTGCCATATGTACCTGTCAAAAACAGAAACTCCTAGTTTCACCGTCAATTTTGCGAAGGTGGTTCAAATCAAACCGGAACTTTTCGTCATACAAATAAGTAAAGGGATGGCAGTAGCACATGGCGTGTAGTCTACTACTTAGCACATAGCGAAAAACAAGGTGTCGTGTCAACTGAGGCACAAAATCCGAACCCAAAAAAAATCTACTCATATTCACAGGAAGCTCAAAGTACACTACAGTGGTGGCACGCTCAGTCACACAGTAGCATACTTTTATGCGCCAGTGACGATCCCTAACGCAGCAGCAATGGTTTCCAACACTCATCCCTGTGAAAGTAAAACTAGTGAAATGTCCGATCTTGCGTAGTCGGAGTACAAATGGAGGGAAAATTGCGCAAAGGAAAGTGCGCACTAAATTATGTTTTGTGCTTAAAATGTGTTATTTTCGCTTCTGAGCTCTATAGTGCCGGTTTGACCTGAACTCTCCTTATATCCGCATCGGACGGGATGAAAGTTACGAGACACTTACCTCCGCAATAATAAGGGGTTTAAGAGCCAAGAAAAACTCATCTAGTACTAAGGCTTTATCAAAAAGCCACTCAGCGATCTTCAAAACTGTAGTTTCTGGACAATCCCCGCAGCTTAACGCAAGGTCAACGAGAGCCTGAGACCTCAGTTCATAGAGGACGGCTTCAGTGACATTTTTGGTTGTGAATTTTAATGCTGACTAAAAAGAATTAAGGTTAATTTCCCTAAAGAAGGACCTACCTGTGGCTTTGCGCCTCGCGCGTTTTTAAGTTCTTCGGTGGATATGTACGGTGCTAGTTTAGTCAAGATGCAGATCCTGCGTTCGGCTTCTGAGATGTTAAGGGCACCCAAGAGGGACATTTTCAGTCGAGGATTGCTCAAGATACCACGGAGACA